TTGCACCTTCCAGGTCCGTCCGCCCTGGGAGGTGGACGTTTGCTTCAGGCTGGTCTTTCTCGTGTTCAGTCTTCACGGTGCCCCGCCTTATGACGCCAACCCATTCTAGGCGGTTTTGATCTAGGTCTTTTACGACAGGTGCCAGGCTTCACCTCCCCGTTTTTCTGGCTTCGCGTTAAGCTCGCTTTTTGCCTAAAAGATGACATTTGGGGCAGCTGTTCTTTCCCTAATGGGGCTTTCCCGTGCGGCGGTGAACAACACCTTATCGTGCTTCAACGGGTTCTTTTCCCAAAGCAACCCTCTCCCACCGCCCAGCCCTTGTTTTTCCCGGAGGTTTCGGCCTCGGCATGCCGATGCTCTGATCCCGGCCCGTGGGGGTGAGCAGCCCGGGAGGCCGATTCGTTATGTTCGCCTGGTCTGGGTGTTTCGAGCCTTGGGCATTTTTCTTTCCGCTGCCTGTCACAGGAATGTTGGACCTGTCAATAGGCCCGCATCCTGGCTTTCTTTCATTCCAAGCGGCACACTAGCCTGTTAGGTGTTCTGGTTTCCGGTGTCTGTCTCGTGGGTGATCCGGCCCACCTAGACTTTGCCTTTCCTGCCCTGGGTGTTGCTTCGACCCCGCGAAGTGCGTGCCTCGACAAAGTTTGGCCCTGTTTCCGCTCTTCATTTTTGGAGAGTCTTTCTCTTTGAGACTGTAATCGCACTCCCGCTCCTCTGCAAGGCCTCGGCTCTTGGGCTTCAGATCCGCGTCGGCCTGCGTACTCTGCTGTGGTTCATGGGGTTCCTTACGTTTGCATTTAGGCTTCGTGTGCAATTCGAGGCCATCGGTCTCCCTGGCTCTTGGAGCTTCTCCCCAATGCGTCCGTGGCTCAGAATGCCAGTGCATATCAAGCGTCAGTGAATCCTTACAAATCAGTAGAGCACGGTACATTGGTATGTCGTCTTCTGCGAAGCCGGTACCGCCGGGCACTCATGCGAGCCCTTTCTTTGCGGTTTTCCCATTTTGGCTTCTCGGGCCCAGGGGCTTCAACTGGTATCACTGTCAGCTGTCCATTCAGTGACGTTTCCTTTCTTTCACAGGTCTCGGCCCCTGCCACCCCCTCACCGCCACCGAGACGGCTTGTCCTCGGAGCTGTTCTCAGTGCGTCCATGGCTCAGAGCTGCTCTGCCTGTGTTCGACCCTCACACCCCAACACCCCAGGCGATCAGTGCTTCGCATTGGGTCATTAGAGTACCCCCCTTTTTCTCCAGCCTCTGCGGAGCTTGCCCCACTTGTAGCACCTACGGGATGTCACTTGCGTTTGTGCTCTTTCCTCGAGCTCTTGGGGTCCAAGACTGTGTGTGGCGTTCCCTCCATTTGCGATTCTCCCAGGTGCTTTTCGGCGTTCCTGCCAAGGGGACGGAGGAACACTCTCCCAGCTTTGCCACTTATGTCGTCCCAGGACGTGCCTATGTCGGACGCGCGTTTCCACCAGATCCACAACGCTGCGGATGGGCCACTTTGGAAGGATCGGTCCTTTGCGTCCGCTAGGCAAATCCTAGCACATAACTGGAAGGCGCGCTGGAGCATCATCCGCCTCGAGAACGACTTAGTCAAAACCCTCCTGGACGCCTTGGCTCAGCATCCTGAAGAGCGGGCTCTTTTTGTCCACAACTTGGCCGAAATGTCCTCAGAGTCTGAGTCAGAGGAACTTCCTCCCTCCGAAGCACCAAACAAATCGCGGGGGTGACCCCTTTTCTTGAGCCCACATGGCTTTCCTTTCATGCGTGCTTTGTTACGCATCTTTTGTCACAGTGAGCATACATGTGCTTTGCGGCGCCTCGGGTGCCCAGACTTGGCTTCAAACAGCCAGTGTACTTATGCTTTTTTTGTTTGACTGTTCCATAAGCACTCTGTGCTTCTGCGCCTGGGCTAGCCTTTCTGGGCTTACACCGTGAGATCGTGCAGCCGACATCTGGCCCTCTATGTCATGCTTTCTCGCACCAGGGACCTCCCCTTTGTGATCTTCTTTGACATTTGTCGAGCAGGTCTCACGTGCTCAGGCAGTCGGCCGACTTTGGTGCCTGCGGTGGAGAAATGCCGGCAGCAGCGTAGGAATCATTGATGTGGGCTGTCGCCACCTGCGCTTCCCCTTTTGTATGAACTATCTGGAATCTTCGTGGTTTGCTGCCTCTTTGATTCTGTTCGCTCAGGCTTTGGCCGATTTCCGCCGCCAAAGCTGCGGGAGCATCGCCCCCTTCTCGCTTCTGCAGGCACGGCATTTACCCAAAACTCTTCAAGCCCTGTTGACCCTAAGCCGCTAACCCTGAGCCTTCGGTGTTCCCCCTTATAAAGGGGTACATCCCAACCTATAAGTGAACCCTATGCTGTGCTTCACTTTTGCGTGATTGCTTTGCTGGCAGCCAGTACGGGACATTGTCCACGCTTTTTCCTGTCAGGGAGTCAGGCCGGCTTCTTTGTCCTGCCGGTACAGAGCCTCTTACAAATCTCCGGGCGTTGACACACGGTCAATCAAGTCCTTCGGTCACCGCAGTTCTGCGCTTCGGCCCTTCCTGCGGAGGACTTGACGGTCCGTGGGGGCCAGCGCACGTTTGGCAAGAAAGATTACGTGCTTGTTTAAGTGTTCAGTGTGAGCATCCGTCCACGCACTCACCCCAGCCCGCGACTTTCTGTAGCAGGCTTTGCAGGGCTTCCCTATGGAGCGTCAATTCCTTACGGGGAGGCTCGCCATGCCGGCACGAAAGGATTCCTACGTGCGAGACCTTTCGCTCTTGTTTTAGGCAATGTCCCTAAACCTAGGAATCCTCGCACACCTTTTCTTAGCGCTGGTTTCGGCGGCTCCTGCCTGCAACCATGTCAGGAGACATGCGCCGCTCAGTGGTTCAGATCCGCAGCATCGTCCTTTGAGAGTAAATGAGCGGATGCAATGCTTTTCTCAGGGTGCTGCTTTTGTGATGACAGTCAGCCTGTCTCTTGTGCTTTGGGACGATCCAGTGAGCAGCGGCAGAGTCACAGCACAGCCTTTTCCCTCGCACGGCCTCCGGCCCTTGTGGCTCTCAGAGAGCCGTAGAGCCCTTGCTTGTTACTTTGCATTTGAACATGGAACACTTTGCATACCTTTTGCCGTACATCACTTTGAGTGGGACTCCAACAGCCGCGTATATCTGTCCGCGGGTCGGGCACATGGACCGCCCCGACGAGGTGGCTTTTCTGAGGGAGGAAGTCTCCCGTCTCAGGCATCAGGTTGCCATTCTGCAAGGGGACCTGTCGGGAGCTCATCTGACTACAGAGGGGCTTCTCGCACGTATCCTCGCTCTGGAGCAGTCGTCCAGTGGGCACACAGTCCGTTTGTCTGATATGGAGGCCGACCTCGAGCTCTGCAACAGTCGTCTGGCGGAGGTCCAGGCCTCTTTATGCGCAGTCATCCAAGGCATTGGATCTGTATTCTGTTCCATGCTCCGACAGTTGGGCAATCGACCCTAGACACGACTTTCGCCTACTACACCCTTGTCGGGGGTCGCGTTGCGACGCGCCTTTCTGCAATACGGCCGGCTTTCTCTGGAGCAGGATTGATGTGGCTTGAGCCACATGACAATACTTTGCTTGAGCCACCCAGTGAACTGGGGGCATGCCTGGCACGTCTTCGCTCACTTTTAAAATTGGGCTGTTCGGTGCGAGCTTTGACTTTGCCAGTGTTAATTTGGTGGTAAGCTCAGTTTCTCAGCTTTGGCGCAATTCGTCTGCTTTGCTTTGTGCTTCGAACTCTGAGCTGCGTTTCCGGCAAAGTCAAAAAGGAAAGGAGTGAGAGCTGGTGGTAGGTGCTCACTTGGCCTGGAGTTTCGTAGGGCTTGATAGTGGCTTTGGTAGTGTGGCTTGAACTAGCAGGTATCTTGTGTTTACTCAAGGATGTTTTTATTTTACTTCAACTGAGCTGTCACTTTGCTTGCGTATCAGCCATCGGCCCAAAGTGAGAGACTCATGTCTGGACACGTGACATGCTTCGCATGCGTGAGCAATTTTTGTGATGTCACCAAGTAGCATGTGGCACAATTCCTTTGGGTCATGTGGTTCTCCCTTCTTCCGATCACTTTTAGGTTGGGGGGGGTAGATTGCAGTTCCTCGCTCATCGCGGGAAGAGCCTAGAGACCCCACAGGGGGCGCATGGGCAGCGTGCCTACCGAGGACTCTCTTACTCCAGCGGAGGAAGCAGATAGGGCCCAGCTGCGGGTTGTTTTTGATCTTTGGGGTCAAGTTGGTGCCATTAGTCAGCAGCTCAGTTCCTTTCAAGAAGAAAGCCTGGTTTTCTCTGAGCATTTTGCCGCTTTGACACAACGTGTGCAACTTTTGCAAGGTCTGCTGTTGCATCTTTTGCTGCATTCATTGCGGTCACATCATTTCTTGCAGGAACTTGATTGACATGTCGCAAACCAGCCCTGCCGCATGCACGGGCGCCTCTTCTCCGTCAGGTGAAGATCCACTGCTGTCCGAAGCTTCAGATTTCCCCTCCTGGAGTTTGTGCCAGTCTCCAGAGAATGTTTCTGGGTTCGGTTCGAGGGAAGCTCAGAGGTCGCACTCCCCGCCTTCGCCTGTCCCTTGTGGTTTTGTGGTGAAGCGTTATCGCAAGAATCCTTTGCCCATTGCAGATTCCCCTCCTGAGCCTCCTCCACAGCCTGCCTTCTTGAGACCTAGTGCCAAGCCCGAACCCGCCCCACGCGGTCCGTTCCGGTTAAGTGATAGTTCACGTAGACCTGTGTGCGTGATGCTTCAGCCATGTCCTGCCCCTCGGCCTGGACCTCAGCCTCGGTTCACTGCGAGGGTTCTGCCATCATCCCCCTTGTTTCGGCCCGTTCCGCGTCGTGCTTCAGAGTATAGCAAACCCATTCCTTCGGCAGCATCTCAGCCAACTCCGGTCCGTGCGCATTGCGGGTCCACTGCAGGTCCACCTTCTGCAACTCCCACTGCATCGCAAAGCACTGTCACTGCCTATCGCTTTCAGGAGATGCCGCTGCGGAAGCGATCGCAGGGTCCTTCAGGTTTTGTCACCCAGAAGGACGTTCACTCTGAGACACGTGCGAAGGCCTTGCAACTTTGGCAGAACATGCGGTCTGTTTTGCTTCCGCTCTCTTCAGTTTTGCAGGAGCTTTCAGGTTCTTCCCACCCAGAGAGTTTGGAGGACAGGTTGCTGAGCGGGGTGTCTGAGACCACTTTACTCCGCTATCTTCAAGGTTTCAAGGGCTTTTTGCATGCGCTACACACCCTTGATCGAGCCTTGGACTCCTCTCTTCGTCAAGTGGACATTGCAGATGCACTCTTAACAATGCACAACATGGGCACTCATGTGCTTAATGGCCTCAAGTCCTTGCGTTGGGCCCAGAAGACGTTGCTTTTGTCCCTCCCGGATTTGTACCAGGGGCTCATGCGCTCCGTGTCCTACAGGGTTGAGAGTGATAGGAAGGAGGCATTCCCTCTGCCCCTTTTTGTCTTGGCTGCCTTAGAAAGGCAATTGCTGCTGGATATGGGCTCTCCTGCTCGCCGCCTTTTCATTGGGGCAGTTTTGACTTCTTGTTGGAGCAGCCTTCTTCTCAGCACGTTTCATGGAGCTCCATACAGGCAGGTTCTTGGTGCACACGAGGCACATCTTATCGCACCAAAGTCAGCAGGCGGGGGGTCCCTTTTGGTCTCCTTAACGAGGGTTTTTATAGTGCCGGCCGGAGTTTTGCGTGCACTTGGGTCGCACGCTACCTTCGCCTCCTGGGTGAGGAGTGGGACGCCTTAGAGGCGAGTTTTGGCTCTGTCACTCCAGATTGTCTCTTCTTCTCGTCTGCGGCAGGCGAGTTTCAGCCTCTCACGTATGGCGAGGTCCTCAACCAATTGCGTGGTCTTCTGATTTCCATTGGTTTGAGTACCGAGGAGGCCGGCACCTTTACAGTTCACTCGATGAAGGTTTGCCTTCTTTCCGTCATGGCGCAACGTGGTTTCCGAGTCTCCCGCCGGGAGGCTCAGGGGCATCATAAATCCTCCTCTCACAGTGCCAAGCTTTACAGTCGCGACGATGTGTGGCCAGCTTTGGCAGCCCAAAAGTCCTTAATGCGCAGCATCTCTCAGGGGTGGTGGCCGTCCACCCCTCTGGCCCGCGGCGGTCGTCATCCGGTTCCGCAGCGCGCCATTGCACACCTTTCCGTGGAAATCCAGCCAATAGCACCTCACCCCCGCTTTCCAGTTCTGGACGCCTCCTTGCACTCTGTCCCCGTCCGTCTGCATCACACGACCGTGCTGGGCCTTCTTCACCCACTGCAGCTGCTGATGTCTCTTCAGACTCCTCTTCATCGTCCGAGACGATTGCCCACGCTGCTGATGCGTTTCCACAGGGCAGTGCACGCCAGGCATCCTCCGCAGATGCTGACGAGTGTGAGGAACATGTCTTCCTCGTATCCCTCGTGGCTCCTGCAGTCAAAAAAGGGGGGGGCGAGAGGGCTTCTTTTGTGCAGTCTCAGTTTGTTCGCATGCTAGGCCACAACTGAGCAACTTCTGGCCCGCAGTGGTGCGGCTCGAATCGACAGTTCTGGTGGGGCTCCGTGCTTCGCAACGTGCTTCAAGGACAGGTCTCTCGGCTTGGTTCCGCCCCCCCAGTGACATCGCACCAGTTGGTGCTTCGGCCCCGCACGTGTGTGCAGTGGCTTCTTGGCCACGGCCTGTCAGATTCGCACGTGTGTGCCAAACTCTGAAAGGTTTGCACGGTGGCTTCTGTTGCAGCGTTCTTTTAAGGTTTCTCCAGGCTTCAGGTTTCGGGATCATCTCGGGCCTGGCTTGAAAAGTCTTTGCCTTCAGTCTCTTGCTGCACATGGTACATAAGGTGTTTGTCTGGCCATTTCTGTGAGGCGACAAAATGACCATCCCCTTCAATACACGCTCGGTTTCTCACGTGATAGTACGTGGGTTGTCCAAACAAACTTAGTCTCACGGGCGTGAGGTTCAGGTGTTTGCATCTGGAATGCAAAGTGATGCCAGCGAGATTCTCCTTGCTGCTCTCGAGCGTGTGCTCTCCTGTGGGGTTGGTCCCCTTCCGCACGTGTGTGGCATTTCGCGTTTGCGCACAGATGAGTTCATTTGCGTGTCTTTTCTTTGCTTGGCCAGGAATCATGGCTTCGGCGGATGTTCCGGATCTGGACGAAGAATTGCTGGCTCTGGCAATTCAATGCAAGGTGCCCGAGGCATACCATCAGTGCCTCTCAGGCTTCGATGTTCCTCTTTTCGGCCTTCGCGCCAGCACTTGACACTCTCCTCGAGAAGGTTTCTGCCCCGGAATCCGCCGCTGAGATCTTGCTGGTTCAGGCTTCATTTCGGCTTCTCTTTCAGAAATGCAATAACCAGGCAGCCGCTTCGCAAGGCACTGAGCCCAAAGCTCCTTCCTCGGCTTCGACATCTGGGTGGGTCGAGCAGTTCCCGCCCAAGTTGTCAGGTGAGCAGGTCATCCAGCTGCGTTCCGCCTTTGGAGCGTCCTATCCGGGCGAAGTGTTGGACCACGAGAACACCCCCGGCAGTCGCATGTTGGCTCTTACTTCGAAGGTGATGCAGCCGGGTGAGCATAAGTGGATACCCTGGAAGTTTCGGATGAGCAAGGCTCAAGAGGAAGCTTTCAACCTTCGCCGGCCCTCCAAGGTCCCGAAGTTCGAGGACTTCATCTACGATGAGATTCCAGCTCGAGAACTTCCGCAAGGCCAAGTTGGCGCATCATTTCTTCAAGGGGTGCTCGGCCTCATGTCGGTGTCGGCATCCTTGGTGCAAGGGGCACATCTCCACAATCTTCGCCTCTATGAGCGCAAGTTCATCAAGTTGGCATGCTCACGCTTGGAAGGTTCGACTGGCCTCAGACAACCTAACATCGAGGAGTTACAGGCTGCCGACCGACATCTCTGGGGTATCATGGCTGACTTGGTCAACGTGCACAAGTGGACGTTGAATGATGCCTTGACTGAGGTGGTTGAAATCCGCGGTGATATGTCAGCCATGCTCCAGCCACGTGCAGCTGTCTCTAAGTTTCGGCCAGAGGGCAGGAAGGGTGATGGCAAGAAGGGCCGTCCCCCTCAGGAGTCTTCATCTGGCAAGGGTGGCAAAGGTCAGCGCTGGGTTCTCTCTTACCAGGACAAGTCTGGGGCACGCGAGAATCTCTGTCGTGGCTACAGTTCTCGTGACGGATGCAAGTTTGCGAATTGTCGCTTTGAGCATTTGTGTCCGGTCCCAGGCGCGGATGGCCGTCCATGTTTGGGTAAGCATCCGGCGTACGAGCACAAGTCACGCGCTTCAAACTGACTATCTTCTTCACTGGGAGCCGGCAATTCAGATGTTCGTACAACAAGAGAGGATGATGGTGTCTCGCCCGCAGAAGCTCTTCAGAATGGCGATTTCTCTTGGGAGACTTGCTTGTATCTTTTGCAGGACTCGTTCCCTGGTGCAGTTTTTCTTCGCCGTTCACACGTGCTGACTGGGGGTCGACCTGCTGCTCAGTATTTTAACTTAGGGGCACGCGTGGGGGGTCAAGGTGGCATGTGCTCGGCCACTCTGGAGCAGCAAGATCTTGTGCGGTATGTGAACGCATTTCTCGCGCACCTTTTTCCTGAAGGCACTTGGACGAGCATCTGTGTTTCTCACAATGAGTTTGCGCACATCCACCAGGATTTCAACAGCCCCGACTCTCAGAATTACACCCTCAGCCTGGGGGCCTTCTCGGGCGGAGGCTTGTGGTTGGAAGGCGACGCTTCAGCTTTTCCAGGCTACACCTTGGTGCCGCCTCCAGACAAGGAGGCAGATCAGTCCTTACGTGGGGCCATTGTGTGCACTCGGCGGGCAGGATTCTCTTTCAATGGCCGCTTGCGCCACTGCAGCGAACCATGGGTTGGCGATCGCTGGGTCGTCATCGCTTATACGGCGCCGAATCCGGATGCTCTGTCCGCTGATGACGTCTCCTTGCTGGCGGCTCTTGGTTTTCCCTTGCCTCGCGTGTCGAGCACACCTCCACCGCCATCTGCTCGAGGCAGTGTCGTTGCAACTCCTGCTCCGGATGCACAGGTCACGTGCCCATCACCAACGCTTCCCGAGCAGGTCCTGCCTCCGCACTTTCCTGCCCTGCGACGGAATCTTTTCCTCGAGTTGTGTTCAGGCAGGAATCGGCCACTTTCCTCTGCGGCTCTCAGGGCTGGTGTCTCTGTCATATCAGTTGATATCCTTCGCTCATGTGAGCAGGACATCCTCCAGGATAGCACTTACGATGCTTTGTTGCGGCTGGGGTTCTCCGGTCAAGTGACACTTGCGAATGCATCTCCACCATGCACTGAGTACAGCCGTCTCAAGTTGCTGGATAATGCAGGCCCCCGCCCTCTGCGTTCACCGGACCATATGGAAGGTTTCCCAGACTTGAATGCTGAGGAGAAGCACCGTTTCGAGCAAAGCCGCTTGCTCCTTTTTCGCTCCTTGCACATCCTCCGCGCTGTGTGGTGCGGTGGTGGCCACATTAGCTTCGAACACCCTGCCAACAGCCTTGCCTGGCTCGAGAAAGAGACCCAGGCTTTTCTTAAGCACGTTTCCGCCGATCTCAACTGCATTGCGGCTTGTCGGTTTGGGGCAGATTGGTACAAACGTTGGCTCTTTGCTTGCACTTGGCGGGATATGCAGGGCTTGGCGTGTGCTTGCAATCACGCTCCCGACAGCCACCAACAGGTGGTTGGTGCTCGCAACTCGGATGGCACCTGGGCCTCAGCTGCTACTTCTGAGTTCCCTCCTGCACTGGCGGAGGCGTATGTGGCTGCTGCGCTGCCCTTGTTCGAGACGTGTGCAGATCCAGTTGATTTGTCCTTGGCCCAGCTCCCCTTCCTTGTACCCAAGAAGGGCATGCACTCTCCTCCTTTTGGCACGCAAGATGGCGGCGGCATCTTTTCCTGCCCTGATTGGTCTAAGCCCCCTAGCGATGCTGTGGATGTCTTTGACGGCTTGCGCCAAGAACTTGTGCATTACCTGTTGTCTCGCAAGGCACCTCTTCGCCTTCAGGAGCATGTTCAAAGTCAATGCGAGGATGCTCTGTTTTCCGCGGATGAAGTGCTGGCTCTTCGCGCCATGTGGTCCTCCTGGTTCACTCGCAAGGGCTGGCCTGCCCCCGATTGGACAGTTCCACCTTCTCAGCCATATTGTCTTCATGCCCTCTCCGCTTTGTCCCGAGCCATGGGCGATCGAGATGACATGCTGTTTCCTTGCCTGTTGGAGGGCATCCCCACTGGTTTCTTCAATGACATCCCGAGGAGCAACGTCTTCATCCCGGTGGAAGACGTGGGCAGCCTGGCCTCCGATGATCAACTGCAGATTTGCGAGAGCAATTGGCAGGGCGCACGGGAGAACCCAGCTATCCTGCACGAGTTGGTGCAGAAAGAAGTCGATGAAGGCTGGCTGGAAGAGGTTCCTCTCTCCGAGGCAAAGCAACGTTGGGATAAAATCGCGGTTGCCAAGCTGAACGTGGTCCTTGCTGAAAACAAGAAGCCCCGCTTGATCATGGATGGGACTATCAGTGGGACCAACCCGAGCTGTTTCATGAACGAGAAGTACAACCTCCCTGGCCTGCAGGATGTTCGCTCTTGCTTTCCTCTTCGCGGGTGCCACTCTCAGCACGCAGGTTTCAGTTTGGATATCCGGGCCGCGCATAAAACAATCCGTATCAAGGAATCGGAGCGTGGTCTGTGCGGCATTAAGCTGGAGGATGGCCGCCATTACTGGTATCGCGTGTGCCCCTTTGGTACGAATTTCTCAGCTCTTTGGTGGGCGCGGCTTTCATCCTTCATGATCAGGGTTTTCCATCTTCTATTATGGGTCGCACATATGCTCAGCATTTATGTGGACGATCTTTTACTGGTCCAGGACGATGCTGTGGTGGCAGTGTTCGGCAGCTTGCTTCTTTCTTTCTGCCAATCCTTCGGGATTCCTCTTTCCTGGGCCAAGGTACAACTCAGTCATGAGCTGAAGTGGTTGGGCTGGTGTTTTAACTTTCGCGCCGGAACGTTCTGGGTTCCAGAAGATAAGCGGGCCAAGCTGCTGCACCAAGTCCGGGTTCTTCTCAGAAAAGGTCCTGTCGAGAAACAGGCCCTAGAGCAGACCGTGGGTCTGTTGATGTGGATAACTCAGGCATCGGTGCAGCTGCGCCCCTGGCTTTGCAACCTTTGGCGGGATCTTCAACGTCCGGCAGCGACAAACTTCAGCATCTCTTCCAGTGAATGGCAGACGCTCAAGGATCACCTGGACGAGAACTTGCGGTTCTGTTCTACCCCGCCTGGGACGGCCATTCCATGCGGTGCTACCTTGATCTCTGCCCGACACGTCCCACTTCGCAGCAAGGCAGATCTGTGCAAGGTCCCTTTGACAACTCGTCGCGTCTACATGCGGATTGCTGACCCGCAACACCGGAAGCGGCATGTGTCCGAGGCGAGCCGTCGCTTCTTGCTCTTCTGGGAGGACTGGTGTCTCCAGTCTCCATCACTCACATGCTTGCAACCTTCTTGCAGGGCGATCTCCGCAACACTTGCAGCCGATGCGTTTGCTTCCAGCCTGTGCATTGGGATTGGGGGCTTTCTTCGTGTCCAGGGTTCCTCGGCAGTTTGGTTCAGTGAACGTTTTGCTCTCTCCGATATGCAATGCTTGGGGGTGCCTCTCGCCCCGGATGCTCAGAAGAACATTGGTTGCTGGGAACTGCTCGCCCAGATGGCCTTGCTCATCCTCTTTGCGGAGGTCTGTCCGGGTGGTCGTGCTGGCTTGTCGCTCCGCACCTTCTGCGATAACAGCGCGGCTGAGTCAGCAGGCAATCGCATGCTGACAACTTCCAGCCCCCTTTGCTTCTTCGCGCAGCAACTGGCGTGTCTTTCATTCAAGCTCGGCCTCACCTTGGACATCCAGCACATCTCCGGCTTTCGCAATACAGAAGCAGATTTCTTGAGTAGATGGCAGCCGCCGGAGGAGTTGCAGCACGGGTTTGAGCTCTTGTACAGGTATCGATTTCCTGTGGCTCGCATTTGGCAGTCGCATCATGATGTGCGTCTTTTTCCCGCAGATACAAAGCTGCTGTGGCAGCCCCCATGAGCTCAGTCGTCACACTTGAATGTTTGGGGCTTTCCAGGCGTTCCTCCTTCACTTTAGGATGTGGCAGTTCTAAAGTGGGGAATGTCTTTTGGTTCGCATGGATCGGTAATGTGTTCATGCTGCATGCTCACCTTTGATGCTTCGACCGCCACATCCAAAAAGTGAAGGAGTGTTTCGTCCGATGGTCCTTTGTGCAGTGGAGTGCATAGATCCGATTCGCGTGAGATATCTTCTGCATTCATCTTGATGTTGTAGATGTTCAGATTTGGCGAATGCGGGTGTGCGTTGTGAAAGATTTCCTTTGCTGTACTTTGGGCGATGGCTGATAGTAAAATATAAACGTATCTTGTGTTTACTCAAGGATGTTTTTATTTTACTTCAACTGAGCTGTCACTTTGCTTGCGTATCAGCCATCGGCCCAAAGTGAGAGACTCATGTCTGGACACGTGACATGCTTCGCATGCGTGAGCAATTTTTGTGATCCCACCCTCCCGCCCTTGGATTGTCTCTGGGGCTGGTGTGCTCTTTTGTTTTCCCTCGGGATTCGAGCCAGTTGCAGGAGGCTTTTGCTCGCATGGAGATGAAATCTCCCACACTTTCGATAATGGCATGTCTTGTGCCATTTGTCACTTCCAATGTGGTGTCCCACTTTTTCGAGCGCCTGAATCTTGCGCCCAAGAACTCTGGCACGTCGGCAAGCCGTGGTGCTACTCTGTATAGCCCTCCTTGGGGGGGAATGTCTTTTGGTTCGCATGGATCGGTAATGTGTTCATGCTGCATGCTCACCTTTGATGCTTCGACCGCCACATCCAAAAAGTGAAGGAGTGTTTCGTCCGATGGTCCTTTGTGCAGTGGAGTGCATAGATCCGATTCGCGTGAGATATCTTCTGCATTCATCTTGATGTTGTAGATGTTCAGATTTGGCGAATGCGGGTGTGCGTTGTGAAAGATTTCCTTTGCTGTACTTTGGGCGATGGCTGATAGTAAAATATAAACTGAACGGTTCATGTGTTTACTCATGTCTGTTTACTGTTGTGAAAGAACACCGTACTTTGTTGCCTTTGGTTCAAGCCACACACCAAATCATGCAGCTTGCATTGCATCGCTTGGTAGCTTCGCTTTTTTCGATCCCACCCACCACTCCCATTCTGAAGGCACATTCCTTCAGTTTGGGACGGGTCTCGGGACCTTCGTACAGCTGGAGCTTGCTCATCTTGCACCCGTGTCACAGTAGTGCTCGTTTTCTGCTTTGGGACATGTTCCATACTCGCGTTGCTTTCCTTTAGAGCTGTCAGCCTGGTCAATCCGGAGGGGCTCCCGTCTTTTGAACGGCCGGAGCTGGCCTCGTTTCACGAGAATCCACAAGATTGTTTTTCTTGCTTCGGTCAAGGTCTGTTCAGCTTTGTACCTGTGTTACATCGTGGTGATGCGCTTTGTTTCTCTGTTTTGGTGGTAAGCTCAGTTTCTCAGCTTTGGCGCAATTCGTCTGCTTTGCTTTGTGCTTCGAACTCTGAGCTGCGTTTCCGGCAAAGTCAAAAGGAAAGGAGTGAGAGCTGGTGCTAGGTGCTCACTTGGCCTGGAGTTTCGTAGGGCTTGATAGTGGCTTTGGTAGTGTGGCTTGAACTAGCAGTGAACAGGCGTGATCAGCTGAATGCAGCGCTCTCACAGGCTGCGAGCTCATCTTCTGCGCAGCAAGATAATCAACCGCATTCACAGCATCCCAGCTCTTCGTCTCATGACAACTCTTGGGAGTTTCTTGATCCACAGTAGGCCGACCCCATCGATTTTTATTCAAGTCTGCTTGACAGGCGAAGGACAGTGCAAAAGGTGTTTGCTTGCGTGCGTCTGTGTTCTGCGATCATTCTCTGTCAGCGAGCAGTGACGCCTGCGCCAGCTCCCCAGCTGTTTTGTCATGTGCTGCGTTTAAGGCTCAAGAACGTCCGAAGCTAACTGTTGTTTGTCTTTGAGGAGCTTCAAATAGCAACGGGCGCTTGGCCTCTGGGATGAAACGAGATGCTGAAACAGCGGGTGTTGATGAGAACACCAACCGAGAATCGAGGGTCCAGTGGCTGGCGGTGATGGTCACCAATGTTCCGATTGTGGATGTTGTGCTTGGTAGAATGGCCACTACAGGAACAGTCGACGACATCATGTTTGCGGTTGCTGATGATGTGTGGCATCGCACTGGGCATGATTTACGTACTTCCAGTTTTTGCCTGGAGTTGCAGGGCCGACATGTGCCCTTTAGCGCGAACTTCAGCGACTTGCCGTTGCAACCCGGTACTTGCATGCACTTCAGTCTTCGACTCACCCACTGACAGGACGCTTACTTAGGCGGAACCTCTGAGTGTAGCAAGGAAATCCTGTTTCACATGCCTGTAGGGGCCTTTCGTGTTTTGCACCCAATGAGACAGAAGACCCGCGCATCAGACAGGCGATTGGTTCTGTGTCCTTCCTCGGCTGGATTGAATGTGTAGTATTGAGTGATAGAAAGGATGGAGAATATAGTCATGGTGTGAATTTGAGAACAAAATAAAGTACAGTATTTCCAGCTCCTTCGGAATCTGCCAGGGCAGAGGCCCGGGGCGAAGGACTGGTTTGACTCTTACCCCCCAGCGGCAACTTATGCCCATGAGGTCAAGACACGTTTTTGCCATTCCTGGTCTAAAATGTATGACCTCCCATACCCGGCCTGGGTGTAATTGGGCCTCGCAGCTTGCCGCTTTCCCTGCTAGGTTTCAAGGACAAGAGGCTGACCCGGAAGCCTTCCAGGAGATAACCGATACCTTGGTTCGTGGGCTTCGGGAATACCTTGCTGCTCGCCGGGTTTCGGCACGTGTCGAGGGAGTTCCTTTGGCAACGATTCGGGATAACGTCAGACAGTGGGAGGGGATACTACGGACGGAGTGCGAGAAGGGAGGAATAACTGGCGTATCTCTTACCCTGCTGGGCAGAGAAAGAAATTGGCTTTCTCTTGTGAACTATGCGATAAGGGGGAGGGGTTACGTGCTGTGGCTACGCTTGTGATTGGCTGCGGAATGGATTGCAGTTGATCTGGTTGACAACTTTGCAAGGAGGATATCCATGACTTTGCGTGGAACGGAGGCCGATCTTTCTCTCTATTGGTGAGCATTGGCTGCATTTTGCTTTGGTGGCCAAACTCGATCACAATGTGCGACCATTGCAATGTTGGTTTTGCCTTTGTCTGATGATCACATCATCGACTGCGGGCATCGCTTGTATCCTGCATTGCTGCCGCTTTACACGCGTTGCATTTGCTGGTGCAACTATGTGCTCACCGTAGAGTGCTGAGAACGCCGTTTCACCTTGGTAGCTTTGGTTGTGTTGGTGGTTTGGTTGGTCTTTGTTCTGTTGGTCTCTTTGATTGATGCTTGGTCTTATGTCCCACCTCTTACAAGCAATAGGCTTGACTCGCTTACTGTGCCGCTGATGTGGTAAAGAAGCTCGTTGCCAAAAAACGCGCCCTGGCACCCCGTCATGTACTCATGTCCTGCCATGGTTTCGCTGCTAGATTCATTGCGAGATGATGTAAGAGCCGAATTAGCACGCTCGGCCTCGTCTTTCGCACAAAACTGCTTGCCTGGAACATGCGCAGCGCTGGCCAATCTTGGCTGCGTGGAAATGGTTGGTGCCCATCTGCCCATGAGCACGGAAGCAGTGGACTACGACGAGGAGCTCCATGGGAGCAGCGCAGGACACAGCAGGTCAGAGCTTGAGCATGAGCTTGCTTACTCCCGCATGCTCTGGGGCGTGCGCTGCAGGGGAGAAATTCTGACCTGAAGCTTTCAAGCATGTTACAGCACTGCAGGTCATGCTCTTGGGGTTATGCGCTTGCTGATCTTGGGCCTGCGCTGCGTGCGCAGCGGGTCAACGTTTGGGCGTCCGCGGCGTCTGCTGTTTGAGCGGTAGAAAGTGGTGATGTCGGGGCCGCGGAGCTTGTCCCACCAACCCCCGATATCCGATACTGTGCTCGTTCGCTGGCTCCCTCTGCGTCTGGGTGCCCCTGCGCCAGCTTCGCTGGCTGCCGCCTGACGAAAACACGGTGCTGAGGCGAGGGGTGAATGTCCAGTCAGACTAGCTGATGCACCGCTTCTGGATGGGGTGATGGCTGCTGGCGTCCCCGTGCGAAGAGGCCTATCGTGGTGCACTCAACATGACGTGTCAGTGTGTACAGGTGTTGCCAGCCTCCCTGTCTAGGTGCACTCAATGTGGTGGAACACAGCTTTTGGGTGAGCCAGCGGTTTCCCCATGTCCCTGGCGCCGCCGCGCCTCTCCGCTGTCCGCTTGCAATGCGTGTGGGATCGCCAGTTGGTTACGGCCGCGTTTGGCAGATGGTATCGAGCGCAGTTCATGCATTTATGGCCACATGCCGACCATTGCTTCTAGATGAGGCATCCACTTCGGAGGAGGTGAAAGTCGTCTTGCGGCAAGACGACAGGCAATCTGGGACAGAGGCTCCCGCCGTGTCCGACTGCCGTGACCCAGCGGGCTGCTGCGAAAATGTCCACCTTGCTTGTGCTCGTCTGCATTCTTCGAGGCCGCAAGCGATGCATGTCACGAGGGACATGACACAACCTCATTCGACCGGTGAGAAGCCATGAGCGCAGCCAAACTTGCCTATGTGTGAGGGGGTGGGAGCTTTTTCCAGGGTAGGACCATGCACATTGCGCCCTCCCGACTTCCTCGTTCAGTACCACCGGGCAAGCTCCGGAGCCCTCTCAACAAGGCAACAGTAGCCAGTAGCCGCGGTCATTTTGGAACTTCGACCAGCGATGGCTGGGATCCACGCTCGCCACCGTGGCTCGCATGGGTGTTGATGGTCTGTTGTTGTTTTGTGTTTCTTGGCTTATCCTTTAAGCTTCTGCTGGAGGGGTAGCCTTTTGTTGGGCTTGTTGTGGCCCTGGTCGATGCTCAACACTCAACACTCAACACTCAACACTAAATTTCCTTAAATTACGCCATATTCGGCATTTTACAATTTTTTTCGTACCTTAAATTCCTGAAATTCCTAAATTAAGCCTCTTTACATTCCTTAACTCCTTAAATTCCTTAAATTCCTTAAATTCCTAAATTTTAAAGAATTTAAGGAATTTAAGGAATTTGAAGACTTACAAAAACTAATTATTGCTTAAATTCCTTAAATTCTTTAAACTCCTAAATTAAGCCTTAATTCAGGAATTTAAGGAATTCACATGTACATGTACATGTACATGTACATGTAAATATACGTGTATCTGCAAATGTAAATGTACATGTAAATGTAGATGTAAACGCAAATGTAAAACATGAAAATGAAAATGAAACTGTAACTGTAAACGTACATGTGTATGTGTATGTATATGTATATGTATATGTGTATGTATATGTATATGTACATGTTTCTGTATATGTGTGTGTATATGTATATGTATATGTATGTGTATATGTATATGTATATACATATGTATATGTGTATGCATATGTATATGTATGTGTCTGTGTATATGTATATGTATTTCTGGAGAAAAACGCAGGCCCCATGGCAGGCCCTTCTGTATATGCATAATATGTATATGTATATATGTATGTATACGTATGTGTATGTGTATGTGTATGTGTAGATGTGTATGTATATGTATATGTATATGTATATGTATATGTATATGTATATGTATATGTGTATGTATACGGAAACGTATATGTATATGTAAATTGCATATGTATACATATATATATATATATATACATAGGTTTTTAAGATATCTACAGTATGAGCCTGGTACCTTTTGGGATTATGCGTCCTAAACAATGACGAATGAGTCCTGTGCTATGTTCATAACGCAGTATAATTCGTTCAGAAGTTCAAGAGAGTCTCAAAACCAATTATGTGTCAGAATACCGTCCCATGCGTGTTAGGCCAATGTTTTGTTGTGTATTCGCATGTGGCGTGAACTACATAATTCTCTGATCCCGACGCTTTTAGGGTTCATCGTGTATTGAGCTTCTGTAATGCACTTCTAATCAATATTATGAATATGAATATGAATATGAATATTAATAAAAATATAAGTAGAAATAGGAATAGAAATATAAATATGAATACAAAAATAAAGAATCAACATAAATATAAAGATAAATCTCAAAAAAAATACAAATATAAGGTCACCCCCCCCCCCCAATGGACCCACCGCGGGCCTTGATCTTTGCAAAAGTACCGCAAATACCGATAAAACCTATGCTGTCTGGTGATTTTCCGGTGACCGGATTTTTGTATCTTGTGTTTGCTCAAGGATGTTTTTTTTTGAATTCAACTGAGCCTGTCACTTTGCTTGCGTATCAGCCATCGGCCCAAAGTGAGAGACTCATGTCTGGACATGACATACTTCGCATGCGTAAGCAATTTTGTGATGTCACCAAGTTGCATGTGGCACAATTCCTTTGGGTCATGTGGTTCTCCCTTCTTCCGATCACTTTGAGGTTGGAGGGGGTAGATTGCAGTTCCTCGCTCATCGCGGGAAGAGCCTAGAGACCCGACAGGGGGCGCATGGGCAGCGTGCCTGAGAAGAGGCGCCCGTGCATGCGGCAGGGCTGGTTTGCTCAAGAAATGATGTGACCGCAATGAATGCAGCAAAAGATGCAACAGCAGACCTTGCAAAAGTTGCACACGTTGTGTCAAAGCGGCAAAATGCTCAGAGAAGATGCCGCTGCGGAAGCGATCGCAGGGTCCTTCAGGTTTTGTCACCCAGAAGGACGTTCACTCTGAGACACCCAGAGAGTTTGGAGGACAGGTTGCTGAGCGGGGTGTCTGAAACCACTTTACTGCTATCTTCAAGGTTTCAAGGGCTTTTTGCATGCGCTACACACCTTGATCGAGCCTTGGACTCCTCTCTTCGTCAAGTGGACATTGCAGATGCACTCTTAACAATGCACAACATGGGCACTCATGTGCTTATGGCCTCAAGTCCTTGCGTTGGGCCCAGAAGACGTTGCTTTTGTCCCTCCCGGATTTGCACCAGGGGCTCATGCGCTCCGTGTCCTACAGGGTTGAGAGTGATAGGAAGGAGGCATTCCCTCTGCCCCTTTTGTCTTGGCTGCCTTAGAAAGGCAATTGCTGCTGGATATGGGCTCTCCTGCTCGCCGCCTTTTCATTGGGGCAGTTTTGACTTCTTGTTGGAGCAGCCTTCGCCTCAGCGATTCTCAGCACGTTTCATGGAGCTCCATACAGGCAGGTTCTTGGTGCACACGAGACACATCTTATCGCACCAAAGTCAGCAGGCGGGGGGACCGCTTTGGTCTCCTGAACGAGGGTTTTTATAGTGCCGGCCGGAGTTTTGCGTGCACTTGGGTCGCACGCTACCTTCGCCTCCTGGGTGAGGAGTGAGACGCTTTAGAGGCGAGTTTTGGCTCTGTCACTCCAGATTGTCTCTTCTTCTCGTCTGCGGCAGGCGAGTTTCAGCCTCTCACGCATGGCGAGGTCCTCAACCAATTGCGTGGTCTTTTGATTTCCCATTGGTTTGAGTACTGAGGAGGCCGGCACCTTTACAGTTCACTCGATGAAGGTTTGCCTTCTTTCCGTCATGGCGCAACGTGTTTCCGAGTCTCCCGCCGGGAGGCTCAGGGGCATCATAAATCCTCCTCTCACATGCCAAGCTTTGCAGTCGCGTGGCCAGCTTTGGCAGCCCAAAAGTCCTTAATGCGCAGCATCTCTCAGGGGTGGTGGCCGTCCACCCCTCTGGTCGCGGCGGTCGTCATCCGGTTCCGCAGCGTGCCATTGCACACCTTTCCGTGGAAATCCAGCCAATAGCACCTCACCCCCGCTTTCCAGTTCTGGACGTCTCCTTGCACCCTGTTTCTGAGCCTGGTCCGTCTGCATCACACGACCGTGCTGGGCCTTCTTCACCCATGGCAGCTGCTGATGTCTCTTCAGACTCCTCTTCATCGTCCGAGACGATTGCCCACGCTGCTGATGCGTTTCCACAAGGCAGTGCACGCCAGGCATCCTCCGCAGATGCTGACGAGTGTGAGGAACATGTCCTCGTATCCCCCAAGGGCGTGTGGCATGTGGGCTTTCCCCACAGTGGCCCGGATGGTTCCAGCTTCGTGCGTGCAGGCAAAGCTGTTCTTTTGCGTCCTAAGTGCGGCGCTTTGGCTCGCTCCTACTCGGTTCAGGACAAGGAACCGCCTCCGGATGCCCGTCTGTGCATGCATGCTGCATGCAGGAAATTTCTGTCCGAGTGATTCGTGGCTCCTGCAGTCAAAAAAGGGGGGGGCGAGAGGGCTCCTTTTGTGCAGTCTCAGTTTGTCCGCATGCTAGGCCACAACTGAGCAACTTCTGGCCCGCAGTGGTGCGGCTCGAATCGACAGCTCTGGTGGGGCTCCGTGCTTCGCAACGTGCTTCAAGGACAGGTCTCTCGGCTTGGTTCCGCCCCCCCAGTGACATCGCACCATTTGGTGCTTCGGCCCCGCACGTGTGTGCAGTGGCTTCTTGGCCACGGCCTGTCAGATTCGCACGTGTGTGCCAAACTCTGAAAGGTTTGCACGGTGGCTTCTGTTGCAGCGTTCTTAACAGGTTTCTCCAGGCTTCAGGTTTCGGGATCATCTCGGGCCTGGCATGAAAAGTCTTTGCCTTCAGTCTCTTGCTGCACATGGTACATAAGGTGTTTGTCTGGCCATTTCTGTGAGGCGACATAATGACCATCCCGTTCAATACACGCTCGGTTTATCACGTGATAGTACGTGGGTTGTCCAAACAAACTTAGTCTCACGGGCGTGAGGTTCAGGTGTTTGCATCTGGAATGCAAAGTGATGCCAGCGAGATTCTCCTTGCTGCTCTCGAGCGTGTGCTCTCCTGTGGGGTTGGTCCCCTTTCGCACGTGTGTGGCATTTCGCGTTTGCGCACAGATGAGTTCATTTGTGTGTCTTTTCTTTGCTTGGCCAGGAATCATGGCTTCGTATCATGTACTTGTTCATGTATGTTTTATAAACTATGTTCGTGCGTCATTTTGGCTCTAGAGTGGTGCTTGCTAGCGAGAAAGTCAAGTTTCCTCACCCACCCACCCCAATTTTTGGGGTTCTCTGTCTCACGGGCACTGGCCAGAAGAACAATCAAGACCCCGTTACAAGAAAGTGGGCTCTCGGGGCGGGCCGTAGCACAGCACCTGTATTGCAGGTAGTCTCACTTGTATGCATCTCTTTTGGAGCAAGCCCATCTGGGCTTCTGGGTTCACACTTGCACAGTCATGTTTCTTGTATGGGCGGCTGAAAAAGCTGTCTGGTGTCATTTTTCTCCGTACAGGCCATATCTTGCTTTGCAGTATGCTGCGAATGACCGGGGCGAAACTGTGTTAACCTTAGTGTTTTTCACCTACCTTTTCTCGTGTTGTCAAAGTGTTGCTTCGGTCTCTCATGGGTGGGGTAACTTGGTCCCACCCATCAACCTGTTGTGTGCATCGTTAGCTGTTTCCTCGAGTGGATGTTGGTGAGGATTTCCGGCACTCCAGAGAAAACAAAGCGTGGAGCGAAGCTCGTAGCCTTTTGAAGCCTCCGGCTATACCGCTAGCAAGCACAACTAGTTTATAGAACGGCGGATGTTCCGGATCTGGACGAAGAATTGCTGGCTCTGGCAATTCAATGCAAGGTGCCCGAGGCATACCATCAGTGCCTCTCAGGCTTCGATGTTCCTCTTTTCGGCTGTTTGGCCGCCTCAGCCACAGACTTCGCGCCAGCACTTGACACTCTCCTCGAGAAGGTTTCTGCCCCGGAATCCGCCGCTGAGATCTTGCTGGTTCAGGCTTCATTTCGGCTTCTCTTTCAGAAATGCAATAACCAGGCAGCCGCTTCGCAAGGCACTGAGCCCAAAGCTCCTTCCTCGGCTTTGATATCTGGGTGGGTCGAGCAGTTCCCGCCAAAGTTGTCAGGTGAGCAGGTCATCCAGCTGCGTTCCGCCTTTGGAGCGTCCTATCCGGGTGAAGTGTTGGACCACGAGAACACCCCCGGCAGTCGCATGTTGGCTCTTACTTCGAAGGTGATGCAGCCGGGTGAGCTTAAGTGGATACCCTGGAAGTTTCGGATGAGCAAGGCTCAAGAGGAAGCTTTCAACCTTCGCCGGCCCTCCAAGGTCCCGAAGTTCGAGGACTTCATCTACGATGAGATTCCAGCTCGAGAACTTCCGCAAGGCCAAGTTGGCGCATCATTTCTTCAAGGGGTGCTCGGCCTCATGTCGGTGTCGGCATCCTTGGTGCAAGGGGCACATCTCCACAATCTTCGCCTCTACGAGCGCAAGTTCATCAAGTTGGCATGCTCACGCTTGGAGGGTTCGACTGGCCTCAGACAACCTAACATCGAGGAGTTACAGGCTGCCGACCGACATCTCTGGGGTATCATGGCTGACTTGGTCAACGTGCACAAGTGGACGTTGAATGATGCCTTGACTGAGGTGGTTGAAATCCGCGGTGATATGTCAGCCATGCTCCAGCCACGTGCAGCTGTCTCTAAGTTTCGGCCAGAGGGCAGGAAGGGTGATGGCAAGAAGGGCCGTCCCCCTCAGGAGTCTTCATCTGGCAAGGGTGGCAAAGGTCAGCGCTGGGTTCTCTCTTACCAGGACAAGTCTGGGGCACGCAAGAATCTCTGTCGTGGCTACAGTTCTCGTGATGGATGCAAGTTTGCGAATTGTCGCTTTGAGCATTTGTGTCCGGTCCCAGGCGCGGATGGCCGTCCATGTTTGGGTAAGCATCCGGCGTACGAGCACAAGTCACGCGCTTCAAACTGACTATCTTCTTCACTGGGGGCCGGCAATTCAGATGTCCGTACAACAAGAGAGGATGATGGTGTCTCGCCCGCAGAAGCTCTTCAGAATGGCGATTTCTCTTGGGAGACTTGCTTGTATCTTTTGCAGGACTCGTTCCCTGGTGCAGTTTTTCTTCGCCGTTCACACGTGCTGACTGGGGGTCGACCTGCTGCTCAGTATTTTAACTTAGGGGCACGCGTGGGGGGTCACGGTGGCATGTGCTCGGCCACTCTGGAGCAGCAAGATCTTGTGCGGTATGTGAACGCATTTCTCTCGCACCTTTTTCCTGAAGGCACTTGGACGAGCATCTGTGTTTCTCACAATGAGTTTGCGCACATCCACCAGGATTTCAACAGCCCCGAATCTCAGAATTACACCTTCAGCCTGGGGGCCTTCTCGGGCGGAGGCTTGTGGTTGGAAGGCGACGCTTCGGCTTTTCCAGGCTACACCTTGGTGCCGCCTCCAGACAAGGAGGCAGATCAGTCCTTGCGTGGGGCCATTGTGTGCACTCGGCGGGCAGGATTCTCTTTCAATGGCCGCTTGCGCCACTGCAGCGAACCATGGGTTGGCGATCGCTGGGTCGTCATCGCTTATACGGCGCCCAATCCGGATGCTCTGTCCGCTGATGACGTCTCTTTGCTGGCGGCTCTTGGTTTTCCCTTGCCTCGCGTGTCGAGCACACCTCCACCGCCATCTGCTCAAGGCAGTGTCGTTGCAACTCCTGCTCCGGATGCACAGGTCACGTGCCCATCACCACCGCTTCCCGAGCAGGTCCTGCCTCCGCACTTTCCTGCCCTGCGACGGAATCTTTTCCTCGAGTTGTGTTCAGGCAAGAATCGGCCACTTTCCTCTGCGGCTCTCAGGGCTGGTGTGTCTGTCATCTCAGTTGATATCCTTCGCTCATGTGAGCAGGACATCCTCCAGGATAGCACTTACGATGCTTTGTTGCGGCTGGGGTTCTCCGGCCAAGTGACACTTGCGCATGCATCTCCACCGTGCACTGAGTACAGCCGTCTCAAGTTGCTGGATAATGCAGGCCCCCGCCCTCTGCGTTCACCGGACCATATGGAAGGTTTCCCAGACTTGAATGCTGAGGAGAAGCACCGTTTCGAGCAAAGCCGCTTGCTCCTTTTTCGTTCCTTGCACATCCTCCGCGCTGTGTGGTGCGGTGGTGGCCACATTAGCTTCGAACACCCTGCCAACAGTCTTGCCTGGCTCGAGAAAGATACCCAGGCTTTTCTTAAGCACGTTTCCGCCGATCTCAACTGCATTGCGGCTTGTCGGTTTGGGGCAGATTGGTACAAACGTTGGCTCTTTGCTTGCACTTGGCGGGATATGCAGGGCTTGGCGTGTGCTTGCAATCACGCTCCCGACAGCCACCAACAGGTGGTTGGTGCTCGCAACTCGGATGGCACCTGGGCCTCAGCTGCTACTTCTGAGTTCCCTCCTGCACTGGCGGAGGCGTATGTGGCTGCTGCGCTGCCCTTGTTCGAGCCGTGTGCAGATCCAGTTGATTTGTCCTTGGCCCAGCTCCCCTTCCTTGTACCCAAGAAGGGCATGCACTCTCCTCCTTTTGGCACGCAAGATGGCGGCGGCATCTTTTCCTGCCCTGATTGGTCTAAGCCCCCTAGCGATGCTGTGGATGTCTTTGACGGCTTGCGCCAAGAACTTGTGCATTACCTGTTGTCTCGCAAGGCACCTCTTCGCCTTCAGGAGCATGTTCAAAGTCAATGCGAGGATGCTCTGTTTTCCGCGGATGAAGTGCTGGCTCTTCGCGCCATGTGGTCCTCCTGGTTCACTCGCAAGGGCTGGCCTGCCCCCGATTGGACAGTTCCACCTTCTCAGCCATATTGTCTTCATGCCCTCTCCGCTTTGTCCCGAGCCATGGGCGATCGAGATGACTTGCTGTTTCCTTGCTTGTTGGAGGGCATCCCCACTGGTTTCTTCAATGACATCCCGAGGAGCAACGTCTTCATCCCGGTGGAAGACGTGGGCAGCCTGGCCTCCGATGATCAACTGCAGATTTGCGAGAGCAATTGGCAGGGAGCACGGGAGAACCCTGCTATCCTGCACGAGTTGGTGCAGAAAGAAGTCGATGAAGGCTGGCTGGAGGAGGTTCCTCTCTCCGAGGCAAAGCAACGTTGGGATAAAATCGCGGTTGCCAAGCTGAACGTGGTCCTTGCTGAAAACAAGAAGCCCCGCTTGATCATGGATGGGACTATCAGTGGGACCAACCCGAGCTGTTTCATGAACGAGAAGTACAACCTCCCTGGCTTGCAGGATGTTCGCTCTTGCTTTCCTCTTCGCGGGTGCCACTCTCAGCACGCAGGTTTCAGTTTGGATATCCGGGCCGCGCGCAAAACAATCCGTATCAAGGAATCGGAGCGTGGTCTGTGCGGCATTAAGCTGGAGGATGGCCGCCATTACTGGTATCGCGTGTGCCCCTTTGGTACGAATTTCTCAGCTCTTTGGTGGGCGCGGCTTTCATCCTTCATGATCAGGGTTTTCCATCTTCTATTATGGGTCGCACATATGCTCAGCATTTATGTGGACGATCTTTTGCTGGTCCAGGATGATGCTGTGGTGGCAGTGTTCGGCAGCTTGCTTCTCTCTTTCTGCCAATCCTTCGGGATTCCTCTTTCCTGGGCCAAGGTACAACTCAGTCACGAGCTGAAGTGGTTGGGCTGGTGTTTTAACTTTCGCGCCGGAACGTTCTGGGTTCCAGAAGATAAGCGGTCCAAGCTGCTGCATCAGATTCGGGTTCTTCTCAGAAAAGGTCCTGTCGAGAAACAGGCCCTAGAGCAGACCGTGGGTCTGTTGATGTGGATAACTCAGGCATCGGTGCAGCTGCGCCCCTGGCTTTGCAACCTTTGGCGGGACCTTCAACGCCCGGCAGCGACAAACTTCAGCATCTCTTCCAGTGAATGGCAGACGCTCAAGGATCACCTGGATGAGAACTTGCGGTTCTGTTCTACCCCGCCTGGGACGGCCATTCCATGCGGTGCTACCTTGATCTCTGCCCGACACGTCCCACTTCGCAGCAAGGCAGATCTGTGCAAGGTCCCTTTGACAACTCGTCGCGTCTACATGCGGATTGCTGACCCGCAACACCGGAAGCGGCATGTGTCCGAGGCGAGCCGTCGCTTCTTGCTCTTCTGGGAGGACTGGTGTCTCCAGTCTCCATCACTCACATGCTTGCAACCTTCTTGCAGGGCGATCTCCGCAACACTTGCAGCCGATGCGTTTGCTTCCAGCCAGTGCATTGGGATTGGGGGCTTTCTTCGTGTCCAGGGTTCCTCGGCAGTTTGGTTCAGTGAACGTTTTGCTCTCTCCGATATGCAATGCTTGGGGGTGCCTCTCGCCCCGGATGCTCAGAAGAACATTGGTTGCTGGGAACTGCTCGCCCAGATGGCCTTGCTCATCCTCTTTGCGGAGGTCTGTCCGGGTGGTCGTGCTGGCTTGTCGCTCCGCACCTTCTGCGATAACAGCGCGGCTGAGTCAGCAGGCAATCGCATGCTGACAACTTCCAGCCCCCTTTGCTTCTTCGCGCAGCAACTGGCGTGTCTTTCATTCAAGCTCGGCCTCACCTTGGATATCCAGCACATCTCCGGCTTTCGCAATACAGAAGCAGATTTCTTGAGTAGATGGCAGCCGCCGGAGGAGTTGCAGCACGGATTTGAGCTCTTGTACAGGTATCGATTTCCTGTGGCTCGCATTTGGCAGTCGCATCATGATGTGCGCCTTTTTCCCGCAGATACAAAGCTGCTGTGGCAGCCCCCATGAGCTCAGTCGTCACACTTGAATGTTTGGGGCTTTCCAGGCGTTCCTCCTTCACTTTAGGATGTGGCAGTTCTAAAGTGGGGAATGTCTTTTGGTTCGCATGGATCGGTAATGTGTTCATGCTGCATGCTCACCTTTGATGCTTCGACCGCCACATCCAAAAAGTGAAGGAGTGTTTCGTCAGATGGTCCTTTGTGCAGTGGAGTGCATAGATCCGATTCGCGTGAGATATCTTCTGCATTCATCTTGTTGTTGTAGATGTTCAGATTTGGCGAATGCGGGTGTGCGTTGTGAAGATTTCCTTTGCTGTACTTTGGGCGATGGCTGATAGTAAAATATAAACGTATCTTGTGTTTACTCAAGGATGTTTTTATTTTACTTCAACTGAGCTGTCACTTTGCTTGCGTATCAGCCATCGGCCCAAAGTGAGAGACTCATGACATACTTCGCATGCGTGAGCAGTTTTTGTGATCCCACCCTCCCGCCCTTGGATTGTCTCTGGGGGTGGTGTGCTCTTTTGTTTTCCCTCGGGATTCGAGCCAGTTGCAGGAGGCTTTTGCTCGCATGGAGATGAAATCTACCACACTTTCGACAGGCATGTCTTGTGCCATTTTTCACTTCCAATGTGGTGTCCCACTTTTTCGAGCGCCTGAATCTTGCGCCCAAGAACTCTGGCACGTCGGCAAGCCGTGGTGCTACTCTGTATAGCCCTCCTTGGGGGGGAATGTCTTTTGGTTCGCATGGATCGGTAATGTGTTCATGCTGCATGCTCACCTTTGATGCTTCGACCGCCACATCCAAAAAAGTGAAGGAGTGTTTCGTCAGATGGTCCTTTGTGCAGTGGAGTGCATAGATCCGATTCGCGTGAGATATCTTCTGCATTCATCTTGTTGTTGTAGATGTTCAGATTTGGCGAATGCGGGTGTGCGTTGTGGAAGATTTCCTTTGCTGTACTTTGGGCGATGGCTGATAGTAAAATATAAACGACTGTATTCCTTAATTCGCTCTCTCACACACACACACGGGGGGCTTTTCTTTCTGTTGGCTTTTGTTTATAATCTAAGATTTAGGCATTTAAACCTCAGCCTGCAAAAAAACCCTTAACCTTTAAACCCTGTAGGGTTGAGGTTTCAAGGTTAAGGGTTTAAGATTTAGGCATTTGAACCTATGCCGGCAATTAAACCCTCAGCCGTTTACCTTTGAATTCTGGGGTTAAGATTTTTACAGGTTTAGAGTTTAAGATGAAGGCATTTAAACCTAAGCCTGCAATTAATTTTAAACCCTTAACCTTTAAACCCTGTAAGGCTAAGGTTTAAAGGCTTAGGGTTTAAGATTTAGCCATTTAAACCTGTAGCCAAGCCCTTAACCTTTAAACCCTGTAGGGTTAAGATTTTAAAGGTTTAGGATTTAAGATTTAAGCATGTAAATCTCAGACTTCAATTTTTTTAAACCCTTAACCTTTAAACCCTGTTGGGCTAAGGTTTAAAGGTTTCGGGCTTAAGATTTAGGCATTTAAACCGATTCCGGCAATTAACGCTAATCCTTTAACCTTAAAACCCTATAGGGATAAGATATTTAATGGTTAGGGTTTAAGTTTAAGGTTTAGGTATTTAGACCTATGCCGGCAGTTCATATTGAACCCTTAACCTTAAACCCTTCTACGGATAAGATTTAAAGGTTTAGCATTCTTTACTTAGACATTTATATTTAAGCTTGCAATTAAACCGAAACCCTTAACCTTTAAGCCCTATAGGGTGAAGGTTTAAATTAGGGTTTAAGATTCAGACATTTCAACCTAAGACGGCAATTCACAATAAACCCTTAACCTTTAAACCCTATAGGGTTAAGGTTTAAAGGTTTGGGGTTTAAGATTTAGGCATTTAAACCTAATTTGTCACCCTTAACACCCTTAAACTTTGTAGTGTGAAGGTTTAAAGGTTTAGGGTTTAAGATTTAGACATTTAAACCTAAGCCCATAGAGTTTAAACCTTAAGGGTTTCAGGTTTAGGCATCTATTCCTTAACCCTAAACCCTCTAGGGTCAGGACCCTAAAGCCCTCGGCCTTCAAACCCCATGGTTTGAAGGTTTGGGGTTTAAGACTTAGGCATTTAAACCTAGAGGGCATTTAAGCTTTAAACCTAAACCCTTCAGGGTCAGAACCTTGGCACCCTATAGGGATCTAGCACCTGCAGATATACATCGGTTTTTAAACCATTACACCGTGTAAGAAGGTTTAGGGTCTTTTCGGGGTCTACGTCCAAATTTCTCACGGGGTTAACCCTGCAGGGTTTAAAGTTAAAGGTTTAGGATTAAAGGTTTAGGCAATACTTGTAACCCTATAGTGCTTGAGGCTTAAACCCATAGAACTTAAATCCCTAGGGTTATGCTTAAGTCCCTAAGTTTCACAAAAAAACGAAGAAAAAAACAAAAACAAAACAGAAAACATCTTTTCCAAAACTATGGGGCTGGGGCCGCCAAAAGATGTTTTTGGGTTTGCTCGAGAAAAAGATGGTTTTTTTGGTTCGAAACCATCTTTTTCTCGCGAAAAAGATGGTTTTTGGAGGTCTTCTCCTGGTAAAACCATCTTTTTCTCGAGAAAAGATGGGTTTTCGAAGGATGGTTGCTCAAAACCATCTTTTTCTCGAGAAAAAGATGGTTTCGAACCAAAAAACCATCTTTTTCTCGAAAAAATAAATAAAACCAAAAAAAAACATCTTTTCCAAAACTACGGGGCTGGGGCCTCCAAAGATGGTTTTTTTGCTCCATACTTGAGCCAAATTTGCGTTCGAATTGCAAAACTGAACACCAAAGGCTTCCAGCGTGGTGCACATGCTCAGTTGAGTGCACACTGTACCATCTGAAAGTGAAGGGGGAAAGGGTGTCGCGTGCTGACAGAGCCGACACTGTGGCGAAAAGTCTTCTAAATGAAACACTCACGGTCTATTTTCCTGCTCTCTCGCTGGTTGCGGCACTTAAGCCAAGCACAAGAACCCGGCTTCCAAGCAGGAACAATCCAAATCAGCTGGAATTCATGTTTGTCGGACGGACTTCTCTTCTTCTCATCTTCTTCTTGTTCGAGGCCTCTTCTTCTTGAGCTTCTTGGCTGAAGAGTGCTTTTGGATGTTTTTTTGGGGTTTTTGGGGCCGGTCATCGCTTTGGTTTTCTCGAGAAAAAGATGGTTTTTTTGGTTCGAAACCATCTTTTTCTCGAGAAAAAGATGGTTTTTGGAGGTCTTCTCCGGGTAAAATCATCTTTTTCTCGAGAAAAGATGGTTTTTCGAAGGATGGTTGCTCAAACCCATCTTTTTCTCGAGAAAAAGATCGTTTCGAACCAAAAAAACCATCTTTTTCTCGAGAAAACCACAAAAACCCAAAAAACCATCTTTTCCAAAACTATGGGGCTGGGGCCTCCAAAAGATGTTTTTTTTTTTTTTTTTTTTTTTTTTTTTTTTTTTGGGTTTTTTGGTTTTCTCGAGAAAAAGATGGTCTTTTGGTTCGAAACCATCTTTTTCTCGAGAAAAAGATGGTTTTACCAGGAGAAGACCTCCAAAAACCATATTTTTCTCGAGAAAAAGATGGTTTCGAACCAAAAAAACCATCTTTTTCTCGAGCAAACCAAAAAAACCATCTTTTGGAGGCCCCAGCCCCATAGTTTTGGAAAAGATGTTTTTTTTTTTTTTTTGTTTTTTTTGGATTTTTTGTTTTTTTTTGGTTTTTTGGGTTTTTGTTAGTTTCTTGTTTTGTTGTTTTTCCCTTGATCTGGCTAGGGCTCGGCTGCCACCCGCGGTGGGTCCATTGGGGGGGGGGGGGTGAGCAAATATAAATATAAATATAAATATATTTACAAATATAAATATAAATATAAAGATAAATATACAGATAAATAACATAAATATAAATAGAAAATGAAAAAAACATATATATATATATATATTGTATAAATATGATACATAAACATATATTCTTATGTATATATATATACGATAGATTTATACGACATACATTTTCGATTGTGTGCCGAGACAGAGACAAGGGAAGAGGGGGGAACGAGGTAGGAAGAAAACGCAAATTTTGTGCCGTTGAAGGCGGCTTCGAATATCTTGCGGCGTTGCAAACATTGGCGGCTTCTGTCCGAGAGCAGAGTGAACAACAGAGGGATATGACTGAATGCCTTTCGCGAAGTGTCGTCCCAATGGTTTACTACATTTGACATGTCGAATGGCAATAGCTACCTAGACTTTTTTTACACCTTTCCGGCCTTTGGCACATGCACTTGAAAGATGTCAGCTGTCGGCATGCGGAGCATTTGGAGTGGTGCTCAAGCACGGTGCACGATGTTGCACTACCATGCGTCATGCATACCCTTTGTGCCTGATCGTCTGGCGCTTACTTTGCTTTGCAGTTTATTTGTGATGCTATATTGTTTCGACCTCGCCCGTCAGGCCACTGTGGTGGTGAGCTGCCACGCAGAATGCACTGAAAAGTGCGCTCGCCTTCGGAAGGAGGTGCAGGCATTGCGCGATGAGGTCGATGCCCGTCTGCGAACGTTGGAGGCAGCGCGCCATGCCTACCAACGAACTTATTGATTCCACACTGTTTGTCACCATGCATTCAGTGTTTCATCGGTGCCAGGCACGACCTGCCCTTGCACAGCGCGCTTTGCAGACATCATTGTCGTCATCTTATTTCTTGGCAGAGGTTCCTGTGATGCATTTGGTGGTAAGCCATGCATGACTCTGCATCTTTCCTTAAGCACTAGAATTCAGGTGTCAGCAAGTGTCTAGAAACGTACCTGGGTAGAAGCCGTACACAGCTTGGCACAGCCTGTTGTGAGTTTTTCGGTGTTCTTTTCACAGCCAGGTAGAATCCTTGCGCGAGAAAGATGTCAGCCTTGCAAGTGCACTGGACACGATTTGGCTTTGTATGTGTGCAAGCATTGCAGCTCTTATGCATGGTGGGTTCGCTATGTTGGAGACGGGCACCTGCCGTGCGAGGAACGCATCGAATCTTTTGATGAAAAATTTGCTGAACGTTTGCGTGGGAACCTTAGGCTGGTGGCTCTGTGGTTGGGCTTTCGCCTACGGTGACTTGGCATACGACCTCTTGGGAACCACTGGCTTTGCTGGCTCCAACCTTCTGTCCATACAAGATGGACGCATCATACCTGTGGAAAGCTGCTCCGATGAGGCGTGCCAAAGCAAGTTGGTGCAGTGGTTTTTCCAGTGGGTGTTTTGCACCACTGCTGTCACCATCGTAAGTGGCGGTGTTGCGGAAAGAGTTCGCAGTGCGACTTATGCTGGTTACGCATTCTTCATGTCCACTATAATATACCCCGGAGTTGTTGCGTGGACCTGGGGTGGTGGTTGGCTCTCCGCGACCCTGCATGTGGGTTTTACCGACTTTGCGGGGAGTTGCATTGTCCACGTGGTCGGTGGCATTGGTGCGCTCTCAGGCGCAATTGTTTTGGGAGCAAGGCGTGGCCGCTTCGAAGATCCGGCGGCCTTTGAACCACACAGTCTTCCGCTCGTCGTCCTCGGGACCCTAATGCTGTGGTTCGGATGGTACGGCTTCAATTGTGGTTCTACACTTGCTCTCCATGATGATGTTACAGCAGCAGCGGCTGCGCAAGTTGCGGTCAACACAACCCTTGCACCAGCTGCTGGAGGAATTACCGTCTTTCTTTTCCGTTTCTTGCTATCCAGAAAGTATGATGTATGCGGACTTTGCAATGGAATTCTTGCTGGTCTCGTGTCGATAACGGCAGGATGTGCAAACATGGAATGTGGCAGTGCGCTTGCTGTCGGCAGTCTTGGTGGCCTGACTTATCAATGTTTTTCGATGAGCCTGCAGCGTTTGCAGATTGACGACCCGGTCGATGCCAGTGCTGTTCATGGGGCCTGTGGTGTTTGGGGGGCAATGGCAGCTGTGATCTTCGACTGGGGACAAGGCTTTAGCTATTATCATGGCCCTTCAGGGTTCAACTGCATTGGTGAAGGAGGCGCCTGTGAGACAGGCCTTGTTGCAAAGGCTCTGGCAGCACAGTTGATCTTTGTGACTGCAGTTCTCAGCTGGGTACTATCCTTGTCCACGATCGTTCTTCTCATGCTGGCCCTTAGCGGCTATCTGAGGATTGAGCAGAGCACTGAGGAAATAGGTATTGATGCAGTGGAGCATGCACAGACAAAGGCTTACGACATTGGTGATGAGAATGAAGATGACATTGAGCAGCGGCCAGTCCCGTTTCGCAAATGCCGAAGGCATTCCGTGCATTAGTCATTAGTCAGTGTTGTGTTATCCAGGCAAGAATCCATCGCAGGCTGCTTCGACGTTGTCATGCGACTTCAAACGAAGTCTTGATGGAGTTGCAGTTGCAGTTCAAACAACATGTCCGATCGAGCTGAATGATAGTAGATATTGCAAAATGTTAATATATATATATATACACATATACGTATGTACATACATACATACATACATACATACATACATACATACATACATACAGAGAGCGTTCACTGTTTCTTGCATGAACAAGCATATGTTCTGTGCGACCTCCCAGCTTGTTTCGCTGCTTGAGTGCACTTACCATCCTCAACATAGTTCATGGGAGGGAACTTTCATGTGCACTTGATAAGTGTTCTGACATGTTGACACGTTGGCTGATGTGTTTTGCCTTGCTCAGATGTAGCGGCTTCAGCGAGGCAGCTTCCGAAGTCCCCTCATTCTATGTTGCCTGTGCGATGAAGCCTTGGGGAGGGCTTCTGCTGCTGGTTTCTGCATCCTATTTGACATTCAGAAGTGTTTTTGCGTATATTCGGTCACTCGGACACGTGAGAGCCTCGAAGGCCATGAGAGCCCAGCATGACTTTGTACGGTGTACAGGCATACGAGCCGCTTCGCAGCTATGCGGAGACCGATGCAGAGTTGGCCCGCTCAGAGATGCTTTCTCTACAGCTTGAGATCAACAAGCGATTGAGCGCACTGGAGGCCAGGCGTTTTCCGGTTGTCCAGGCACTGGAACGTGTGTTCTGAGCAGAAGCATTCAAAAGCTAGTTCAACAGGATGAGATGCAGCAGTGTGAGTGAAGAAATGCCTGGTTCCTGCAAGGAGCACCAAGAAAGACATTTGCAAAATCAGGGGCTGGAGGGCCGCCTATTTCAGCAAGCTCTTCGGAGCCAGAACTCTTCAGCAGTAAGCTTTACTACAGACTGTAGCGTCGTTGTTGCTGATCTCCTGTCACCTTCTAGTGTGGACAGTCTCGCGATGCAAGGTACAGGATCTACAGCATGTTGATGACACCTTGGCCAGAGCTGCAGACAACCTCTGGCTAATCCTGTGTGGCACAATCTTGATGTTTATGCATGTAGGTTTTGCCATGGTGGAGGGTGGGACGTGTCGCGCCCGAAATGCCTCGGAGTCGGGACAAGTTTGGAAGAGATTTCTTGTTGTCTAGCTTTTTGGGTTCGGTGAACTGTGAGATGTTCTATTTGCCGTTGTTGCATGCTGAGGATGCTCTCATCAAGAACATTCTCAGTCTGTGCGTTGGTACATTGGGCTGGTGGTCCTTTGGCTGGGGATTCGCCAAGGGCACGTTGGTTCAGGGGTTCGTAGGAACCAGTGGCTTCTTCGGCTCCGAGCTACTTGCAGGCTCGGGACCCTCTCAAATAACTGCGACAGTGGCTTGTGATGATATTTGTCCAACCAATCTTTCGCTTTGGTTCTTTAACTGGGCATTCTGCACCACTGCGACCACCATTGTCAGCGGTGCAGTGCTGGAAAGAGCGAGGAGTTCAGCATACGCCATCTACACCTTCCTCATGTCAGGCTTTATGTACCCGCTGGTTGTAGCTTGGACTTGGAGTGGAGGCTGGCTCGACAATCTTTTCGATGTCGGCTACACGGACTTCGCAGGCAGCTGCGTAGTGCATGTTGCAGGTGGGATTGGAGCTCTGGTTGGCAGTGCCCTGCTTGGGCCTCGTTTGCATCGCTTCGACTTGTCCCAGGCTGAAGCTTACGAGCCGCACAACTTGCCGATGGTTGTTCTGGGAACTCTGTTTCTTTGGGTTGGCTGGTATGCATTCAATGCCGGATCCACCCTGTCCATGCATAGCAAAGAGACTGCGGCTCTGGCCGCGCAAATTGCGGTTAACACAGCATTATCGGGATCTTCAGGTGGCACGACCGTCTTCTTGATCAGAGTTGCCACGACCAAGAAGTATGATGTTGCAGGTATGTGCAATGGCATTTTGGCTGGTGTTGTGTCCATTACGGCCGGTTGTGCAAACATGGATGCTGGAAGCGCCTTGATTGTTGCTGCAGTTGGCGGATTGGTTTACACAGGGTTTTCATCTTTGTTGAAGAGATTGCATATAGATGACCCGGTGGATGCAAGCTCCGTCCATCTTGCTTGTGGGATTTGGGGCACCCTTGCAGCAATGCTTTTTGACTGGGGGGAAGGGTTTCGCTATTATCACGGACAGAATGGATGGACGTGCCTTTCAAGCTTGCATTCCAGACCAAGCGGTCTGCCACCGGCTTGCTCAACAGGCATCGTCGCGACAGCACTTGCTGTGCAACTGGTCCTCATTCTGTGTGTTATAGGCTGGGTTGGCCTGTCGTCCCTGGCGATTCTCAAGTCTCTGTCAGTGTTTGCAGGACTTCGGGTTAAAGAAGGTGCCGAGCAGGGAGGATTAGACGCCGCGCAGTATGCTCAAACAAATGCATACTCTCTTGAGGAACGAGAGAGCCCAAATTTCTGGCGGAGAATCTCTTGGTGAGCACATCTCCTGTACACTTTCTCAAGGTTGTCCCAGCAGACACACTGCATCCATGGTATCTCTTGATGCCCGTGCTCTGAACATCTGCAACTCGTTAATGCAAGGCTACCCCCATATCACATGAAAAGAGCCGCTTGCAGGCAAAGCCTCCATGTGTGATTTTCCGGTTGACACGGAACAGCTGATCGAAGATCTCTGCCTCCGTGAACACCAGAGTTATGTTCAAAAAGTCGGCCAATGAACGCTTGCTGCACACCGAGTATGTAGAACTGAAGGGATTGCGATGTGCAAGGATGTTGTGGCGGTTCTGTCTTGAGCAGTAGTTCACTTGGCATTGATATCATGAGCACACAATACGGTGGCAGCTGTCGGCAACCGTGGCCGCAACCTGCACAACATAACTTAGATGGGCTTGGCCCTGCTCCAGCTTGCGAGACACTCATTTTGATGGCCAGCGCGATGCTTCACGATTACAGCCGGCTGCAATTTGTGCTGACCTCAAAACACAAATCGATTTGCGAGTTTCGGGGAAGACGGGAAGTCTGCTTGTGATGTTGGAAGAGCTGTGGACTGGCTAAGGTCCGTGATCAACGTCTTTCTGCTGTGTTGAGGGCACGTGCTCTTTCGGGAAATCTTGCCACCAAGGCTGTCGATTCCTGTCCAGACATGTCCAGCCCATCTGGGCTTATCTGTTTTCACTTCTTCACCTTGCGGCAGGTAACGCAAATTAATGAGGCGACTGCGAAACTGGAAATGGAGGCATTTTCAATGTTGCCGTAGTTCCATGCTGTAGTTGCAAGCAGAGTCAGGCAGCAGAACGCCTCGACACAATGGCAGCTGGAAGGGCTTCTGCGCAGGCGATTTGCTTTCACTCTAAAACCCTCGGCGACTGGTAACGTCAGCAGGCACGCAGCCGCGCTTTGGCGACAGGGCTGATCCAGATGCGGGAAGAGGCCGCGTAGAGCTGGGCCATCAAACACAGGCCTTGCCTCCAACCGTATGAGCTGATTTTCGAGGTGTCTAAACACTGTTGTGAATGGCAAGGAAAACGATGTGGCAATGAAAACTATGTCCTCGTCCCAACTTTGGTGGTCTTAGCAGGGGTCGGGGTTGCCTCATGTCACGGCAGCCTCCAACACGTACCCTGTCCATCGCTGTAGAGAAACGGTGAATATGTTCTTCGCAACACAGAAACGTGGTCTCTGGGTTTTTGGCAACAAAAAAGTTGGAGCTGGTTTGTGCATATTTGTTTCCGGTGTGGCACCTTTCGCAGGTTGCTAGCCTCCAGTGGCGCACAGGTGCCTTGCAGAGGCCGGTTGTGGGTATGGGTTCAGCGTACGGCCCACGTCGCTCGACGTGATGTAGTGCAACCTGGCTGGGGCCAGATTGAAACGCCCCCCTTTCTGTACCGACCTTTTGCTACTTGTTACTGGTGCCAGCTGTCGGCCAACAGTGCGAATGTCTTCGCAGCATGCTTCCTCATGGCGGTTGCCAATGGTACACACTCAAATCTAACTCGAGTAGTTAGAGCAAGCTGGAATCGGGTAACGACCACATCAACAAAACACACCAAAAGAACAATTGACACTGCACGGGGAGGCCTAGGCTTGAGCTGCCTCAGGAAGCCTGCGACAGTTTGAGAGAACAATCAACAAGCCGAGCGGCATTCGAATTCGTTCATGCAGAGTGGGGTGTTTAGCATGTGCAAGTCTTGTGCTGTCATGTTACAACGCTTTGTGAAGTCACCTTCCAGCTGCAGCTGTGATTTCGGGATGGGCCTTGCCTTCGTGCAGGTTTGCCGAATCCTTTCAGGGACCGATGTACCATTCCAAGCTGTGACAGGCAGTGCGTTGGCTCCACTGTACAAGTTTATGCGGCCACGATGGACGTTAAAAAGCCACGTGCAGAAATTACTGAAGAAAATTTGCCAACCAAGTTAGACCGAAGGACGCGTTTTTCATGCCCTCCCGAAGAATGGCTGTTTTGCGGACGTGACATCGCTTGAAAAAACCGACTCGAGACTTTTCATAGTTGCCTAACGGTCCGCAAAAACAAACAGTTTAATTGCCGACGGGTTCGCTCGCTACACTTGGAAATCAGACTCATCCCAGAGAGATGCTTAACCGCTACTAGTGATGATGTGATGATGTGATGATGAGCTTCGCCTTATGATTTCTATGACGCAAAGCCTCGCACATTTCATAGAACGAGCACGCGAAGACGAAGACAAGCAGAAGAGCAACAGGAGAATCGCTTCGCTACTTTTGGCCGAATCACGGCTTCGAGAGAGGAACGTTTGCCTCACAGGAGTCAGATGACTGCAAGATTCTGAGCCGAGCTTTCGCATAACGTAAATATTCGATAGCGGAAGAAACATAGAACCATGTCCTTTGGAAACTCTGTGTGTGTGTGTGTGTGTAACGTGCTGTGCGTACAGGAATGGGGTCACACGAGATTTACGCTGATGACATGTGCAGTTCTTGTTCATGAACTCTACTGGTTTCATGTATCGTGATTTTTCGAAACGTCAATGGTGGAGGGCCAATGTAGATGTCAATGGCAAGAGCAGACATGTGCTTGAATTCTTTAGAGCAAAAGTTTCCGTTTTCCAGTGTCGTCTGTGTGTGTAGCCAGCTAGAGCAAGTCGGAATGGTCGCACCCAAATCAACGAAACATTAGAAAATAGCAAGACAATTGACAAGGACATGTCTGATGCAGGTGTCAAGCTTGGATTACAAGCACATCCTTTTTGGCACTCAACGCTTGCAGCATCCAATGTCGCTCGCCACTCTTGTTCAACCAGGTTGCCACACGCGTTGACCTAAACAGCTTGGCATTTTTGTATTGAAGCAGCTGAGCTGACCATTGGACAAGTTTTTGAGTTTCACACCTTTGTGGCAATGCAGGCTTCTGGACGCACAGACGACGCCGTTGCCAGCGCACCAAGGCGGCACCCGCATGAGACTTTCACCTCACACCGCCCTCGATCCTCCTCACACACACACACAGGCTGAAGTAGCACATGCCTACTCTAGTCCCATTTCTGCTCCAAGTCGTTTTGTGTTTCGCCCAGTGTGAACACACACCCGAAGTGGAGTGAGCAAGAACCCTCAGGAGGCGGAGGATAGTATGCTTCGGTTGAGTCATGAAAGTCCCACTTGGAATGATAGGTAACACGTCTTGTCGCGCAGGGGAGGATGCAAGTCATTCCACGGAGGCGCGCCCTCAGTATGGAATCTGGCAAATGCTGGCATACAGTCGGCATAGAAGCACTGCTATGGAGACCACAGCCTTGTGATGGTGACATGAGGTGCACAGGCAAGCTTTGTTAACGCCTTCAGAAGTGGAGATCAGGTCGTTCGTGCTATGTTGGCAACTTTGAGACAAAGGCGCTCAGAGTACGATGATGAACTCAGGAGTGACCGGCACAGTATTGGACTCTGGTCGATTTGTTTCGTCAGCTCCGCAAGTTGTGTGTCCCAGGAGATGCCAAGATGAGTGCCAGGCTGCAGCATTGTCATTGTGATCGGAAGGAGGAGTTGTGTGTGTGTGTGTGTGTGTGTGTGTGTGCGTGCGTGCGTGCGTGCGTGCGTGCGTGTGCGTATGCGTGTGCGTGTTCGTGTGGGTGTGTGACTGTGAAGCATCGCTGCGCATGCAATTCCATGTCCGTCCGGTTACCGACAGCCGGGGGCGCAGACCCAGGATGATGACCTGTCCCAACGAAGCTGGTCACCTGGTCGAATCCACCCCTTTGCTGCTTGTGTTCCCCCCCCCAGAGCGCCCATGGGGTGTTGTCCTTTTCTTGCCTTCGAAAATGGCGCTTTCTTCTCTGCCTTCTGAAGCCGAACTGGCTGCGACACGAGATGGCTATTGGGCGACTGGGTTTGGTCAAGCCAGTGTACATGCGAGCCACAAGGGCAACATGTATGTGACCCTGTTCCATCATACAAGTTGTGCAATGGGTGAAACCTCACTTTCCCCAAAGCAAGCGTGAACTGCTGTTGTGCTGAGTTTCTTCCATGCTGAAAGCGTTCACATCCCTCCCGGTCGCCAATGCTTCTCATTGCATCTACAACCTAAATCAAAGTGTGTGTGTGTGTTCATGGTATTGATTGGCCAAGCCATTCTGCAGAGTAAGTGACCACTCGTGGCGTTGGTCAAAACCAGACATGCAGGGTATTGCTGAAGGGCCGAAGGTGGATGTTGAGGCCGAAATATTTGCAGCGCTTGGAACCTGAGGGTCTTCGACGTCGCCTGCAGGCTTTGCAGGCCTTGTGGCCCGTGATGTGTCTAGGTGCATAGTCAAGTGACAGGGCCATCAAAGCATAATCATGACGGTTGTCGCGTGGATTACGTCGCTGGATGTGCAAGGATGGTCCAGAGCCAGTTCAGCTTGACGATGAAGGATTGTCTTTGACAAAGGCCGTGCTGTCTGAAACTCGTCAGTTTCTGTTCGGAAAGCGCCGGTTGTGTGGCAGTGCTTTGTGCTTTGCAACAGGAGGCGCTCCGGGCCTTCGCACACGGTGCCCTGGCCACCTGGGCTCAGGAGCTGCAGACGTTGGACCCGGATGGCTCTCGAGGATCGCCCTCCAGGCACTTGGGCACTTGCCCATCACTTGCCCATCGCCCGCCCACGCTTGTAGCCTCGTCACTCTGACCTTGCAGTTTTCTGTGCTAGTTGTATTCTTTTCGTTGGGTCGTGCTGCTCCCATCATTTTCTTTGTGAACTCCGAAGCCTTCATGATGAGAATCATTCTCCGCAAGCCCTAGTCATAACAGCGTCTTCTCGTTGTTTGCCTCGTATATCTTCTATGCGGGAGGTGCCTTGCACAGATGGAAGACAAGCTCCAGAAGATGCAAGAGATTGTCTCAGCAAGTGCAGGTGTGGGATCACCGTATCACCACACGAAGCAGTAGCCAAGTCATAGAGTTCACAACTCACCGATGTTCACGACATTCACCACAAGTACACAATCCGGGTTGTCCCCTGCATTAGAAGGTGATGTCTGGGGGAGGATCTATTGCTGGCAGTCGCCGCAGGCACCAATCAATTCCTTGATGACGTGTCACAAGTTTGCCTTTGTATTGTAGTTTTGAGAGTTTGGCCGCTGTCTGTGTGTGTGTGTGTGTGCGTGCTTGAGGACGGCACGTACGAACCGACATTGTTACTGAAATTCGCCACCCTCAGGCATTCGATTCTCCCCCCGTAAGAATCCACAGAATCCTGCAGCAGCGTATCGCCGCGAGTGCCCAGCCCAGAGACTTCTGCGCAGAATCCCGCAAACCATCTGGCAGAGGTTAGTGCCAGAATCAAACAGAGAATACAGCAATGTCCCTAGAGCGTCCGTCAGAAAACCCCTCTTGCCGAGAATCCTGGGAGCAGGTGTCTAAATACCATTAAACACCAACAAATACCACATTCACACAGTGATTGTGGAGTGCCCTACTGCTCGTCAATGTGCTTGTTCAAGCAAATAATTCTTCCTTTGTTGCGATTTGAAGAGCGTCCAGGGCCCAGAGCGTCTGCGTGTGGCGGCGCTGCTGCTGGCCAATTTCGCAACTCGACCACCTTTTGTGTATGGAAAGCAGCCAGCAGCTCAGCAGTTGCGTGAAGCAAAGCAGCTGTGCTGAAAGTGAGGAACAAGCCGTGCGTGACGGCAGGCTGCTGGGCTGTTTTGAGCACAGTTGCAAGCTCATGTAATCGCTTCGCTATCACTTCATCACTTTTCATTACGAAATGCAGAGAGGCATAGAAACGATGGGAAGATAGCTTTGGAAAAAGATACAAGCCACACTCCGGGCTTTAGGTGAGCTGAACCTTTGTGGCATGTTTGGGGTAGGGCTTGGTCCGGCCATGGTCGGTCACATGCGGGTATACAGATATATACATATACATCTCTATACACACTTTGGTGCATATTGCATACATACATACTTTTTATACATATAGTCATCCTTAAGTAGATAGAATCTTTGAAAATCCGAAAAAAAAACAAACCCCCTTTCCGAACTGGTAGATAGAATATCGAAACCCCCAAAATTTAGGGCCAAGGGGCGCACCGGGGTCAATTATATTCTATCTATGTGTTCCTGCAGGAGTTGGAGGTGTTTTTTTGGGGTCCTCTCCTCCTTTCCTGTCCTCCTCTCCTCCTCTCCTCCTCTCCTCCTCTCCTCCTCTCCTGCTCTTCCTCTCCTCCTCTCCTCCTCCCCTCCCCTCTCCTTCCTCTCTCCTCTCCCCTTCCCCTCTCCCTCCTCTCTCCTCTCCCATTCCCCTCTCCCTCCTCTCTCCTCTCCCATTCCCCTCTCCCTCCCCTCTCCTTTTCCTCTCCCTCTCCTCCTCCTCTCCTCTCTCATCATTCCCCTCTCCCCTCCTCTTTTTCCCGCCTCTCCTACTAGCCTCTCTCGCTCCTCTCCTCCTATCCTCCTCCTCTCTCCTCTTCTCGCTCTCCTCCTCTCCTCCGCTCCTCCTCTCCTCCGCTCCTCCGCTCCTCCGCTCCTCCTCTCCTCCTCTCCTCCTCTCCTCCTCTCCTCTCCCCCTCCTCTCCTCCTCATACTACAGCCTGTTGCAGCCTGCTCGCAGATATTCTATCTATGGGTTTCAATATTCTATCTATGGGTTCCTTCAAAAACGTGGGAAAAAGCCCAAAACCCCGAACATAAAACCCCCCGAAAACCATATTCTATCTATGCAAGGATGACTATACATATATAACTTAATTTGGGCCGCTTCCTACGATAAGAGACAGGGTTGCACCAAGCGCCACAAGCTCGTGCCTTGTAATATTCTTCCTCGGCATACTGTGCATATTCACACAGCGATTTGCATCCATTTACGGATTCTGCTACCTCAGCTGTCCCTTGGGAGGGCGGGTGGTCTCCGCAGTCAGAGACGCCAACTTTTCACATCTTCGATGAAGAGCTACAACTACCTGAATGTCCTCCTGTCAAACGACGAGGCAGTGCAAGGTTGAGGCAAGGGATGGACGAGTTGACTAATATGGAACGAAAGGCTGACCGCAGCGACTAAGATAAAGGCCATGCAGTGTGGAGATGACATCGGCTTGGGGGGTTTTTTCAGGAGGGTCTCAGGGGGTCCCAGTGGGCGGGGGATAGAAGGAGCGGGGGGGGGTGGGGGGCTGGGTGTTTGGGGGGGGGTCCCACAGGGAGCGGGGTGGGGGGGAGAGGGGTGGCGTCACAAAATTCTGATGAGGGGGAAGGACCGGATCTTGCAGAAGCTTCTCGGCAGGAACCGAGGCGAATGGCATCCGTTTATTCCCGACCCTTCGCAGACAGTTGGGGACGTTGAGTCCTTGGCTTTCCAAGGCCTTCCAACCCGTTCTACTTAACATTGACTGGAATAGTTGGAGTCGTAAGGGTGTGGAATGGTGTGGACTGTATCCGGTGGGCGAGCCTGTGTTGGGCTCGTAGTGCTGTGTACTGAACTGGCGAATCGGGTTTTTTGTACACCTGTACACCTTGCACCCCCCTCCTGTCCCTGCCACTTTGGAAGTTGCACGCGTTGCATGCCTGACACTTATTTCAGCCAATTCGGCACGCGTAACACGGAAACTCAGCTGCCAGAACCTCTCAGCGCGTGTTACTTCGCTGTATTATGGAACCAGTGCGCTCCCCTTTCAAACTTTCAGGACCCTGGCATGGCAAGAGCTTTCGAAGCTTCACCGATCAGCGCGATGGAAAGCCATGCAAAGTCATGCAGTCGAGGCATCACCTGAACATGCGCACAAAGCATGCGCAGAATCGAAAGAAAATGAGTAAGACAGAGCGTTGGCTGCTTGTTAGGAGAGTGCAAGTAGGCCCCTGGTGTATTTCCCCAAGGTTTCGGCTTACTAGCCTGTGACATGGGAAGCTGAGACGTTTCTGCATGGGCTTGGACAGGTATGAAGCATCTGCCGCTTGAAAGATTGTATTTTCATGGATGCTCGTCCTGATTGTTTTGCAAAAGGATCAAAAGGAGAACTGGATTTATGGACATCACTTGCCATGTATCCCGACCGCAACACACTTGCGACCGCAGAATGAAGACTTCATGGACACACTTCATCAATCAGGTAAAAGTGCTTGGAGTCGCTGCCACGGGCGAGGAATGCTCACAGCCTACTGGAAGTTTTGCTCTTCAGTTCTGATTGACCTGCGGCTTGACGGTCCCTGCAGGCAAAGATCAGCCGCTCACATAACGTATCGTGTCCGATGGTTCTTGCTGTCCTGCCGCTGTCCCGTGGCTGTCCCACATTTCGTCCTGCTGCAGTCTACGGATGTCTGCAAATGTACTGACGTTTGGTTCCACGTAGCTCCGTGCGCAGCAGTGGACTTGTGCGCATGTGTCCGCATGTGCTTGCAGAGTGACAGCTGTCATGTTCAGGGCTGCACTCACAACCTGCATGACAGTAATGCGCAAGCTGACGAGTCCGAGTGAAATTAGTAGACCGGAGCTGATCATGTCCGATGCTGGTCTGGAGTGCTGAGATTCGAAGAGGACGTGTGGGCTCGAACTTACGCTGCGCGCTCCAACTGCTGCAGAGTCCATGAGAATGTGCGGCCGTGCATGTTCTTTCGGGTTGCGAATGAGTCTAGACATGCAGACATGTGCTGAGCCCTACATGTCTGCTGAAAAGTAGATACGTTAGAAGAGCCGAAGCTCATTCGGAAATTCGGCCCTCAGCCTTGGCTCCGGGGGGGGGCTCCTTGGGGCTCCTTGGGGGCGATGTTTCGGCGAAAGCGAGGCAGGAGACATGGCATGCAGTGCATTGCACATGAAATTTCCAGTGCTTGGAGGCACTGCGCTTCTCCCTTATGGTGCTCTGGCTGCCATCGCTCTCACGCTCTGCGTGATAGGAAGGCGCACTTCACACATCTTCACACATCTTCACACATCTTCGCACATCTTCGCACATCTTCGCACATCTTCACACATCTTCACACATCTTCACGGCTCATGGCTTATGGCTCAGCGCATATCAGCGCAGATCAGCGCACATCAGCCCATAAAAGTGCCAGGCTGAGTGATGGCGGAAGACTCTTGGCAGCCCGACCAGACCAGGCTAGGTCAGGCTGCAAATGTGGACAGATTGGGCAGTGGCGAGCACATGTAAGCACACCCGGTGTTGGTTGGTGCGAGGTCTTCGTGCCCTCGCCAGACAGAGTGCGCCCTGGCCTTGCGAATCGCCACCTGAGCACAGAAGCACAGACGCGGGCACGTGCACGCAACGCAGCACCGAGGCATTCGCTGTGTCGTGGGACGCGCCAAAGTGTCGCGCAAGGTGGCGAGTCAGCGGGCCCTGTGACTTGTCGTATTCGCCACCTTTCGTGGCCTTGGGCGCAGGCACAAGAGAAAGAGGTAGGTGAAGGAGAGGAGGAGGACGAGGAGGAGGACGAGGAGGAGGAAGACGACGATCTAGATGTGTGGGCCCTGGGCAAGGTGTTGCCGTATGCGCGTCTGCGCAGGTCGTCCAGTTGAGGTTTGACCCTGTACAGTGCAGGAGATCCTTATGGACACCGATGAGGACGATGATGACTTCGAGGCCCGTGCAGTTCGGTAGCAGGCTTCTGTCATCTTTGGCGCGGACAAGCGGCGCACTCCAAAAGTATCCGCAATTATCCACATGCCCTATCGAAAAGGGTCGTTCAGAAGCAGCTGCGCCGTGATGCAGTGGCAGCATGGGCCGATGACCATGTCTGACATGTAGCTCCCACAGTCTTGGCTCGGTGCCTTTGTAGCATCCCAGGTGAGATATGCTGAGTTTATGAGCAGAATGCTTGACGGAAAGGTGTTAAAAGGATAGTCAGCGTGTGAATCGACCACGTCGCCAGTAAGTCTTGCATCTTGAGGTTTCCTTTGGGGCTTGAGCTGATTGTAGCAAGACTCCGAGACTAGCACCGTCATCGTGGCTTTTTACACGAGAGCATGCGAAAATGCCTGGGTCTGTTGCACGATTCTGCAGCTCAACAGGCAGATGAAGAGGAGGGCTTTGAGGCCACAGCTGAGACCAGTGAGAGAACAGAGTATGAGAGTAGCAAATTAGTTGCAAAGTAGTCAGGACGAGGAGGATGACGACGACATTCTGTATGAAGAGGTGGAGCCGTCTGTTGCCGTGGAGATGTCGGGACGGCCTGCGAATGCATGGTAGGATGAGCTGGATGACTCCTACTTCACGCAAGACGAGGTCCGAATGGAACCTGGACCTCAGCTGAGACATGTTGTGGCAGCCGTGTGGAAACCTGCAGGACGGAGAGGTGCTTGAAGCCAGGTGCAGAGCACGGTATTTGAAGGCCAAGTCGAGGGTATGTGGCTATCCTAGATCGAAGTATTCGAAAGATGTCGCACAAGGGAAAACGACTGGACTGTTTGTTTTATCTTATGCTGAGCATTTTTTCGTATGCTCACTGTGGCTCCGCCCCCCCTCCCGCACGCCCCCCCCCAGTCACAGTCCAAAACGATGGGCATCGTGGCAGGGCTCACCCTGGAAATTCCGGCGTGTGCTTTGGCAAATCCGCGGAAGGCGGTCAGTTCCAAGCTTCTGAGAGTACCGTGAATTTGCAGCAGTTCTGCAGCAGTTCGATGCAATGTGGATTCTCCGGAACTGGCAGGCCGTACCGTGAAGCCTTGATGCTGCTGGAGACTGGTCCTTAGCACCCAACAGCCTGCCCAGACGAATCTAGCAGTCAGAGTCACCATGAGATGCCTCCTTGTCTGAGAGGTTCATGCCCTGGCGAGCCTGTAGACCCACTCTTGTCGTCTAACCCTGAGAGCCATGCAGCATGCAACGCTGGCACGCGAAAGCACATAGCGAGGCTGTCCATGATTGTCCATGCACAATCGTGCACCCAGGCTCTGCAGTCTGCAGCTGCAAATGCCCAAAACCAGTTCAACATGGACCGCAACGTGTCAGGTTGTGCCAAAGCTTGAGTTTAATTTGCTCTAGCAGGTAGGGTCTGGAAAGGTGTTAGCAAGCAGGGTCGGAAAGATCTGCAAAGCTGTGAGCTATGAGCTATGGATTTGTGTTTCTTGGGGGGGGGGGGGGGGGGGGGGGGGGCGTTCATGTCTGTTTCATTTTACATTTTCCAAAAGTGGCTTGGGTTGATCAGTAGGATAGGTGTGTGCGCCGCGCCTATTCCCACCTTTTCGTGCTGCCTGCAAGCTGCGGTGCCTGATACTCCGGACCCCGCCTCTTCGCAGGTGCCCGAGTGCCCCCATCCTCAGGGCCCGAGGCACCGAGGTCCCGTGCTTTCAAGAAGTTCAAGCACAAAAGCCGTCCATACTTTGCAGGAGCCAAGGTCCCATATCCATTGGGCACATGGATTCGCATCTGTGGAGTTGCGGACGACGATGACCGGCGGCTTTGCGTGGCCTACATCGTCTTAACAAGGCCAGCCGGCTCCTGTTATGCCTGCCGGCCGGCTTCTTGGACAAGGCCGATCTTGTGAACCCGAAGGGTCCAGCAGCTGTGGGGCCTTCTTTCCAATTCCAGCCTGCTTGTCTCCTGCGGGAGATCGAATCTCACGGATGCCCCCAGCGCCGTTTAATGGCCCTGTCTCCCGGCTTCCTGTGCGATGTTGCCCCTCTCGAGCTGGACACATTCCAACGGCCGAGCAGCCAGACTGGTGTTGCTAGCTTCCGAGGCCGTTCGAGCTGCGCTTTCCACTTCCCCCCACATCCAGAGGCTTCAAAAAAAAGCCTTTTCAACGCTTTTTGAGTACTATGGTTAAGTGTTTGGGTTTGTTGCTTCGTATTTTATGAGGAGTTGTTCAATTTTCATCAACGTTTTCAATCAGTTTTGTGTTCCACATCACTGCATGGGGTGATTGTTTTTGGGGCACACTCTGCCCGCCCGCCCACTGCCCGCCGCCCGGCCAAACGACAATTTCGATTTGAGCTCACATCACATGTATCATGAGGACAGCACATCAGAAAGCCTCGCCCATGTACACTGCCCTGCAGCAAAGGTTCTTTCTTGAATTAGTCTGTGCATGTACAGGACAAGTCGCGGCTCTACGTCCACTCCTGCAAGGCGGACCGCGGTCCTTACTCAAAGCGCATGCGGCCACTGCCTCGTCCCACTGCGAAAATGTAATCATGTGCAGAGATGATCAGACATCTGCAGATCCAAGGCCTGTTTCGAAGGGCCAGGCTCATCCATACCGGCGGTGACGTGGTTGCAAGTATATGTCTTCCGCAAAGGGAATTTGGAAGCTCAGCCGGCAGCCCTCAGGCGCCAGACGCACTTGGAGATCCGGGTGCGTGAGATGACAGACGAGATGATGGCCGTGGCCCGAAAATACATGATCTGTGTACGCATGGTCTGATCATGTCCGATGCTGGCCTGGATTTCTGAGATGAAGAGTGACGAGTTCGCCTGAGAGCGGACACCCGCGCTCGCAGTCCTAGAGTCCTGACTCGAACTCACGCTGCGCGCTCCAACTGCTGCAGAGTCCATGAGAATGTGCGGCCGTGCATGTTCTTTCGGGTTGCGAATGAGTCTAGACATGCAGACGTGTGCTGAGCCCTACATGTCTGCTGAAAAGTAGATACGTTAGAAGAGCCGAAACTCATTCGGAAATTCGGCCCTCAGCCTTGGCTCCGGGGGGGGGCTCCTTGGGGCTCCTTGGGGGCGATGTTTCGGCGAAAGCGAGGCAGGAGACATGGCATGCAGTGCATTGCACATGAAATTTCCAGTGCTTGGAGGCACTGCGCTTCTCCCTTATGGTGCTCTGGCTGCCATCGCTCTCACGCTCTGCGTGATAGGAAGGCGCACTTCACACATCTTCACACATCTTCACACATCTTCGCACATCTTCGCACATCTTCGCACATCTTCACACATCTTCACACATCTTCACGGCTCATGGCTTATGGCTCAGCGCATATCAGCGCAGATCAGCGCACATCAGCCCATAAAAGTGCCAGGCTGAGTGATGGCGGAAGACTCTTGGCAGCCCGACCAGACCAGGCTAGGTCAGGCTGCAAATGTGGACAGATTGGGCAGTGGCGAGCACATGTAAGCACACCCGGTGTTGGTTGGTGCGAGGTCTTCGTGCCCTCGCCAGACAGAGTGCGCCCTGGCCTTGCGAATCGCCACCTGAGCACAGAAGCACAGACGCGGGCACGTGCACGCAACGCAGCACCGAGGCTCGATTCGCTGTGTCGTGGGACGCGCCAAAGTGTCGCGCAAGGTGGCGAGTCAGCGGGCCCTGTGACTTGTCGTATTCGCCACCTTTCGTGGCCTTGGGCGCAGGCACAAGAGAAAGAGGTAGGTGAAGGAGAGGAGGAGGACGAGGAGGAGGACGAGGAGGAGGAAGACGACGATCTAGATGTGTGGGCCCTGGGCAAGGTGTTGCCGTATGCGCGTCTGCGCAGGTCGTCCAGTTGAGGTTTGACCCTGTACAGTGCAGGAGATCCTTATGGACACCGATGAGGACGATGATGACTTCGAGGCCCGTGCAGTTCGGTAGCAGGCTTCTGTCATCTTTGGCGCGGACAAGCGGCGCACTCCAAAAGTATCCGCAATTATCCACATGCCCTATCGAAAAGGGTCGTTCAGAAGCAGCTGCGCCGTGATGCAGTGGCAGCATGGGCCGATGACCATGTCTGACATGTAGCTCCCACAGTCTTGGCTCGGTGCCTTTGTAGCATCCCAGGTGAGATATGCTGAGTTTATGAGCAGAATGCTTGACGGAAAGGTGTTAAAAGGATAGTCAGCGTGTGAATCGACCACGTCGCCAGTAAGTCTTGCATCTTGAGGTTTCCTTTGGGGCTTGAGCTGATTGTAGCAAGACTCCGAGACTAGCACCGTCATCGTGGCTTTTTACACGAGAGCATGCGAAAATGCCTGGGTCTATTGCACGATTCTGCAGCTCAACAGGCAGATGAAGAGGAGGGCTTTGAGGCCACAGCTGAGACCAGTGAGAGAACAGAGTACGAGAGTAGCAAATTAGTTGCAAAGTAGTCAGGACGAGGAGGATGACGACGACATTCTGTATGAAGAGGTGGAGCCGTCTGTTGCCGTGGAGATGTCGGGACGGCCTGCGAATGCATGGTAGGATGAGCTGGATGACTCCTACTTCACGCAAGACGAGGTCCGAATGGAACCTGGACCTCAGCTGAGACATGTTGTGGCAGCCGTGTGGAAACCTGCAGGACGGAGAGGTGCTTGAAGCCAGGTGCAGAGCACGGTATTTGAAGGCCAAGTCGAGGGTATGTGGCTATCCTAGATCGAAGTATTCGAAAGATGTCGCACAAGGGAAAACGACTGGACTGTTTGTTTTATCTTATGCTGAGCATTTTTTCGTATGCTCACTGTGGCTCCGCCCCCCCTCCCGCACGCCCCCCCCCAGTCACAGTCCAAAACGATGGGCATCGTGGCAGGGCTCACCCTGGAAATTCCGGCGTGTGCTTTGGCAAATCCGCGGAAGGCGGTCAGTTCCAAGCTTCTGAGAGTACCGTGAATTTGCAGCAGTTCTGCAGCAGTTCGATGCAATGTGGATTCTCCGGAACTGGCAGGCCGTACCGTGAAGCCTTGATGCTGCTGGAGACTGGTCCTTAGCACCCAACAGCCTGCCCAGACGAATCTAGCAGTCAGAGTCACCATGAGATGCCTCCTTGTCTGAGAGGTTCATGCCCTGGCGAGCCTGTAGACCCACTCTTGTCGTCTAACCCTGAGAGCCATGCAGCATGCAACGCTGGCACGCGAAAGCACATAGCGAGGCTGTCCATGATTGTCCATGCACTATCGTGCACCCAGGCTCTGCAGTCTGCAGCTGCAAATGCCCAAAACCAGTTCAACATGGACCGCAACGTGCCAGCTTGCGGCTCGAGATAACCCCCTCAGTATCCCACTGTTGCTGAAGCCCAGGTCAACTAGTTTGGGGAACTTCGGGTTTGGAAGCTTTTAAGCCGGATTCGCAATTCATAATCCTGGGTGCATCGGGCTCCTTTGCCCGTTTTGTATTGTCAGTGTGGAAGAGCATGCTAAAGAAAAGGGCTTGTGGGTACCACGGGAAGTATGTCCCTGACAGGTACGTGATGTTTAAAAACGCTACCACCTCGAAAATTCCGGGCAGCGGGAATCGTGATCTGGGTCTGGAAATCTTGATGGAATAGAGTGGTCCCAGGAAGTGGAGGTCACAATCGGTTCAAAACTCGAACAACTCGATATATCTGCAGAACAGCCTCCCCGGCTGAACACAGAAAGCAGCATGGTTCGGGCCTTGATGCTTTGTTCAATTAGACCTGGGCAGAGGCAAGTGCAGGCAAACGAGCCCGATCTCGTCATCTTGAGTTCCGAAAACAAAGGCAGTTTGTTCTTGGAAAGCTTAATCAGGCGACGTTCTGTGTGCCTGTGAGTCCCATACTACCGTGATTCTCCGCGGATGCACCAAAGCAGAAAACGGAGTGCGATTGCATGATGTTGCATGCAGGTGGGGCTCTGTCGCTTCGTGCTGTAAGATGTTGCAAGCAAGCAGCAGGGAACGTTTTGGCATATTTTTGTGGGAACGCAGCCATCAGGGCCATCGGCTATCGCAATTGCTTGAACCAGCAATGAGCTAGTCGGCAAGTTGTGCTGCGCAACCATCGCCGAAACCTTTGTGAGGACAAGTCGCGGCTCTACGTCCACTCCTGCAAGGCGGACCGCGGTCCTTACTCAAAGCGCATGCGGCCACTGCCTCGTCCCACTGCGAAAATGTAATCATGTGCAGAGATGATCAGACATCTGCAGATCCAAGGCCTGTTTCGAAGGGCCAGGCTCATCCATACCGGCGGTGACGTGGTTGCAAGTATATGTCTTACGCAAAGGGAATTTGGAAGCTCAGCCGGCAGCCCTCAGGCGCCAGACGCACTTGGAGATCCGGGTGCGTGAGATGACAGACGAGATGATGGCCGTGGCCCGAAAATACATGATCTGTGTACGCATGGTCTGATCATGTCCGATGCTGGCCTGGATTTCTGAGATGAAGAGTGACGAGTTCGCCTGAGAGCGGACACCCGCGCTCGCAGTCCTAGAGTCCTAGAGGACGTGTCGGCTCTTTCAAGCCACTCTTCGCAACCTCTGAGAGCCATGATAAGACATTAGTTGTACTCGCAGGGCAAGTACACCGAGCTGACAACTCATCATGCTGCAGACTGCGACTTTCTGCTTGTGCATCAAAGACGAGCTCTGCTGTGCCATGCTGTGCCTGCATTTTTCTTGCATGCAACAGATGGTCCCTCTGTCAGTCTCGCAAGGTCCAGTTACTTTTTTGTACGGGCTCGTGACATCAAGAAACACGACGCAGCACAATGATACCCATGCTGACCCGCTCACAGCTTCCCAGCAATCAAGCTTGGACAGCCCACCCATGCCTGGTGACCTTTGTCAGACATTTACGGCAGAGTTTATGTCAATTTGCTGATGAACTTGCACTGGCATGCCCGTGTATGGGAAAAGGCTGAAGCAGCACATTGAAGAAACTCTTTCATTCAGGGAATAACACCGTACACTCGTGCGGTAGACCATAGCTGGAGCTTCCCGGCATAGGTCGCTGCGAGCATGAGGCAGATGTGAGGCGCACCCTCGCGCTGAGGGGCCAGCCAGATCCGGCAGATTCCTTGAGGCTCTCATGGAATCTTTTGATGCTCGGTTATCTTGTTTGCCTCTTAAGAAAGCGAGGTTGGAACTTGAGCGAGCGGGGAGGCACGAGACATCACGGGACCTTCCGTGACACTTCTCACATTCTGCGATGTATCATAAACTGATGCGTGTTGCGTGTTTCGCCTTGTCAATGAGCCTCAGCTGCCGCCCCGAACACAGCTGGACAGCAAATATAGCAGCGTCTAGCTGAGTCTAGCTTCGAATCCTCTCGCAGCGGGCCTGTTTCTGCTGGCGCCAGATGGCGGTGCAGACTTTCGTGGCAAGGGCGCCGGCAAGGGTGCAGCCCATGCGGTCGATCTCCCTGTACTTGATTGCAACAGTTGCAGGGCTGTGGCTGCTGATAGGCGTCAGCATGCCGTCCTTTGCCGGCTTGACTCTCAGGCCCCGTGCGTCGTTAAGGTCTTCAGCATTGCAAAGAGCTGCCGTTGGAGGCTTGCAGCAGGCATTCTTCATGGGCAAGCGGGTGGACTGGCGACCAGCACTCGATGCATCCAAGGCTGTTGAGGTCGGTGGCGAAATGCCTCTGGGGGTTCGCTTCGAGCGCCGGGAGGATGGAGCCTCGATTTCATAAAGATTCTAACTTGTTGTGCTCGGAGCATCAGACCAGATCGAATCATCAAGTTCAGGTCCTAGAGCCGCCCAGCCACAAGAGTTACCCATGACATGTAACGGCAAAGCCTGCTTCGAGTAACCGGCATGGTTTTGAACTCGTTTCCCCGCAACGTTCCGGGATTCGTGTGCCGGCTCATGCGTCTCAGGTGCCTTCATCATCACCGAAATCATCAGCGGGGGTTCGGCTTCTGTTGGCGAGCTGGACGTGCAAGTTGGAAACATCATCCACGCAGTGAGCTGTTCTGTGGGTGGAAAGAAGGAGATTACAACTGCTTTCGAGGTTGACTCCATCGATCAAATGTCGCAGGCGATCCTCTCAAACGAAGATGAGCGGGTCACCATGCTTGTCGAAAAACCCGATGAGGGAGCTGTCGGCGCCGTCAGCTTTTTGACCGATGTGGCGACCAGGCTCTGAGCCATGTGCCTCCTGGCTGCAGTGAGAGGAGAAACGTGTATGATCTCAAGACATCTCAAAGACTTTCATTCGTGCAGGTTTTTGGGGCAAGTCCCTACGCCCCCCGCGTGCTTTCAACTCAAGTCTTCAAGCAGAGATGTCGGTGACTCTCGTAGGGCACAAATGCACAACGAATGGGCACATCGCGCGTGCTGACATCGGATTCCGCGTGCGTCCGCATGGGAACACTTGAAGTCTTCGCAGGATTGCCCCAGCAAAAAGGCCCTGTGAGTGTGTGTGGCTCTGCGCGGGGCTCCAATGCAGCACCACCGCTGCAGTTCCGCTCGATTCATCAAAGACCGCGTTGAAGTCATTGGAGTCACATTGGAGTCACTGCAACGTTTGTTAACGTTTGTTGCCATCGTTGTGCAGGCGCTCTCTGGCGCTCTCTGAGTTTTTCGGTCACCGAAAAGGAAACCTCCCTGCAAGTGTTTGGGTGGCGGGGGGGAGCGTGGCCCGAAAAACAATTAGCCGCACTGAATGGAGAACCCTCGGAGAGAGGGCGCGGTTTTCTGTGGAGACAGTCGTAGTATGTGCGGCTTGTACAGCCTAGGGAACGACTGGCTCAAGCAATCAATGCGGCGCGAGGCAAGTTTGAGTTGGTCGCCGAAACGCGTTTCGAACCACTTTCAGGACACTGCAGCATGTTGATGCGGTTGACCTTGAATGTCTTCCCTGCGTTCCATTCCCGAAGCGGCTGAATGCTTGCTGGGAGCAAGTCGTTAGCTTTTCCCCTTAGATTCCGGCACGTGCAGTCCTTGTAACCACTCATCATTCGCCAGTGCAGTTTTGATGTTGATGCACGGCTTTCTGTATGCATTTCCTAGGTTCGAGTTCTATCAGGGCAACGGGTAGGGAAAAGAAGGTGCCCGATGACGCGAATTGTCTTTGCGTAGGGGGTGATGTCCATGGGCTCCATGGTGTTCACCTCCAAAGGCGGCGTGCGCCGATGCTCTTCGTATACATTTGTCCATGTTTGTCTGATTGTGATGGGATGTATTTTCCTATTGCATATGTGCGAAATACATATTCCATGTTGGTCACTGCTCTGTGGGGCCATGTGCTGCAGTTTACGCTGCAACGGGCATCAAAGTCGTATGTGTTTTTTCTGGCTTGTACTTCTGGTGGTCATGCCACGTTCGGCTGCTGCCGTGGAAACTTCCAACAATGCTACAGCTTTGTGGAGACAACCTTCTGTCTGCAAGTTTGGGTGCGAAGAGGCTATGTTGGCGATGGCTGTGCAGTGCTTTGGTGCATGGCGACAACGCTGTCCGAACAATTTCTTCCAAGACTACAGGCTCTCCCAAGGGCAGCTGAGGGGGGTACACCGTGAAGCGGGGAGAGCACTCAAACGCATGTGTCAAGTTTCTGCCTGGGCTTATTGTAAGCAACAATGGAGCCGACATTGCCCTTACTGCAAAATGACATGGGTACGCTGTGGCTGCTGCATACACTTGGCACCCCGAGACTGGCATTCTTCGTGCAATGTCACTGTGGATGGGAGTGCAACCTTCCCGCAATACGCTGAACATCATGGCCTCAAGATTTGGCAGGTCATTCGCGTGATCGAAACCATCAAGGGATACATCTACAAAGATTTCTTGTCTTCTTCTCCGACCCACTATGACAAGAAGTTGTGTGCGTTCTGGTCCATGCTCGAGGCTAAGTTCGGTGTTGCACACACCACTTCCACAGGCGTATTGTACATGCTTGCAGCCCCGTGGTGTTGTCACAGCTACATCGGACAAACCAACGGAAACGGTTGGACACGTTTGCAATCGCACAGGTACGCCTGCTTGTCCGGAAAGCAATCGGGCAAAGTATATGACAAATTACGGCAGATGCACTTCAGCTCCTTTGTATTTGTCCCTCTTTGTGATCTTTCTACATGTGCAGCAACAGTTGCGGACAGGTTGTTTGTGGAAGCTCAAGCGATTGCAATTTGGAGGCCCACCTTGAATGTTCAAGGAACTCCTGCCAGCAACAAGTACAGCAACGAATATGTCTCCTTGGTATTTCCCCGCCGCGTTCAGGACAGACCTCTGATGCATGCACGTGGAATTGTTCAACAAGATCCAGCCGCTTTGTTTCCGCCTTCAGCAATCCTTGGCCCCAGGGAGCGACCTGGAGCTCACGGCTGGCGTCAACGACTATCTGTAGCAGTGTCAGTTTCCAGACGGCCAATTCGTCAACGTGGCGTCGTCAATCTTGGTCTTCTACAATCTATTCAGTCGTGGCATCCTTCGTACCAAATGCGGATCACTCTCACAGCCATGCGATGCCTGGGCATTCACCATCGCGCTATCTTTTTGCAAAACATGAGCCGTGCTCTCGGAGCTTTTTCCTTCCGGCGGATTGCCATTAGCAGTCACCTGGGGTTCTCTGCTAGTGTGCGCAAATGCTTTCAACAACAGCTCCAATGCACGCTATCTGCAGCCTACAAGTTTTCTATGACGATCACTGTTGTGAAGTTGTGTATTCGACCAATTTCGTGCCCGTCTTTGCTTGACCTTGTTGACAACTCGAGGCGGATTCTGGAGTGCCCGTCTGAGCCCACTGTATGTCCCTGTGCTCAAGCCTGGTGTCATGATTGGCGTTTGCTGGATGGTCATGTTTGTGATTCCCTCCAAGGGGTGAGAGGCCATATCCCGTGGGACTGGCCTGATACATGGACGGCTAGGTCACGATTCAAGCCTGATGTGCAGCAGGTCTGTGAAGATTTGCAGTCGCAGTTCAACATTGCTTGCAGGGACACGTGCCCGAGTTTGTCTGCCTTTGCCGGGTTGTACGACAGTCCTTCAATCCAGCACACTGTCGAGCGTTCGCTGCTTCGTTTCTCTACCTCTCCTAGTATTCTTCAAGGTCGTCAAGCTGCTGCCGTTTTGTCAGACTTCGCCTGCATTCCTGTCGACCGGGCCAAGGGTGAGCTGGCTGTATTATGTCCGCAGAAATATTGGAGAATGGGACAGAGTTTCCTCAAATCCTGCAACGCCGTTCCCGTCTCCCTCGGTGAGGTGATCCACTTCAATCAGAATTTCTTCGTGTGGCCGAACAAGCTTGAAGTCCTTCCTTTTTGTCACTTGAGACGTGGCCGTGAACATCGCTTCGGGCAACTGACCCTCCACGTGAAGGCCAAGTCACTTTTTCCATTGTGTGCAACCTGGACTTCTTTGAAGCTGCGCCCACTTGTGTCTTACCGCCGGCACCACTGGCGACATCTTCTAAGCAACACATGTCGCGCCCTAAACTTCATCCAGCAATCTGTTGCCCCTGGGTTTGTTACCCTGTGCGCCGCCAGCTTCTGCGGCAAAATCAGGAAATTCAATGACGACACAGCCGCCACTTTTGGTACCTGTGATGTTACTGCGAGCTTGCATATTGATGACATTGAGGACTTCTTCACCAAAGCTCCCCGTGACAAGGTGTTGGATGCTGTTCACTGGGCATGCTCTCGCCTCCGTCAGCAATCAGGGCATGAATATGTTTGCATTCCAAGGACAGCGAAAGTCTTCAGACGCAATATCTGGATTTTTGCAGACAAGCCTGGACCATGTGGCTGGCGCTCCTTCAAGCCTAAACGTGAACTTCATGCAATGACAACTTCCGTTCCCCCTGACCCACGACATTTTTACTGCTTGGCGTTACGGGATATTCCTGGTATTCTGGCGCACGACTGGAAATTTGCATGGTTTCTGGTTGGGGGCATCCTATACAAACAGCCCACAGGGTTTGCACAAGGTAGTCCTGCTTCTAGTGGAGCTGCCAACCTCTTTGCGGCTGTTTGTGAGGAGCGGTGGTTGCGGCAAAAACCCGTGGTCCTTCAACAGCACATCTCTCTACATTTGTGTGCGGCTCGTTGGATGGATGATCGTCTCTTGGTTTGGCGACCTGGCTTCAATTTGTGTCTGTTACATGAACTTCGGGACCCCGCCTTTTACGCGCAAGAATGCCGACTCAAGCCTACGCGCGATAACAAGTTCATCGGCCTTCGTGTTTTCTTCAGTCGCGGGTCTTTGTGCACGATACCGTGGTCCAGTCATTGTGATCACTGCTTCCTTCAGCGCCTACCTCGCGCAGGCCGCCTCATGTCTACTCTTTCATTTGGGAGCGATTCCGCTGTGCGAGGTCATCTGCTTGGACATCTGGTACGTGTATTGGATTTCAGTATCGGCGCCCGTGCTTCGCTTCAAGCTGCTGTACTTTTCTTGCTCGTTGAGTTGGAGCACGCTGGTCATTCGCGGCGAAGACTCCTCAAGCTTCTATGGCGCGTCCATGCAAAAATGCCTTTTCTTGATATTCCCTTGCTTATGCAGGACAAGTCTCTGAGCGTGCAATGTGCTGCGTGGCACATACTGGCTTTGTGTTCATGCCCGTGAGTGTTTGTGGTGGAATTTGGCCTTACTCCGCTTTGTGGCCTCTGCATGTTGGAGCCCTTATTCCGAGATTAAAACCCTACTGGACCATCGTTTTGCTCTTGAAGCCTTGCTTTTCCTCAGCATTTTGTTCCAAGCACTGGTGCCAACCCTCCTTGACTCGTAGCGTGCATCATGTCGAACCCACTCCTTGCGGCTCTTGTTCAGGCTGCTGTGTCTGGCCCAGCCAGTGGCGCAGGCAAGGGAACCGGTCGCGGGGTTTGCTTCTCTTTTCGCAATACCGGTATGTGTCAGCATGGTGACAACTGCCGGTACGAGCATGTGCAGCATGTGGGTAACCAACGCCGTGATTCGGGCTTTACCTTGACTGGCCCTGACGCTTCAACAGGCTCTGCAGGTGCAACCCAACCTCCATGACTTCTTCGGTTTCAGCAAGGGTGCCGCACCGTGTGACAACGGTGAGCAGTACGGGAAAATCACTGTCGTTGATCGTGACCACATCATCTCCCAACTCGTGGCGGTTGAGGATGGTCAACTCACACATCGTGTCATGGCAGTCCCTGCGGCAGTGCATTCTGAAGTACACGATCTGCTGGAGTTCTTCGAGACAGGTGTCTCCATCGGCGGACGTGCTGTGACTACTCAAGATATGCAACAACAGCTGAAGGCTTTTGCAGATCACTTGCGTACCTCTGGATGGCGGCCTCGTGTCGCTGCCCCGTCCACGTCCTTGCAGTCCGATTTGGCAAGCAATATCTCAGAGCTCACTGCGTTGCTCAAGAATGGCCTCAATACTCCTACCTCTTCGTCGGCTAAGCGTGTGCATGAGGCAAGCCCTGGTGATATCATCGCTGCAATGGGGAATCTGTCTCCGGAGAATCGTGCCGCTGTCTTAGTCGCGCTGGGTGGTGGAAGTTCCGTCCCGCCTGGACCTTCACCTCCAAGGAAGGCTGCAGTGTTCAAGGAAGGGGCAATGGAGGCCCGTCCTCATGTGCCACCGCTCCCTACTGTGGATGTCTCTGCTCCGCTCTTCCCCGATGCTGACATGGAGGCTGATGCCCCCGCAAACGCTGACCTTGCCCGGGTTGAAAACGAGCTCTTGGCGCTTGTGCGGAGTTCAAGCTCTGGCCTGCCATCGGTCCGGGATAAGGCTGCCTTCGATGAGAGTGCCCCGCTAAACGTGGCTGCTCTTGACGGGATGATTGGACCGTGCCAGCTTGATGCTGATGCTTCCTCGCTTCCTGATTTGGCCACCCTAGTAGGCTCTCAAACGGATGAGCTGATTGCAACATGCCGCGAGATCATACCCAAAGTGGTGCGCCAGCTCAATCTGGTGTTCAAGCCGCAAAGGCGTCTGGAACTTCTGTTGCGCACATTTGGATGGGTTTTTGTCGCACGGGCGCGTGAACCGGTCGGGGTGGTGTCCTTGAGTATTTGTATTGCACGCAAAGCGGCTGGTCTAGCACACACCCCTTAGATTCCGGCACGTGCAGTCCTTGTGACCACTCATCATTCGCCAGTGCAGTTTTGATGTTGATGCACGGCTTTCTGTATGCATTTCCTAGGTTCGAGTTCTATCAGGGCAACGGGTAGGGAAAAGAAGGTGCCCGATGACGCGAATTGTCTCTGTTGTGCCTCTTTCGCAACGGGCTCTTCCACACCGCGCCGCTGCTGACAACTCTTGCGGCTTGTGGCTTGTGCCTTGTGGCTTGCAGCGCGGCTGACACGATGGCCCAAAACAAACCGTCGATTTGGCAAGCGGACGAAGTCCGCGAGCACCGGCCACAACCCGGCCAAGAAGCTGAGCTCCTGGGGGTCACAGTCCTTTCTTGCTCCCTTATTCGTGGGACGATGAAGGGTGAGATCAGTGAGATCCAGGTTTTTGGCACTTTGCAAGCGTCAATTGTCCGCATTCCCCCTCACCTTCTCGATCAAGATGCCATCTGGTTTATCATGGTTTTTTCCATCCTTCGTGCGGAAATGCCATTCGTTGCGTGCTCAGCGGTCCAGCCGTGTCATAGGTGGATGCCTAGTGACGATAACACTCAAAATGTTTGGAGGAGGACTTTTGATCTCATTTGGTTGGTGTCTGCGTATCTGCATATCATATGGTGCTCATACGCCGATTTTTCTTCGGTTTCTTTCTCTACCGTTTCTTTGGTACTGCCGAGCGGGGTGAGCTGTCAGTTTGTATTCTGCAAGCGTGCAACGGCCATGAGCCTTTCTATGCATGCTGCGCCCTTTGCCTTCCTAGCTTGTTGTTGCGTATGTTGCGTGTGCGCGGTTCCGAGACTTGTTGTCTGGCAAGCAATCGGCAAGGTCATGTCGAGCACTTTGCGAGCGTTGAGAATGAGAATGAGAATGAGAATGAATGAGAATGAGACCAGATGGACCTTGCTTTGGCTTTGATTCCAAGCTGGCTGTCAGCATGTTAGAGCCAAAGGACATTCCCGGCGAACAGCTTCGGTGTTTCGCTGTTCAGTGGGCCATCATCAGATAGCGGCTTTCTTCGCATTTCCCTGAACCACAGGGAGGGTTTCAAAAATTTACCAGAAGCCGAGCATGAGTTCTCCGGAAAGTTCTGGGAAGGTGAAGTGGAGCATGGAGCATTTCGGAGGGCGGAGACACAAAGAGTCCCCCGATTATCCGAGAAAGCTAATGCGCTGTGTTTTGGGAGCGGAGCCGTCTTCGTTCTTCGAATGCTGGTCAAGTGCATTTCCTGCAGGTCGCCTCTCGCTCACCGAAAGCTGTTCGACACGGCCTCTATGGATTATGAACCCGCGTGGACCTTAAGCAGATTCAGATGCTTCTTTGGGGCCTAGTGCAATGTTCAGGATGGGACGCAAGAGCTGCTGATAGATTCGGCCCAGGAGATTGTGGTGAGGGGTTCACGATCTTTTAACGAACCCTTCCAAAATTCAGTCGTTGGTTTGCAGGCCTGTGCGGGTCCGGTGTTGCTGCAGGAGAGAACTGCCCGGCGGACAGAACACCTGCTGCTGGCGGCAAGGTGTGAACCGAGCGCTAAGTTGCGCTGAGTTGGCATGCCCGTGCATGCCCATGGCTTGTCATGCGCATGAATAGGCATTATCGCAAGCATTGCAAATCTCAAGATTTCCTGCAGGCTATCATTCTTCTTTTTTCACGGCCTCCTCATCATCTCAGCTTCCATGGGATTCCAGGAGTCCATGCCGCTGTCTGTCATCGTGTGCTGTTGTGGCATGGAGATGTCAAGCCGCCTCTATGATCACCGGTTTGTAGGATTTGTAGGACAGGTAGGCAGGCATCGGGTCTCGCGATCGAATGTATCAGAGGCTTCTGGGCAAAGGCTACCCTTTCCTCAGCTCTAAGACGTGGCTCAGACACCTCAAACCCCAAGATATGCTCAGGCCCCAGTTCTCAGACAGTCCGAGCATTCCGAGGTCATACTTCGCCCCTGTAGTCCCATCACGTTCTCTTTGCAGCCCACTTGTTGGTAGCCGTTGTTCCGGACATTTCTGGAAGGTCTCGGAAGCCACAAAGCACAACAAATCAGCGAACGGACTTTGAAACGGATTCTGAGACTCGGTAGATGGCCCTAACAGCTGGTGGCTGGGCGAGCTTTCTGTACCAGTAGCTTCCTACAGCTAAGATTCGCTGCAATGGCCTCATGCAGAGATGTGCACGCAGGGGGATGTTGAAGATAGATGCAAGCAGACCACGACAAGAGGCCGCATTGAGCGTGTGGAAGTTGGAAGGAAGTATCCTGGTGGCTGATTTTCACTCCCGCCTGGTCACTCCCTTGGTTTGCTCGCGTACTGTATGCACTAGCTGTTGTCTTGCGCCTTTGGATTTTTTTGCCCGGTCTCCCGGTGAGGTTAGGAGATACAATTTGCCTTGTGCTTGTGGTTCTTTCCTGGTTTGGCTCTTGCCCGCGCGATCCTCAGACGGGGTGGAGGAGTGTAGGGTGTGCAGGCGTCATGCAAGCTGAGCTGGTGAATTTCCGAAAGCCCGATATGTACGAGGGCTTTGCAATTTCACTGCAGGTATGTCCAATCTTGCTTGCAAGAGCGGCAGGCTGGTGCCACACGGGCTTTGCATAGGTTGGTAGGCACGGTGTGTCATGTGCGTCCTTCGACGTGCGCAAGCACTTGAGACCTAAGACGAGGCAGCGATGTGGAGCCTGTAGAGCTGTGTGGATGTGTTTTTTTTGGCAGGCGCGGCTTGGAGATGCAAATCCAAGCATTCTCACCGACATCTTGCCAGACATAGGAGCCCCTGGAGGGTCTACAGTGAGTCGGCATTTCTGCACATCAAATCACCTTCTGTCTGCGGTATGCCTTGCCCCAGTGATGGGAATCCTATCCTTGGTCTACATGCTCCTCGCCCTCCTTGCGGAGCTCTTACTGTGCAGGCCATGCAGTGGCCCCGCTGTTTGGCAAAACCATTGCTGCTACTGCATCGCATTGCGGCGCGTGCTTTTGCATTCATGTACATTCGCATGATTCGCGTGGTCTTCGGAGTGCTCCTGTCAGATACCTCAGCGAGCTGAGCAATGGCTTCGATGCGGCACCTGTTGCGCCGGTGGTGGCCATTCCCTTGGACAGTTGTCAATACTTCAGTACAAACAGTGACTTGAAAGACTCCTCCGCACCCCCACAGCACAACGTGTAGAATGTGTAGAGTCTAGAGTCGTAGAGACCAACAAATTGCGGACTTCTGGAGTTGTCAGATGTATTTTGTGCAAGCCTTGTTCAATTTTCAAGCAGCTGAAGCAACTGAAAGTCGGACTGCGCCCTCCCCTGACCCCCCTTCTCGGCCCCCGTTCTCTTTCCTGTCCTTTCCTTCTCCCTTCGTCCTTCCCATGGTCCTTCCGCACCTCCCATGGTCCTCTTCCGTGCGGCGTCTTGCCACTTAGCAGTTGCACACACATGCAGGAGTACATTGTTGCAATTGCGAATGTGCTTTTCAGGTCTTTATGCTGGTATCAACACTAACGTGCTGCCGAGGACGAAAAGAATTGCCGTTGGTGTATTGTCACTGGCAGCGCCTATTGCTGTGACGTAACACCAGCTTGCCTCTTGCAGGAGTTTGCATCTTCACAGTCAATCCGCCATGTTTGCCTTGAGGATTTCGCTGCCAATTGCTTTTGAGGGATGACGGCTACATTTACTTTACTTCTTTCTCCGATGGAGAGGCACAGCTTGTGCTAAAAAAAAACTGTGCTCCCGCTTGACCTTGGGTTGGCAAGGAGGGCCAGGTGGCAATCACAACTGGTCGGCTGAGATCGGGACAAGGAGCCTTCAAACCACTATATGCTGCTAAAAAAGCCCGAGTGTTTCAACGCGCAAGAAGAGCGGAACCGATTTGGGAATATTTCTCTGGGCTCACGTATGTCCACCCACCCTGTGCCCTGCGTGTCTTTCGCCATTGCTGCACCGCGCGCCCTTGCTGCTGGATTTGCTGGATTGCAAGGTCTCAGGTTTTTTTCCGGCTAGGTGGCCAAACTGGGGGTAGGCCCGCGACTGGCCTTGTGCTCCCGGGGGGGGGCTCCATGGGCGTGTGCACAGAGCGATGTTGATGAGCTGGTCCTTCAATGTCCTTCACACCAGTGAGCTTACCATTCGGGGTGCTCGGCGGGATTTTCTGAGCGTGGGCACTTTTTCTGGGCGTGGGCACTTTGAAGATATGGGGTGGATTCTCTGAGCTATCTGGGTCCGAAGACGGGGCCAAGAGAGCGAGCGAGAAACACGGTGACGAGAAAGACACAAGATCCAACAAACATCAACAACCCCACACCGAGGGTGGGAACAATTGTAAATGCTTGCGCGCCGCCTCGGCAGCTGGCCCAACGGTGTAGCGTGCCCATCGCCGACGAAGGAACGCCAAAGTCCAACGTCCGACATGAGTTCAGGAGTCAGGAGGGAAGAAGGTTTCGGGGGTCCCAAGAGGGGGTTCAGGGTTTCAGAAAATCCCACAAAGGTCCCCGTGCTTTTGCTGGGGAGGGGGGAAGTTTCGGTTTGGGAAGGTGGGGGAAGGAGACCAGATCCTGGTCTGCTTGTGCTAGACGCCTTGGGGCGAGTGAGCTTTATGTCCAAACTCTTCCTGTTGCCAGAGCAGCGTGCTCTTCTGCTGCATCGGCTTGGCAGCGGCAGCCTCAGGGGTTTTGGATCGGAATGGCATTGTTGGCATTGATTGTCGCCGTGTGGCGCCGTTTCTGGCCTGGCTGCCCTACGGCTTACAACATGTGCTGCTCTCGATGTGTCGCTGCAATTTGCTGGCCCCTGATGTGTTTCAGTGTTTATAACGTGTTTATGATAGGACCATGGTGTATCGCGGATTGCTTCTTGCATCTTCTGGGTTGGTGTGCTCCAGGCTTTGTCCACATGTGTGCTGGTACTTGCCCTGTCTGCGGCTGAGAAGAGCAAATCGAAAATTGCGCATCCCATGCATGGAAACACGCACCATGAGAGCAGCAAGTCCTGATGCAGCACACAGGATTCATCAGACCTGGTAGCTCTGCCCGTGAGTGGCCGCACATAGCATGAGACAGATCTTTACAGCACTGGCCAGCGCAAACTTTAAGGCCAGGGCAACCAACTCCATGGGACGTGGGCTAAGATTCTCCACATGAGACATACTGCGCTTTGCATGCTTTGCTTTGCTTGATGCTAATTCACGCGAGCTCCATACTGCTGTAGTCTGCAACTGTCTCCATGCGCATGATGCATGAAGACACAACGATGGTCACGAGGACCGAAGTCACATTGGAATGTGGATTTTTGATACAAGTGGTGAGGTTCTCTTTGTGCCATGGGCAGCCGCTGTTCCACGCCCAGGGCACTATGTGAACACGTGTGAACACTACAGTTCACTGCAGTCCACTACAGATCACGATGCATCAGAGCGTCTTGCTACGGGGATATCTCGAAAACATTGTTTGCAGCTGCACCGCGCACACCCGTTTGCAGCAGGTTGCTCCTCATTTGGCTCAGGTTCTCTGTCTTCTTATCGCAGCCGTCTGCCAGCTGCAGCGATGCCGCTCGATCCTGTGTCGCGAGGAGACGCCAGTGGGACAGTGAGTTTGTTTCACTACGCCTCGGGGGTCCGGGAGGGATGTCCTCTCCAAAAGGCCCTCAACTTCCTCAACCCTGAACTTCGACAGGAGAGGCGCAAAATTCTGCCGCCCGAAGCTAACCCAACCCCGCCCAAAACCCTGAATCCCAAGCCTTGGACCATAAGTGCAAGCTTTGCGCAAGCAGTTGCAGCAGGTTGCAGGTTTGACAGGAAGAGCGAAGGTGCTTCGGGCGAGCACTTGGATACGGGCAATGTGGGGCAGAGCTGTCATAAGGTTCGCATGAACCGACACTATCTTGAAGCTGCGGAACGAAGAAGAGTGGATGGGTGTAGCGTGGGCAAGGGCTGGACCTGCCAGAGACCTCTTTGTTTCTAGGGGCGGGTGTCCCCAAAGATGTCCGGTGAGAGTGTGAGTGGATCAATCAGCTACTGGAAAGTGTTTGTTGAGTCCCTGGGCTTAGGAACGCCTGGAAACGTCCTGAGCAAGTCATGGCAAGTCAATAGGGGGAGCCTGACGAGGGGTCGTCCCCTAGAAAGTCTTTCAGGTACCTGAGAGACCTGCAACAACAGACTAAAGCAATGCGGCATCCTGCGGCATGGTGCGGCATGGTGCGGCATGGTGCGGCCTCTCGGCACTGCTTGCGAATGTCCGTTGTGAGGAAGTGCTTCTTCGAATTCTGGAGCTGGTGGTGCTGACGCTGGTGAACCCTGCATGGAGTTGATGCCCCGTGCGCAATGTCAGCGTGTGCAATGTCAGCAAACTTGCAGGTGTTGAGTTCCGTGCTGGTGACGATTGTTGAGCTCGCGCCCTCTGTCGCTGTAGGCAGCGGGTTGCGTGAAGCCATTCTGGGCCTAGAAGGTGAAGAAGGTCTTCTTGGTCCATCTTTACTAGAGTTGCAGGCGATGGAGGTCGCTATGCCGGAATTGCGGGCGTCGTGGCCGGGACAGGCCTTCTGCAGCACTTCACAACAGATCACAACAGTTTGCGGCGATCGGTAAGCTCCGGCAAGCTTCGGGGTCCCGGCAAGGTATCTGCGCGCTCTCTGCGCTGCATGCTCGCATGGCCATGGCCGAAAGCAGGCAGGCTGCGTACATTAACAACATTTAGCAACCAAGACCTGTCCGCCTAATTCAAGGTTTGGGGCCGTCAGCGAGCGCCTTCTGATCGCTGAGATGAGTTGCCAGGATCCAGTGGCTCCCTGAATGTAGCATGCAGGATCACTGCAAGTGCTCTGAGCCACTGGCCAAGTCTTTTTTTGGACGCTCAGGGAACAAGCTTGCGAAGCTCCGTCATCTCTGGCGTCGGCTTGGAAGTCGGTGGCGCCTCTCTCTCAGACACGACCTGGCTTGAGTGCCCGCGGCCGCTAGCGGCCGCTGGCAGACATCAGAACAGCTTCGGGCCTTCAACCGGGCTTTCAACATCTTTCAACATCTTTCAACCATTCGCACCGCTTCGCACCGCTGCTCAGGACCTCTCGCTGTCAGCAAGAAGTGGACCTGGCAGCTGGCGAAGCGGGCGAATGATCCGCTGGGGTCTCAGCACTCTTTGTTATGCCAGGTTTCTCCGACAAGACCTCGGATCTCTCGTCAAACCCTTCCTGGGCTGACCTCGTCTGGAGCTTCGGAATGTTTTTCCTATGGGAGGCCCCCAAAGGCGTCATGTCAGATGAAGTTTACTTGGTCGGCTTAGCACATTGTGGTCAGCAGGGCCAACCAACACCAGCCGAGCTTCAACAAGTTTTGGGGACTAACTAGGTTGAAGTGAGAGCAAAGCCGGCCGGAAGACTTGCAATTCACAATCCAGTCCCTCAACCTTTGGAATGAAGTCGGGCAAGAGAGTGAGACATAGTGAGGCGATGCCCAAGTCGCAAGTAACGTAAACTGCTAGAATTGTTGAAGCAGGGGGTGTGTCCGTGGGCAGGTGGGAAGATGGGGCTGGGAGGTGCGTGAAACTCCTCTGAAGGGGGAAGCCGCGGTCGTTCAATGATGATCTGATAGGTGAGGAGAGCAGGAGGCCGAAGTTGCTGAGGAAAATGCACAGTGCTGCGACATGTGTCGAACACTGCCGCAGCCGACGTACACCAATCACATGTTGAAGCGAAGTTGAAGCGAGAGAGTGTGGGCTACGCCAAGCCTCTCTCGTGCGATGAAATTAGAGCTCTGACTCTTGTTCCTATTGGGCTTCCAGATCGTGCCATCGGCAGTTGCTAATGCACACCAGCTGGAAGGTGTTGTCGGCCCACCTGATCCAGAGGCAGGGGGGGACATGTGCAACAGAAGTTGCACCAAATGCCATCATGTGATCTTCTCCGACGCCGGCTAGGTGCTGACAATTGTGGGGAAATTCGGTCATTGGCGAGTGAAATGAATGAAAGAGCGCGGGCCAGTATTGTATTGATCTGGGCGAAGTAGATATGTCGCCAACTCTGCTTCTGTCCCTCCCCTTTCATCTGGGTGCTTCTGTTTCAAATGCCTGTTTCCAGGACCGTGCTCCTTGTCTACAACTTCTAGCTTGGCAGAGCGTTCGTGATCGTTGTGTTTTCAAAGCGATGTAATCCGATTTGAAATTCTGAAAGCAGAGTAGTTGTTCATCAACACTTGCGGTGCCAGGTGGCTGACGCAGCAACCAGTGCTGAGGCTTCCGAACCGCAGCAAATGTAGCAGTCGGAGTGAGGTGGGCGCTGAAAAGTTGCAGTCTGCATTCTGTCGACTCCCAGTGCAGTTAGTGCTTCAGCTGCCTCTTGCACGTCATCCTGTTGGGATACTAGTTGCTTGCTTGCCTCTCATGCAGATCTCAGTGGGTGAGCTTCGTAGCTGGCAAAATCAGGTCTGTGAGAATGGGGGCTCGTGAGAATGTCGAGGTCATGAGTCAGAGAACTGTAGAGCGTGGCTGTAGTTGATCACCATTTCGTGTTTAGCTTCCATGTACTATCACTGTGCACTCCTTTTCTGACAGGGTCGCGAGGCAGTACCAGGTTTCTGCCATGGCGCAAGCACTCTGCAGCAGTGGTTGGCGAGATGCAGGCGTGCAGAATTCGATGCGGCAGAAGTTAACATTCTCGCGGGTCAGATCAGGCTTCATGTCTCCGACAGCCAGTAAAGGGTTGAGTGCATGACACAAGCGAGAGATGGCTGGGAGCCGCACAACAAGTAGCAAGGATCCTAAAGAGAAGGGAACATCATCTAGCGAAGAAGAATCATGAGATATCGTAGGTATCATAGAGTGCTCTCGGCATCTTTCTCGCAATGTGCGTATTTGGCCACACATGGCCACATATGGCGTGTTGTCTTTGCGCAGGGGCCACTGCGCAGGTGTCTTGGGGGATTTTTTGTGGCTGTGCTCTGCAGTCTCAACAACTGCTCTCAAAGGTGGGGACCAAGGGGGGGACCGAGGCGGGAGAGTGCGACTTTTTCTTTGCGGAACACGGAACACGCCGACGAGAACGCAATTATTTTGTACCTTCAGCCCAATCTCCTCACTTCTCCACCAACTTGAACCCCTGAGTACCCCTGAGTGATCATATGTGACATTGTGGATCCTAGTGACACAGTGCCGCCACATGGTTTGGGGAACATAGGAACAGTAGCAGATCATGGCAGGCAGAAGAACATATCAGACCGTATCGGGAAGAATAGTACAGTGGTGGATAGCGTACGTGATATGGTGAGTTCTCAAAAAGCATGTGTTGATTTTTCAAATAGAAGGGCATACGAACCGTTATCTATGTCAACTATTTGTCTTCGTCATGAGGCCCCCCCCCCCCCCCAAGTACAGCTCCTTTTACCCCATTGTGGCGCTAGCATAGCGCTAGCTGCGCGCTAGCATTAATCTTGGAAGTGTCGGTATGCCTGGGCCGAGACAAAGGTATGCAGGCGTTTGGCCCCAAGATCGGCCACCTATGGGAAGAACTGCGGCACCAGAACATGGCGTCCAGGATCTGCTCAAGCAAAGACCGCAGGTTAGCTTCAGTCATGTTGAGAATGATCTACGAAGCGCGGCGCCCTCGCATTTTACATGGTTTTGGCGCGTGCTCGGGCTGGAAAACAGGGGTGCTGGCGCTAGCACGGCGCTAGCACGGACTTGGGTTTTCCAGACAGTCGGTCACCAAACGAAGGCCCGAAGGTTTGTAGGTGTGGGGTTTGGACTTCCCCAAATCGCAAGCTTTCAACCCCAACCCAACCCTCAGCCCTTCAGCCTCAACCAAAGTCTCTTCCCCTCATCTTCAAACATGTTGGCCCTGTGGGTGGCATTTAATACCAACTGTGGCTGCGTGACTGTTGAAATTCAACGTCAGCCCTCGTACGCCTTCTGGAATACCTTCACGTCATATTGTCGTGAAGTGGTGTGCTAGCGCGTTTCCCAATTACACACATTCCGGAGTAGCATTTCGAGAAATGATCATATGCAGCTTGTAGATCTTACGGGCCGGCATGTGTTGAGGGTTGTGGGAACTTTTTTTGGTCACCAGTCACACCTCTTTAAGTTTTTGGCTGACCGTTTTGTTGTGTCTGAGTGCCTAGGGTTTTAGAAAAAGCGCTGCTCAAGTATTTTTCATAGTAACATCTTGGTCGATAGGGGTGCTACATGACAAGATCAAGTCGGCTGGTACGCCATAGCCGGACGTGAGTATGTTGGACGACGCGTCAGCTGGATCTGCTGCGAGAGTTTGGCTTCTTCCTGGCACGCTATGCATCGCTATGCGTTTCCCTATTGACCCTGAGGTGGCATGCCTGGCGTTCTGACGTCCTTCGGCGTTTGCCCGGCGCCTGATGCCAAGGCCACTCTTGCTGCATCAGAGCTGAACGGATGTTCGTCCGGATGGATGCATGGCAGGGGAACTGACCGTTGCAATGCACTGACTGCATCGCTTGTGGATACCGGCTTGATCTTGGCAGGCTGTCAGGCGACTTTCATAGCTTGTAGCTTGCCACATGGAAACAGCCGGGCTGGTCTAAGCCACGGGACGTTCATGTCGGCGGTCCAAGCGGTGCGACGAATTCGAAAGTGTGAGGGGACGGGGGAAGGGGGAAGGGGGACGGGGGACGGGGGGACGGGGGAAGGGGGAAGGGGAAGGGGGATGGGGGACGGGGGACGGGGGAAGCGGGAAGGGGGACGGGTTGAGGCGGGGGGGGGGGGGGGGGGGGCAGGGAGGAAGGAGGTGGGAAGGAGGAAGGGGGAAGGGTGGAAGGGGGCAGAGGGGGAAGGGGGGTGGGGGGGAAGGGGGGAAAGGTGGGGAAGGGATCTTGGCTTGTTTGTTGCAGACGCCTGTCCGTTAGTTCGAAATCAATTCACTCGTCTTTCGAAATGCCCCCTGTCAGCCTTTGGACGCACAAGCGCCATCATGCCTGGAGAGTGGCCAGGAGCAGCAGGGAAGCGTTTACCAAGAGCGTTTTGTCCGGACTCGTAAAGGGACAGATTGAATTGAAGGCTGGACGGCAGCCAGTATTACGGGACACTGAAAGGTTAGCACATGAGCACATATGATAAGATCTGGTTGAGCCATGTTGGAGTGGTAAACACCAACGGTTGCAGGATGAGGCACACCATGTGCAGCAATTCAGAGCTGATTAAAGCCCGTGGGGGCCAGTTTGGATTCTGTTTGGATGGCCTGTGGAGTCTGTTAGAGGAGTGCACGACTCTGGCTGAACGCGCCGACTTGAAGAAGTTTGTCAAGTCCATTGACGAAAGTCTCAAGGCTCGAAAATGCTCGAAAGTCTGCTTGGCACAATGTAGCCACATAATGAGAAAGGCAATGTCAACTGTAAAGTTGTTGTTCAGAAGCGGATGCGCCAGGAAGCTGTTTCCAACGCAAAGGCGGCACGCAAGCGCTTTGAGGGACGGGCCTCTCGGCTGCCTCGAAAGACCTCGAAAAGGTTCCTCTTCAGAGGTCAGACTACAGGCTGACAGGTGATCAATCTGGCCAAATTATGCCAAATTCAGGTTTGCGACTTCCGCTACGCTGAAATCGAGGAGCGGCCAGAAACGAGTCTTGCGCAAGGCAATAGTTTTCTCATTTCCACTGCCTCCAAAGTTGTCGTGACCCCGGTGACCCCAGTGAAGCCGGATGCGTAGAACCAACATGTTTATGTTTGTCATGCAGACTTATCCAGAGTTGCATGATGGGCAGACAACATAGTAAGTCGTCCGCGGTGACTTCAGCTAGCTTAGCTTTGTCGTTTTGTTGTGGTAGATGGTTTCTTCTACCAAGTGGTTGCTGAGAGACTGACTGGCTGAGTTTGCAGATTAGCGTTCCAAGGCTAAGCCCAGGCTGTTGTGGACCTTGCAACAGCTTACAGCACCTCTGCAATGTCTTTGTGTTGATGGAAGGTTATGAGGTCTCAGCGTGTGTCTGGAGCTCCCGCTGCCGAGTTGATTCTTGGAGGACAAAGGCCAGGTGCTCGCGGATGCGTACGGTCGGAATCTCAATCCTTTCGGATGACGCTTGCGGATGCGTGCCAGAGAGATATGATGGCTAGAAAGCAAAGCTATGGAGTGTCGGGGTGTGCCTGCGGCCTCGCCTCTTCTTCTTTTGCTCGAGCCTGGCACTGCATTATCTGAAAGCCAGGACAGGATTACTACTGAGTCTTGAAGGTCTTTGCTCGCATGGAGTCTGACTCGGCAAATGCCCTGCGTGCGTGCCTGCAGCGACTGGCAGATGCGGAGGACTGCTCTTGTGCAGTTTATTGCAATTTCAATGCAAGTTGAGTGCCACTGGCCAGAGAAGGCAGAAATGGCACACAGTCCAGGAACTCCTCAGCAGTACTTGCCGTGCGGAAGAGATCATTGCGGGTGCCCGCTTGAGTAGACAGTGGTGCTCGTACGAATAGATGTGTGGCATGATGCTCACCCGGTTCAGACATGGTTGAACCAGTGAGGCTGTGCTGCATGCGCTGCAAAGGTGTGCGAGAAACTCTTCTTGACCTCTGTGACCGATGCGGTCCCTCCAAGTCAAAGCTGGCCAACACACACCAGGTGGAGCGTAAGAAATTACAGTGATAGACAGTGCTGCAGCTTTTCATCATTGCATCTGGAGGTGCCCCCAGACTTCAGTGGCGAGGTCTTCTCCCAGCCTGCGCCGCCTACTCTACCCATGCCGCCACCCCTGTGTCAACACAAGGATCAAAAGGCACAGCTCCACGGCTTGTAACAAAGGGCAGCTTTTTCACATATTTCCTCGCTTTCGGTGCCAGGAAAGGCCGCAGCCCATGAAGGCGCAGGCGCCCCTTCACAGCTCGCCCTTCACAGCTTCACACCCTGTGGCCCGGGCCCCTTCACTTTCCTCTAGAAAGCTGAGAAGAGACAGGTGCTCATGGACCAAGTCGTTCTTGAAGCCCTCCGTGAAGATAACAAAAGGAAAGTCAATGCAAGGACAGGGGTGCTCGGCTTCCTCTTTTCTCCATCTCTCGATGCGCCTGGGCAAGTGCTGGTATGTGATCCCATATTGTCCCACCTTTGCGTGAGGATCGCCGAAGTGACCAGTGCCAGAGCAAATGATGCTGCCAATTCAGCCTCTGCTCCAAGCAAAACTGCAGCTTGAGCAATCTTCAGGACATCTCGATCGCTTCAGATCGTTGCACATCGTTGCGCATCGTGGCACATCGTTGTGCTTTAACATCGTAATGCCCGCCACCACTCTGTCCAGTGCAGTGACCCTGATCGTTTCTTCAGGTATCCACCACATCAGTTTTCAGCTTCTCGTGTGAGCAGATTGGCAGCATTGGGGACAATGCAGTTTGTGCGACATTGCCCGATCAATGCGCACAGCACACCGTTTAGATGAACCTGTTCTGCGGCTTGGCCCCGGCTTGGCCCCGGCTTGGCCCCGGCTTGGCCCCGGCTTGACCCCCGGCTTGGCCCAACTTGGTGTCTTCTTCGATGTCTGTTTTCTGCTGGCCTTAGGCCATCTCGCCCAGAATGTGCGTCATCGGAGACAGAATGGGGTTGGGTTTGGACTCCGATATGTTCAGAAGGACCGATGAGCAGCGCGCACTTCACAAAGCTCCTTCATGTTGCTTTGACTTCATCCCGGGTCCCGTGATCTTGGCGCTGCATCTTGTTTCAGGACGTATCCACCTGCCGATCATTAATCCTGACAGCCAGATCCGATTGGCATGGGACATTGTGGGCCTCATCTTCATATGAAACTCGGCAATGATTCTGAGCGCTTGTCGTGGATGTCATCGTGGATGTCATGTCCATGACATGTCTTGCCTCAGGCTACGAGACATACGCCCTTCCGGTTTACTTGGCTTTCGACTTCCAGCCTGGGCCATAGGCATTTTTCGGGGAATTTCTCGGATGTTGGAATACCGGTGGGAATTTGCAACACGTGCATTGCGATGAAAGCGTTTGTTAAACCAAGTACGTTAAAGATGGCATAAGTCGAGCATCACCAGGCGCAACCGCTTTATTTGTGTGGCAACATGAAGGTGTGTGCATGATTCTCTCAAACAGGCACGCACGCGCACGCGCGCACACACTTCGCCGGCACGCGCGCACGCACCTGCGCACGCACACACACACACAGAGATTCCCCAATTCAATTGCAAAACGCCCTCACGATGTGTTTTCCGCGCCAGTTCAGCTGACTTGCCTGCTACTGGTCTGCAGGACCCTGAACACGGAGCCCTAAAGCCTAAACCTAAAAGCCCGTGTCTCCAGTCATCAAGCAAGATGAGCGTCGGAATTGGCTTTTCCACAAGATCTTGCTAAGGTTCGTGGGGGTATTCTTTGCAATTGCAGCCGTGCTCGACGCATACTTCATTCTGGACATCTTCATGTCGTATCTGACTGCCATCAGACGCTCAGAATCATCAGAATTGCCGCCTGAAACGCCTTGATTGAAGCACACATTTTGTTGATGGGGATTCGGGATGGACACTGTGCTCCCTTAAGTCATCCTTCAGGATCCCTCATAGATGTCATAGAAGCCGGCTTAAGGGTTTGCAATGTAGTTCGGGAGCATAAAGCATCATGTTTCATGTACGAGGAACTCCTTCCGGCAGCTTGATCTCGGCGCCGAAAGACATTGCCAGGGCCTATAGCAGGCGATGGCTCTTTCTGGACGTGCCTTCACAGCGGTTTACAGCAGTTTAGTAGCTATTTCTTGCCTGCTCTGTTGTCACGCTTATCACAGCAAAATTGTCTTTTAGTTTCTTGCTTTTTCTGCAAGGGGCATGTGAGCTACCATCCCTGTCACGGTGGTGCACAAGTATGGGTCCGCAGGCAACGCAAAAGGAGCAAAGCACGGCAAAGCCCTAGCGCTGCACATGGAGCCCTTCAGGTGCCATTGGGTGCCATTGTGAAGTCTCCGCCGCAGAAGATCAAAAGCAAAGCACACACACACTCTGAAAGAGCAACTGAGGTCTCCCAGCGCAACGCGCAAGTAGGCAATCTCCAGCTGCAAGCTCCAGCCGTAAGCCTGTTAGCACCAGCACTTCAAGTCTTGAGCCGACATAAACTGGCATGCCGTCTGACTCTCAAGTTGTGAGGAAACCTCCTAGGAAGGCCCCTAGGCAAGAAACCCAATGAAGTTTCCAAGCAAAGTCCACATGTTGCACGCTGACAGACGTCACGTTGCCTCGACTCTCATGTCTACAACTCAACCTGCAAGTCGGAGAGATGGCCAAAAGCTTCAAACATCAGCGGCCATGTTGACTATCCAGTGGGTTTCAGCAATGCTTTAAAGTTGTTGCCGCAAAATGGGGACTTCCTTATCCCCATACTGCAAGCGCTGCCTCACAGGCAGGGATTGTGGCGCACCGTACCATTGCAGTCTTTCAAAGTTACAGACTTTTTTTGCCACATAGTGCAACATTCATGTGGAAGCTGTATATGATGCCGGTGCGGTGGGCCCTCCCCCCCCGGCGTTCGGGCTGGGTTTGGAGTTTGGGTTTAAGGGCGTTTGGGGGGGGGGGGGGGGGGGGGGTTGTGGGGGGGGTGTGGGGGGGGTGTGGGGGGGGGTGTGGGGGTGTGGGGGGTGTGGGGGGGTGGGGGGGGGGCTGGGGGGGGGGTGGAGGGGGGGGGGGGGGTGGGGGGGGTGGGGGGGGGGGGGGTGTGGGTGGGGGGGGGGGGGGGGGGGGGGGGGGGGGGGGGGGTGGGGGGGGCATCGGGGGTGGGGGTGGGGGTGGGGGGCATGGGGGGTGGGGGTGGGGGGCGTGAGGGGGGTGGGGGGGGTGGTAAACAAATACTTTGCAAAGGAAACGCCCGCAGAATAGACGCAAACGCACCCGCAGAATAGACGCAATGCACCCTTAGTGTGTCCTTGGGAGGGCACGGAGGGCGAGGAGGGCGAAGTATGTCTACCCAGCCAAGTGAACAAAGGGTCGTCATCGCCTCCCACCCGGCCTCCGTCGACTCCACCCAGAGCCTGCCAGACCTCCCAATTTGGGTTTCTGCACTTGCTATCATGCTTTTATGTAGTTAATAGCAACTACATGAATTCTGATCCAGTAAAGACCACTAAGAATGGCAATGATCATGGAATCAGAGTAAATTTTCATGCTTGAGGAACTTAATTTACGGTCCCAAACAGCAACCCGGACTCTCTGGCTCGAGGCCAAGGACACAGGTTGTCACCAACTTCGGAACATATGCCGGTGTCTTCACGGCACTACCCAGAAACTTTGTCCTGCAAAATGCTGAAAGGCGCCAATCTCAAGGAAGCATCGCCAAAGTTCGGCTTCTGGTAAAGCAGCAGGCACAGGTTATGTCTCAAGCCTTCTGGACTTTGTTTACTCCACGTCCAACCTCATTGCAGAAACACCATCGGAGTTGAGACGATCATGCCCGATGCAACCTTCGACTCTGGAGTTTAAGTGCTTGAGTAGCCCGCGATCTTCAGCAAGAATTACCGCCGAAGTAGTCTCTATTCAGCCTTGCTCCTTCTTCTTCACCCGACCGATTGTTGGCTGGCACCGTTGCCTTTGCGCAGAAGCGAGGCACTCGACGGATCCAAAAGAGGCCACCCAACAGGACCCGTTTTGGTCTTGGGATGCCGATCGCTTGACAGAAGCTCCAGCGGGCTCGTCTCAGAGATCCCGTTTCTCAGCTTCTGTAGTCAGCGTTATGTAATGTTATGCAGAACGGCAGGCGGTGCAACAGGTGCATATTGCATGGAGCCATGATGCATGTCGTGCAGGGCAGGGAATTCGGGTTTCAAACGAAAGAAAGATGTGCTGCTCGCAGTTTCTGTGCCGAAGTGCAGTGAAGCTGGCTTTGCACAATTTTGCACCATTGGGGCCTTTTTTGGGGAGCCGCACAGCAAGTAGAAGGCTCCGCGTAAGGGACTTGTGTGGACAGAAATGAGAAGGCCCAGGCTCCAGCGCCAGAGTGCCAAGTAAAAAGCGCGATCTCCAACCCTTAGGCCTTAGGCTGGTGGCGAGGCATTCTTAGGAGTGAGAAGCTCGCGGTGCTGCTGGATTTCATGCTCAATTTTCTGCGAGCATTGACACCATGTCCTTGCTACAAGTATCAACCCAAGTGCCCAAGCTTGAGATCGCAAGATGAAAGTTTGAGAGAAAGGTTCGCCGATTGCACATCTCCATGTTATGTCCTGACCAGCAAAAGTTTTTCAGCCTCCGATTTCACTGTGCTTGAGGTGCTGGCAGGTATTCCGTGGGAGTTGGTGAACAGCATGGTGCCCTGGAATATTCGGCATCCCGGCTTGGAGCTGTATTCCTGGGATGCCGTGCCAGATCGTGCCAGAAATCTGTCAGAAATCTGTCAGAAATCTGTGTCAAAACCTGTTGGAGGTCTGCCCAGCTGTTCAAGATGCTGCGGTTGGTGCGTGTAATGCGCCTCATACGATTCCTCCGTGTGGACATCTTCAACGAGAGACACTAGGATTAAAGTCACGAGCAAGCAGAGTGCCGGATCGCAAGGCCACACTGCCACGACTGCCAAGGCGTGAAAATGTACATTGAGACACGGCCAACCTTGACATTTGCCAGCGGGATTCTGCGACTGCTCTTCATTCTGTGTGCCGTGACTCACTGGGCAGCTTGTGCCTGGTTTTGTGACGTGGCTCTCCATGTGCAGCTCCAGTTTATGACTTTGTGATGCTTCGCGGCGCTTAGAGTTGGTTTTGACATGTTTTGACCCAGCGGCTGTTCAACAAGGTATCGGGAGCCGAAAGAATATTGGCCAGACATGGGTGACAAAGCACTTGCCTTCGGAGTTTTCCGTTTCGGAGGGCTATGTCTATTCTTTGACACTGGGCTGCGTGACCAGTTTTGCAGATGTTGGCATTGCTGGGAAAGGACCCAGCAGTGCCTGACCATGCAATGTAAGGTATTTCACGCTCACCACCATGACAACTGTTGGCTATGGCGATATCACCCCCGCAACTTGCACTGCCTTGCGTACATATGTGTAAATAGCTGCTAAGTTCGTGAAGGCATGGGGCTGAGTCGACGAAGCATCCAGGTTTTGGCCCGTCGTGAACCCAGGCTTCCGCCTTTGACACTAGACTCACGAGACCGTATACCTCAGTTCAGGATACAGTGTCGGTACAAGTGAAAGTTTCGGCAAGGGGGTGTGCGCTAGGCTTGGTTCATGCCCGCCAAGGCAAACCTCGGCGAGATTTGCTTCGCTCTGTTGCTCCTCCTCATCGCAACTGTGGTGTTTGCAACAGTGATGGGTTACCTGACAGACATTTGGATGCATTTATGACTACGTGCTTCCAGTGCATGTGCATGTATGTTTGGAAGCACAAGGTATCGTAGCTCGATCATGGCATTTGCAGCTGTGCCGGCCAGGATATGATTGCCAATGTGAACTCTGAGAGGAATCAACAAGCTGAAAAGATCCTCATGCTCAGCAACTACATGCTACTCGCCCTAACCAATGCGCAAACTTTGCACACTCCATGGCCATAGCTGTGTGCTGCAGTCCGGCGCGTGTCTTGGCTTCTCGACCCACTTCTTGGGAATCTCTGGATGGAACGCCTGGTTGCCTAGGACTTGGCGAAACATCCCGCCGCATTTGTACAAGGTGGGTATTCGCAGATTCGAGGGCGCGTCATGAATAGCGGGGTGGTGAAAGTTTTACTATTGTTTCTTGTCATCCAAGTATCAGCAGCGCCGCTGAAGTTGATATTTTTTGTTTGCTGAGAGTCGGTAGTGACATGGTAGTGACTGGCAGTGCTGCCTCCGAGATATGATCCCTGTGGGAAGAGGCTCAAATGCGGTGGCGATTTCGGCCTCTAGTGTGCCTGGAAACTGACCCTCGAGATGTTGGGTGGGACGAACCCTAAGCCTCAAAGGGCAGTGAAACCCGAAGAGAAAGATGTTAGGTGGGAGGCCCTGAACAGCAAATCTAAAAGGAGATGTTGCTGCCGATGATAGGTGGGAAGGAAGCTTTCAACCCGGGGATGTTGGGCCAAGCAAAGGGAACTGTTGGGTGGGGGAGCCTGAGTTCCTGGAGATGTTTGGTGGAAACCCTCAAGAGGCAGAGGTCGGGGAGGTTGGATGACAAACCCGTCAACCCAAACCCAAGAGATGCTGGGAGCCACCATCCTAGCAGGATTAGCCCCTGAAAGCTGTTGGAAGACGGTGTTGGCTGGCAAACCCCCTAAAAATTGGAGATGACATGCCCGCTTGGTCCGCTAGGTGAGAAGCCTTTATCCGAAAACCAATCCTGTTAGCCTGTGTGCATAGGCTTGAGCCAGGATGGAGAATTGCACATGTGCGATGGACATTGGAAATCAGCATTATCTTGTAGTCGTTTTTTGGGGCCTTTATGCCCTACAATCGTTCCGGACTTGTTCAGAAGATAGATGTACGCTACCCCAGCAGCTCGCACCTCGTTCAGTACTCGTTGTGTCGATTCAGTGCATCTGAGCAGGTTCCAAAAATCCTGCCCCTTTTGTGAACCGTTGTGGCGCGCAAAGTGGTGTCAATGCCATCGGCAAGTTGCAAGCTTCGGCGGGATTGCTTTCGTGTCTCCTACAAAGAGCTACAGCGAAGACTTAACCAAGGGAGAACGGGGCCTCAGAGCATGACTGGATATGACTGGCGAGGGCGGCGAGGGGCTATAGCCAGATCTCACAATTGCAGAGGTATGTTCTGACAAGTAGGTCCTGCAACAGTTTGTTTTCGTTTTGCGTTTTCATTCGTTAACTCCCCAGCAACTTGTGTCACATGATTCCAGTTGCTATTGTAGCAGGCCATACGGCGGCATTTGCTGCACCTGTGGGAGACCAACAAGGGGTATGATTCGTACGAGGATCAGTTGCCCCTCGGCTGTGAGATGCCCATTTGTTGCTGCGCAGTCGGGCTTCTTTGCCTTCTCAGGCAGTTTCAGCTAACACCAGTGCTTCGACGGGAGCTTCGCTTCCACATATTTGGCCGCGTCCTGCGCAATGCGCCTTTCCTGGCATTCCTGCGTGACTTTGAGGCACCCGACTCGGACGACCGCTTGGCAAATTTGTTTGTCCCTTATGCTCTTGAGGTTACTGGAGCACGTGCGATATGTCATTCCAACACTTCGTGTTGTGTTTCCCCTAGCAGTTTACTGTAGGTTCCAAACTTGAGTGATAGCGTGAAGCATTTCCTCAGATAAATGCCCTTCTCTCACGGATGGTTCCTGGTGCTGTCTCTTTTTCTGTACACCAGAACTGGATTGCGTGAGGCCGATTGTATGGCGTGCCCAGCGTTGTCTCCTGTTGTGCCCGGTTTGGAGCCGCGTCTCCCGCCGCGGTGTTCCTCCCTCCGGCCAACCAGAGTCGGATCGTGTGCACCCCGGCACCCGCCTCTGGAATCCTCTCCATTCCCTGCTAAGAACCAGAGCCGGACCATGCGATGCGGCTCCCGTACCCCCCAATGTGTCTCCCTTCTTGTATGGTACTGTATCCTATCGTGTGACACACAGGCCTGGACGACGCAGCGCATCTTTGGTGTAGTCTCTTCGTGTCTCCCAAAACCGGATTGTGTGACACGCCGTTGGTAGTGTCTCCTTCCTGCAGGTAAGCAGAGCCAGATCGCGTGACGAAGCGGTGTTCTCTAACCCTTTGTTTCGTGTGATGCGCCACCGGTGCTGTCAAATTTCGAGGCGGTTTGAGTGACCCGCTGCCGATGTTGTCTTTGTCTTTTGCTTTTAGGTACCAGAAAGGACACCCCGCGCTGCCGTTCTTGTCCTCCTCCTTTTGGGATGCACCCTTGTTCTTGCCCCCTTTATTTTGTCTAGCTTCTGGTTTCCACTCTTCTTTCTCTTCTTGTTCCCCTTATTGCCGAATGTGAACTACAACCGACATGGACGCATTCACGTCCCATTTACTGGGAACCAGAATCGGATTGGAGGACGTGTCCCGTTCTTGTCCCCTTCCTGTCTGTTGAAGCACAAGGGGCTGAGGAAAGCGATGCCACGATGCAAAACTTGGTCTTTACCATGAAAACGACGAGGCCAAGGAAGGAGTCCATAGACCTGGCGGCCCTAGCCGCGAGCGCGACTCGAGACTCATGAACGCTTGCCGTGAGGCGAGAGCCACGGGATGCATTCAAAGCGCAAGCTCCAGAACGTCAACAAGCAACCCAGAACAACGAACCGCTAAACAGAAGTTGGCAAAGGTTGGTTGGAGGATGAGCTCCCACGGGGTAGATGTTGCTTTGAAGCAGGTCTGCCTCAAGCAGCTGGCAACCAAAGTATCAATCCGCATGCTATCGCGAGGCAAGCTGCATTCGCTTTTGCCAGTTTAGGGTGTGGATGGTGTGGCTTCGTGGCTCTTGTGGTGCTTGGGATGGCTTTGTATCTTGCTTAATCTTGACTTTGGAATTCTAGCTTTCAAGCATCATGTTGTTGCCTGGGCAGTTTTGGTACAGGCAGGATCAGCTGGGGGGGTATGTGAGTGATGGCATTCAGCATTTTTGCAAGATGGGAGGTCACCTCACCCCGGCCCCCCGCCCCCCCCCCCCCCTCCAACGCTTTCTGTGGCCAAACTTTTTGAAGTCGACATGTAGAGTTGCTATATGACACTTTGCTGCGTTGTACACTTCCCTTTCAAAGGTATGCGAAGGACCGGCTCTAACCCCAAAGCGGCCTGGAGAGAGGGGAAACTGTGGTTCTGTAGACTCGACCATGCTCGACCGTGGCTTTATCCTCGTAGAGACTCGTATAAGCGAGCCCTGAGGCTGACAGAGAAGTCATGAAGGATTTGGTATTTGCTGTTGTGGAGGTGTTTGGATAGCCAGGTGACAATGTGGTCCGCATTGGGGAAGCAAACGACCAGCAAGGTCCTCAGCTGGCTTGTTGTTGTCCTAAAGTGTGGTTTCAAGTCCTTTCAAGAATCCCTTAGAAAAAGCCGGGCTTCGGAACTTCGCGTTCTTCTTTCGGACCTGCCTCTGATCCTGAAGGCAACGGGATAGAAGGGTAGTCCCTCGCCCCTTGCTACTTTGGAGTCCGTCAGGCCTGTGCGGAGCCCAGCACGTTGGGCTTGCTCAGACCAGCAGCCTTGAGGCTGTAGGCCAGAGTCGGCCAGAGTCTCTGCAATGCGGCGGTGGCCCTTGCTGTCCCCCGCTTGTTTTGCTTGGCAGGTGAGGGTCATAGAGGCCACTTGCAGCGCCCAGCATGCTTCCCTGAAGCCTGCTTATTCTTCTTGGTGTTGAGGGGTCGAGGCTTCTGCAGAGCCCCGCTTGGTTTGCGTGCATCATCCCACGGGCAACGAAACGAGGCTAGGGGTCAGGGTCGATCCCGAGTCCACTCCAGTTGATTCTGGGGGCCACTCCAGAGACTAGAACGAAAGGCAAGCTCTTAATTGTGGCACCCATGTGCAACAGTGCTACAGCCAACTCTTCAGAGTGGGGCTTGTTTCTGGACGCCAGACCGGGGAGCTCGACGAAAGGACCACCTCACCCGCTTCGCAACGGACCCCAACGAACGAAAACTTCAGTGCCCCGCCCATTTTCGGACCCCCAAACCGCATGTTGTCCCATTTGAAGCTTTTTGACCGTTTGGGGCATGTCTGCAGTGCTGTGCCGCGCAGTGCTGTGCCGCGCAGTGCTGTGCTGCGATGTGCTGTGCTGTGCTCCAAGGATTTTCATATTGGTACAAGGCAAAGTGCGTTTGTCTTTGAACGAAAGCCTGTGGACGAATCCAGCTTCTGAGGACTGGTGAACGGGGCTTCCCTGCAAGCTTGCAGCGCGCAGCACACGCATGAAACATTCTGTGTTTCCACTGCGCGTAGGAACTGATGGACGAGATCTGGTCGACATATGCGCCAAAGAAACGTCGGGCGCACGACTCAAGCACAGCTTTTTTTCTGGAAGGCGGGGGGGGGGGTTTATGTGACATCAGAGCTTCTTGAGACGCAACCTTGTCAGAAGTTGAGCCCTCACATCTTCCTTTGGCCCATTCAAAATCCAAAGCCAGAATGGCCACTCTTGCTTGTGTGTCGTCATGCCTTGGAAGCTAAGCAGCTTGAATGCAGCTGCATGGTCTGGCACTTCTGCTGTTCCGGCACATTCTACCAGAGAATCGGAAGATTTGAGTCAATGCTCTGCTCCTTCCGTTTGGGCCATTTCGACAATATTTCGAATCCCGATCACTTTCAGACTCCCGAAGCACGGATACCTCGGACAAGGCCTGATAGGACCAGGCATGATCAGATCAGGTGGTTCGACATGATCACATGGTGTCAGGCCTCCACACTGCAATGATGCACCAGAAGCGCCAGAAGGCGCTCGAGGCTGCTGTGAACCAGAGCTCCTATGCCAGTGCCCAGCCCCTAGTAATCAACATATTCAAACTCATGACTACAGGGACACATTGACTGATCTTTGTGTGCACAACCCCAAAGCTGTGCAAGTTTGCATTGCGCCCGCTGTGCAGCCCGCAAGAGAGCAGATCTTGGAAGGATTTTTTGATTTGCTCGATGAGGAAGGGGTCATGAAGTTCTTGACTGAGGCTTTCCAGAACGTGGATGCGACTCACACCCTTTTCGCCACAAAGACATTCATCAGGGCCGAGGACTGCTGAAATCCGAAGTGGGAAAGGCGACGCACGAGTGCCACGAATGACCATGCTTCGGCACGTGAGTACTGCAGCACTGCCGACACTACAGTGTCAGGAGCAACTGCTGGTTCAGGCCAGGGCACAAGATGTGCATGTGTGGGTTCCGTATTTTGTTTCCTCAATGGTTTGCTCGTACCTGCTCTCATCCTGAAGTCCTTCTAGAACACGTGGTGTTTGGTGTAGTGGCATGCAGCGGTAGAAGGATTGTCGTCAACGCCGGGCTGCGCGCTTCATCCAGACCCGCTGGCGGCAGAAGCTGCTGCTTGTCTCATCTCATTCAATCTCATTCCGTCAGGTTGTCATCTGTAGACATTTGTAGAGATTGCAGACTCTTTCCGCGTGTTTTCTACCACAGAGACTGCCCAGAATCGTCGTTGCTCCTCTGACACGACTTTAGGTGTGCGCGGCAACTGGTTTCAAAATACGCTGAAATTCACCTTGTCCTCAATGTGCAAACCAAGGAAGGCGAGAAGGGCCAGGCGCACTTGTCGTGATCCGGGGATCCGGGCCATGTCAACTTGTTTCGGCTCATCGTTGGGAGATCGTGTGGCATCAATGGGACGTATGCGTAGGCCGTAGGAATACATACTTGAGACATGTTGTCGTCGTGTCTCAGTGTCTGCAAAAGGTGATGCCGTCGAGTGAAGAAGTTAGGCCATGTCAGGCCATGCGAATATTTCATTTCCGTCCCCATTTCGGCGTGAACTTTCTTCAAGAATTTCGAGCGTAGTTCCATGACATCATCATTATGTCAAGGCTCTATTCACGTGTCTTCGAAAAGGGTGATTCGACTCCGCGGCATCACCCGGCATTTGGTCCACTTGCTGACTTCCGTTCTGCAATCCAGTCTCTCACGAAAGCCTTGGAGTTGTTTGAGCTTTCGGGTCCGTGAGCTTTCGTGGCTTTCATGGCCTTCATCCCTTGGAGCCGAATCTGAAGTGCAGCAAGTCCAGAATGTCCTTCGAAATCCTCCTTCAGATGTCCAGCTCCCGAATGCTAGGCCCTGTTAGGCAGTATTTGCAAAGCGTAGAGACTGTCTCCGCGCCGCAGAGACAGCAATCTCTCCACATTGCTTCGGGCAGGCTAACCTCGCAACCAATTGTGTGCAGCATGAGCATCGAGGTGGCAAGAGCATGTGAGACGAACATGGTATATCCTTTGGTTGTGCCAGATGTTAGTGCATCGGACACGTGCCAAGACGCCGACTCTATCTGCCACAGCAGGCACCTGCCTATTTTGGAGAATCTTGCCTCTGGGATGCCGTAGAGAAGTGGGACGATGAACCTCCGCAGTGCATGCATCTGGGCTGCACTGAGAGTGTGTGTGTGTGTGTGAAGTATAGATAGGAATAGAATAGACTTGGATATATTAATATATATAATATATATATATATATATGTGTGTGTAAGTCTTTTTGTGTGTACATACATATATAGGTGTCGAGTTTGGTAGGCTATGGGTACATACCGCTGCCCGCTGCTTGTTCTTGTTCTGTGCCGGCTTGGAGGGGGTTTAATGCATTGAAAAACACATATTTACATGCTGTATCTGATATCATGTATGTGTGAGCGCTTTTTTAAACCTCCGTGCTGTTGTGGGCTTGTCGATCGCCGAGCACATTCCCATCTAAAGTGTCCACTTCATAGCTTGCGAAGCACGGCTCTTTGCACCCCCAGGTACAGTGTGCGGTGCGAGATGCGATCAGAAGTGATGTGTCTTCTTCGGGCAGACATTGGTGTGCCTCAAGATGCACACCGGGTTGTGTCGGCAGAAACCCCACAGGTTCGGTTGAAGACAGCAGGCGAAGGGAGACATTTCGGTTCAATGTTGCGACGCGCGGTATGGGTTCGCAGTTCCAACCGCTGATTCCGCAGGGATGGTAGCTGTTCTTCCGTGTGTCACGGCTCTAATGCTGCCTACAATCAATGAACATACGTAGTTGGAATACGACGTACTCGGGTTGATGGCTGGCGGGGCATGGATGAGGGGAGGGGGCTATGTCAGGACACTGCTTCGGGTGTTTCGGCTTTGTTTCAACATTCTCAACCCCAACAGCCATCTCCATTACAAGGCCTTGATCAAGGAGTTCTCCCCTTGGATGGGGGAGAGGTTCGAAGTCTTCCGTGAGGAGGCTCCGACATGCTCCGACAAAAGGCGGACAGTTCTTGCATGCTCTCCTTTTTTTGCAGAGTGGTCAGGTCGTCCAGAATCTCGCGGAGGCAGCAAAGGTACGCATGCGACAAAGCCCGTCGGCGTCAAAGCTGTCAGAGTTGGATCAGGAGGGGCAGAGAAGGATCGTGTACGTGCGTGTCCGTGCGTGTCCGTCCGTGTTTGTTTATGCCATATGCCAAGTGTCCGTCCATGCCGTGTCCATGTGTGTCCGTCCTTTCCTTTCCATGTCCGTCCGTGTCCGTCCGCGTCCGTCCGTCTCCGCCCGTTTCCGTCCGCGTCCGTCCGTGTCCGTGCGTGTCCGTCCATGCCATGTTAAATGCGTGTCCGTCCGTGTCCGTGTGCGTCCGTGCGTGCCGTGCGCGTCCGTCCGTGTCCGTCCGCGCAGGTCTGCGTCCATCCGTGTCCGTCCGCGTAGGTCTGCGTCCATCCGTGTCCGTGCGTGTCCGTCGGTGTCAGTCCGTGTCCGTCCGTCCGTGCGCGTCCTTGTTCTTCCGTGCGTGCCTGTCCTTCCATGTCCGTCGTAAGCACGGAGGGACGCGGACGGACACGGACGAACATGGACAGAAATGGAGGGACATGGCGGGACACGCACGGACGGACGGACACGGATTGCCATGACTGACAAGGACGGACACGGACGGACACGGACGGACACGGACGGACACGGACGGACACGGACGGACACGGACGGACACGGACGGACACGAACGGACACAGACGGACACGGGCGTCGGACACGGACGGACACGGACGGACACGCGCGGACACGCTCGGACACGCTCGGACACGGACGGACGCGGTCTGTGTGGGTCCCTGTCCGTCCGTGTCCCCGTCCGTGTCCCCGTCCGCTTCCGTCCGCTTCCGTCTGTCTGTCCGCTCGTCTGTCCGTCCGTTCCGCCGTCACTACCGTCTGTCTGTCCCGCCCGTCCATCCGCAGCTGTCCCAATCCATGTTTCGCACCTTTTTCGATTCCGTAGGTGCCGGGACGTTGCAAGCTTTCGGTTGGGCATCGCAGAAGACCCAACACATGTTTCGACGTCATGGTGCCTTTGTCGATGTAATATCCGCCGCGAGAAATTAAAAGAGTGTGACCGTTCATTGCAGCGTGCAGAGGACCTGACCAGTGCATCCACAGCATCCTCATCAAAGGATGAGCCCGCTGACGAGAGGAGCTCACAGGAGCATTGCAGACTCCGTGTGACATCTAGGTGCACACATCAACTGCCTTCAGTCATGCTGCCATGATCAAAGCCATGGGGAATCTACCTAAGCATGAGACGGAGAGTGTCGAGAGGCACGCCGTAAAGTCGTGAAGGTGTGGAATATCATTGGAGCCGTTAGTCAGCATACGTAGATTTTGCAGCCGAAATGCTGAACAACATTGAATGGTATTGAACAATATTGAATACATCAAACGCTTGACGCCGATACCAGGGTACAATACTGAACCATCGGAAGTGCTATGCTTCGCGAGGGGTCGTGGTAAACATCGCAAAGCAAGTGGAGCAAACGAACCTTGAAAAGCATAACATGTAAGCAAACTGGTGTAGTTCCCCGGATAAGTTTTTTCAAAGCATAATAGAATGGAGACCAGTTTTGAAGTTCAATCTAGGTTTTGAACTTCAAAACTCCGGGGTCCAAGATTCAAGGTTCAAGATTCCAGGAAAAGTTTCCATGGGATCTTGAATCCTGGATCCCGGAGTTTTGAAGTTCAATCCGGGGTTTTGAACATCAAAACTCCGGGATCCAGGATCCAAGATCCCGTGGAAACTTTTTCCTGGAATCTTGAATCTTGAATCTTGGATCCCGGAGTTTTGAAGTTCAAAACTCTGGATTGAAGTTCAAAACTCGCGGAAGCCTGTAGGGTTAAGGTTTGAAGGTTTAGGGCTTAAGGTTGAGGCATTTAAACCTAAGCCGGCAATTAAACCTGACCCCTTAACCTTTAAACCCAGTAGGCTTAAGGTTTGCAGGTTTAGGGTTCAAGATTTAGGCAGTTAAAGCTAAGCTCATAAAGTTTAAGCCCCAAGGGGCGAAGGTTTAGGAATTAAAACATGAACCCTAAACCCTTTAGGGGTCTCTAAAAGGTCCCTTTAGGGGTCTCTAAAAGGTTTCAAAGGTGTGAAACCCATAGGCGCTGAAGGTATAAACGCCCAGACATTAGGTACCTCAGGTTTTGGCATTAAAACCTTTAAACCATGTAAGGCGTTCAAAGGTTTAAGGTCTGGGGATTTAAACCCCTATAGGGTTAGGTATTTCAACCTGATAGGTTACCTTTAAACGCTATCGTCTTAAAGGTTTACGTTCAAAACCTATAGGCCTCTAGGGTTTAAAGGTTCAGGTTTTTTCAGGGTTTGTCTACCCTATTCGGGGTGCCTTAGAAGGTTTTACTATAGGAGTTACACGTTCAGGGTTTAAGGTTTAGGGCATTGCAAAACGGAACCCTAAACCCTCAGGGATTTAACCCCTTTACTGTTTCCTCAAGCCTTAAAGCATATAGGGTTTAGGGTTATAACGCTGAAGGTATAAATGCCGAGACCTTCGGTACATCAGGCTTAGGCATTAAAACTTTAAACCCTATAAGGTGTTAAGGTCTGGGGATTTAAACCTAGGTTTCGGCATTCCAACTGGTTTAAGCCTGAATCCCTATAGGGCTCCTATAGGGTTAGGTATTTAAACCGAATAAGTGTCCTTTAAACGCTATAGGTTTAATTGTTTAGGTTCAAAACCTTTAAGCCTCTAGGGTTTAAAGGTGTAGGTTTTTCTCAGGGTTTGCCCTAGAGGGGTTAAAGGTTCAGGGTTTAAGGTTTAGGGCATTGCAACAACGGAGCCCTAAACCCTTAGGGATTTCACACATATACTGTTTTCCTTAAGCCTTCTACCCTATTCGGGGTAGCCCTATAGGGTTTTAACCCTATAGGGGTTAAAGCAAGGGTTGAAGGTTTAGGGCATTGCAAGAACGGAACCCTAAGTCAGGGATTTAACCCCTTTACTGTTTTCCTCAAGGCTTAAAGCATATAGGGTTTATGGTTTTAACGCTAAACCCTATAGGATTAGAACCTTATATCCCTATACTAGAGGCCTTGAGGGTCTGGGGATTTAAACCTAGGTTTGGGCATTCAAACTGGTTTAAGCCTTAATCTCTATAGGGCTCCTATAGGGTTAGGCATTTAAACCGAATAGGTTACCTTTAAACGCTATAGCTTTAAAGCTTTAGGTTCAAAACCTTTAAGCCTCTAGGGTTTAAAGGTTTAGGTTGTTTTCCAGGGTTTGTCTACCCTATTCGGCGTAGCCCTATAGGGTTTTAACCCTATAGAGGTTAAAGGTTCAGGTTTTAAGGTTTAGCGCATTGCAAAAACGGATTGCAAAAACGGAATCCTAAACCCTCAGGGGTTTAACCCCTTTACTGTTTTCCATAAGCCTTAAAGCATATAGGGTTTATGGTTTTGACTCTAAACTCTATAGGATTAGAACCTTATAACCCTATACTATGGGCCTTGAGGCTTAACTCCTAAACCTTAAATCCCATAGAGTTCTGCCTATGTTTGTAGGTGCGTCCTGTGGAAATGCAATGGAAAAGTAGGACAAGTACCCACTTCATGTATGTATATAGGGTAGATGCATTGCATATCAAATACAAATGATGGAGAAGCCTCGAACCACAAGACTAGGAAGTATTCGAGCGCATAAGGTGATGCGGAAAAAGCATAGTACTGTAAGCCCCGGGGACAAAAGAATACTGTGAGCAAATACTTTTCATTATTTCCTAGGACTTTTCGATGGGCTGTAATGCTCATCTATCCGCAAACCATAGGGGACGGTGCAAGCTTCACTCTCGAAAGCCCGACAAACGAAACGGTGGATAACTGAGGAGGGGGGGGGGCAGCATATATATGTATACATGTATACATAAACTGATGTATATACATGCTGTTACACATTATCATTATACATGACGCAGGTGCATTGAACAAGGAGGCATTGCGCAAGCATGTGTTTTCGCCTTTAAAAGAAAGGAAGGCGATCGAGAAAGAAAGGGTCAGAAACGACAGTCAAGTTCGGCGTACAATAGTTCAAGGCAGGGATCGACAGAATTTTTGGCTTTTTCTTCAAAGGTGCAACAAAAAAGGTGTCATTAAGATTATGCCGCTGCGAGCCTGCCAGCCCAGGGGCGGATAGTGCACAGGATGTTTTAGGCTGCATGGGCAGGGTTCGATCATGTTTAAGTTTTCTTCTTGATCGCCATTGCGTCGGCGAGAAGACAGAATAGAACACACCGTCAGTCATTCGCATGAAGCTCCTGACCTTCAAAGATCTAGTCTGCACAGTGCATGTGATATGCGTTTCGTGAGGAGCAAGGAAGCTTTGCAGGCGCGAGCGTTAATTCCTTCCCCTTCCACAAGTCGCCTTTGCCATGTGTATTGCGCATGGCGGTGCAGCCTTTGTAAAGCTGAGGCTTGTCTAGTTGGACGCGGTTGCGAAAGGAGACATCCAACCAGTCGCTGAGCACATTGTCATCGGACAGGCCTCCTTGAATCCATGGAATTCCCGTCTGTAGCGCTTTGAGCACGTGTTTCCTTGGAAAGCGACTGCCTGATCAGTTTGATTGTTGCTTCCACCCATGACGATCTTTGGCGTGCGCGGTGTGGGCCAGCAGGCCGTCATCGAAAGTTCTTGCAAACTCAAACGGTTTCTAAGGCGTCTGTCGCGCCAAACAGTGGCCTAACAGCTCAATTGTTTTAGCAGTTTGTGGTTTCAGGGCATAGGTTGTTCATGGAGTGAGTATGCTTGATGGTGGTTGCATCTTGGAACCTGGGCACGCACGAATGGACGAGGAGCCCGAAGACCTGTCATGAAAATCACAGCCTCATGTCAGAGCATACACAGCTTAGGCGTGTTGATTTCACATACGGAGTCCTGCTCTCCCCTTGAGCTCTGACGAGCTAGCGCACGCCTTGGCTTGGCTTACATGCATGACGGTCTCCAGTGCGATTGGGTTTGGTATCCCATCGCATCCGTTGTTCTGAATCATGGGCCCTCTTCTGGATATTACACCAGTCTCCTTTCGTCTGCAGGGACGTCTGCGGCCTATTCAACTGGAGCAGAAAGTCAGCGGTCATCTTGCATTTCGGGTCAGGTCAGCAATGTGAGATGCTCTGTGGATGCCATACTACGACCTTCCGCCGTTGGGTTGCATGTTTCACCATGCTTGGGGACACGCGCTGCCTTGCCGCGTTGCATCAAAAAATTGAACCTCCCAACCTTTATCTTGTCATGTTCTGACGGCTACTGCCACATCTGGGTGCATGTAGCGCATGCGTTTTTGATGCCGCTGTCAACCGCCAATCCTCTTGTTGCCTTGGAAAGAGAAAGAAATCAGGTTGAGGCTTTCGTTCAGGTTTGGACATCCTGGGCCTCAGAGCGCAAAATTACAGGGACCGATGAGAGTCGACGCGTGCCTGATTGGCCTGTCCCTGCGCAGCAGAGCATCGAGTGGCTTCGGGTGCTTTAGATGTGGCACTCGCCCATCATGCTAGAAAATGCTAGTCGGTGGAGCCAAGGGTACGTTTGCAAACGTAGTCCCAGAAGGGCCTTTCAACTTTAGCCAAGCCTGAATTACCCCACAGCTTCGGCGGTGGAGGCCGCATATCTAGCGCCATCTCCGTTTGCCGATCTCGCCCTCATTATCCCCCAAGATCCCCCATTGCGTGCGCAGGTCTTATTTGCGCTTATATCTGAATTGACATCTTCGAGGGTTCGGGCCCAAAACCCCTGAAGATGTTTGAGCCTTTAACCTCTTTCCAAGCAAATGTGATCGCAAGTTCTTGCTTTTTTCCAGAAGGCACAACATCCTTTTCTAGCTTTGTTTTGTTTTTATCTAGCGTGTCGTGACGTAGTTTACAACATGTTTTAACTCCCCCCTTCCCCCTCCGCCATCCAATGCCATGTCAGGGTGCAATGCGACGGAGAGCTGCCTGCAACTCTGTTGTTCTCCCGCCAGAGGCAACAAGGTGCGGTTGACCTGATAGCAAAGCAGGTGCGGTATGGTGCGGTGGATTTTTAAGCAAAGCTAGCCAAATTGCACGTCGTTCCTCGCAGGCTCCAGTTTTCTTCGGCAGCCGCTGCTCCACGATCTCGTATAAAATGTTTAAGAATCTCGTTCCGTTTTCCATGACGACATGAATGTTCAGACCCCTTTGGAGATCTGCAGGACAACTTGTCATTGGCATCTCTAAGCTTGAGAGGTTTAGATGACGTTCAACATTCCAGCTTAGTGTTGTAAATACAGACTTGCATCCGGGACGACTGCAGAGCTTCGTTTCTGCCGATTGTCTCTGCAAATATACGGGAATCTGAACAACATTGAACAACTACGTCGAATTATGTGCAATCCGATTTCTCGAGAAGTCATCAGGCTGTAGTGAAACTGGCTGGGATGACGAATTTGGGCATCGGTCTGCAAAAACGCCGCCGATGGCTCCAAAAGCATGCCAAGGTCAGCCCACCGAAGAGTTATGACAGTTATGAAGAGCTGTGCAAGAAGCATTGCAAGTATTGATTCAGCGTCGCTTTCATAATTGTGGTGCGCCGCTGACCATCAGGGGCTGTTGGACAGAGCTGTGCATGGTTGTGCATCCGATCCAGTAGCGGGGACCTGTAAATTCAGTTCGTGCAAATTCGCAGATTGTGTTTTGTGATTTTCCCGATTTTCCTTGCAGGGGAGGCTCGGATGGCAAGCGCCCATCTCGTCCTCTATTTGAAGTGCGGTGACCGGTACTTCCTATGACCACTCACGGTTTTGGCGGCCAGAGCGTTTCGCTTCTGAAATCGCTGCCTTGTTGCGGATGAACTGGACTTGATCACGCAGGAATGCAAGTTCTTGCGAGTTGTTCCGCCGGCGGATCGGAGAGCGTGCGGTGGAAAAGCTTGGAGGCTGACAGGCAAGTCATTTTTCGGGACAAGTCTTTGGAGTTTCTGGGCGCCTGCTACAACTGCCCTCCCATGTCATTAGGTCCCGATGGGCCGATGGCGCCTGGTGGCAGCTACCTCTACGAGCTTAGGCAGCGTCAAGTGGAGTTAACTTTCTTCCCAGGAGTAGCGGAGCTTAGCAGTGCTTAGCGTACACGCAGAAAAACTGGTCGACCCGATTTCGCTTCTGCGCAGGCGATGGGCAGATGCTGTACACGAGCTAAGCAGAGAGTGTGCCCAGCGTCGGGGCGATGTGTGCATGAGTACTCCTGAAGCAATTATGGGGGGTTTCATGTGGTATCAGGAAGTTGATGTCGTCAATAGAAGTGCTATGGCCTTTGCTCTGCTGTCATATGTCAGACCTGCTCGCGTACCTGCGGAACTTCCCGGAGTCCGACCAAGATGCAACTGGAGGGCATGGCGTTCTTGGGCTGGGCGCTGACTGTGCTTGAAAGCTGAAAGCTTTGTCTTCTCATGATTCTCATGATTCTATATGATTATTCATGATTCGTGCACCGCCTCCATGGCCTCCTCTCTTCTGTCGAGAGCTTTGAAGTCACCAAAGTCACCAAAGTTCTCTTTCAACATTCTTCAACTCCCTGTGCGGCATGAGAGTATCTGAGAGCTATGCAGACGTGCTTTGCACAATTCCGCAAGGCACGAACAAATTGCCCTGAACCCTAAGCTGTGCCATCCTTGACCTCAAAAGCTTAAAAACCCCAAGCCCCAAACCCAAAAAGCAAAAGCCCCAAGCCCCAAGCCCAAAAGCAAAAGCCTTGCAAGGTCGAAACCCTAAACCTTGAACAAGAAAGCCCTCAAGGCGACGTGGAGTGGCAACCCTGAGCCCTAGTAGGACGTGTGGAGTGGCAAGCCCTATTCCCCAAGGGAAGAGGCCCTAAGTCTAAAAGGGAGATGTGGCGTAGCAAGCCCTGAACGCTAAAGGGGATGTGATGTGGCAAACCCTCAGCCATGAACAGGAGATTCAACGTGGAAAGCCAAAAATCTAGCAAACCCTGAACTAATTAGGCCTGTATTCTATTTCGAGGAGTTTTGAGAATCTGAGCATGAAGCTTAGTGAGCCGACACACTGCTACTCTCAGACTTAAAGAGAATTTGGAAACGAACGGGGAATAAACAAAATCTTCAATGTTTTTCGTTCAAAGCCACGGCTTGAGTTCCCATTAACTCGGCTGCATTTCGAGGAACTCCTTGCATGCCATACTGTGCAGCCCGATTGCCTGGATCGGCTTCGGATGCGATCGCTGTGGGTTGGAGGTTGAACTTTCCCTGGACCGGAACCTTCACTCTCCGACATCCAACTGGGCCCGATTGGAGTTTGTGGCTCATACATGTATGGTGGTGTAATCATGCGGCGCGCGGCCCTCGAACAAACTATTCCAAAGAAGGAATCCTGCGACAGGGATCTCATCTCAAAGCTAGTCATGTCGCGGGTCGTGCCGTATTTGACCATAACTGACCATATACGCGTATATGTATATATATATATATATGTCCGAATACATAGGAATGACAAAGCTTTTTTCGACAGTCTGTAAACTGTTGGCGAGTTTGATCTCAGCAAGCGATGGTCTTTTGGTTTGTTCTCAGCGATGCTCGCATGGCTTAGCTCGAGTTCCCATCCTAAAGCTTCTGACGCACCGACCACACAAGAAAGGTTTGCTTATTCAGCCGATAGGCTTAGTGCTCAATGATGTATGACACTGAGCAGTCGCAGTTCGGCAGCACATTGGCTTGTTCCAGCATGGCGTCCAATGAGTGGGGCCCTAGTGGCCGCCATCTCACTATCGACTCGGCTTCGTCAATGGAGTCATGCACTGGGCTTGTTGGAATCAGCCCGCCACTCGCGCACCAAGCCATCAGCAGCTTTGTACACAGCCGCAATCGATGCGTGTGGCGCTGGTGGTCACTGGACCACTGCTTTGACACTATTGGACGAGCTGCAATCAAAGACGACGCCTGACGTCGTTTGTTTTGGAGCAGTACTCGCGGCACTTTCGGCCGGCGCAATGTGGGAGAGGTCCTTAGCCACACTGGCTTCCATGCAGGCGTTGAGGATTGACATCAATTTGGCTTGTGCAACTGAGGCGGTGCCGGTCTCAGCCATGGTTCCGTGAGTGTTGCTGTAGGATGCAAGATGGCATGCGCAGCCGTGAAATTGCCGTGCTTCGGCTCTGTAGCTGTAGGCTCAAGGAAAGATAACAGGCCATGGATCTGAACGTCCCTTCATAGGACATTGACTTCGGCTCACGGTGGAGCGTGAGGTCACAAGCGCAGCTCGCTGCTTCATGGCGCTTGTGACCTGCATGTGCCGCTCTGAATCTTGTCATGTCAGCGACTGCAGGTGAAAGGATGAAGATTTCAGCCAGATGCAGTCACGTGCCCATTCATAATCAATTATGTTATTGCAGATATGGTAGGGGGTGCTGTTCATTGTTGCCTTGCAAGTCGTATCTCCCTCATGAATGATTTTGGATAGTTGGACATGTGTCGAATCGTCATCGGATCCTGGACCGTTGGCAGACGCGTGCCAGGTGGAGAGCTTCTTAGCCGCCAATGCTACATATCATGCAAAGTAGTAAAAATGCAAGCCAACATTGACATGCAAAGAGCAGTGGCTGCATGAATATTGAAGCCTTTTTCGAATCATATGGAACTTGCGGGGGCTTCGAGATTTCAATACTGGAGAGACTTGGAGTTTGCATTATGGTAGTTCCCAGTGAAGCACCACTCCATTCCCTAATGGGCTGCCGGTCAAGCAGCTAGAAGTGCAAGTGATCGGTCAACAAATGTGAACTGTCCGGGTCTCGATGAGCTATAGGCGACAGAAGTGAGATCGCGCAGCTTGTTTGCTTGATGGCTCACTATGTTTGTGCCGAGGGTTTTCAGTCTCTTGACTCTTGTCTGCATGGCTTTCCTGTGCAGCTTCAGAAGTGTGGCCTAGAAACTTTGATGTACCAACACGGTGTGATGAGAGCACCTGGCCGAACCAATGCGGAGGACATGAACATGAGGCAGAGATCGGCATAGCAGGAGCAAAGCAGCAGAACGCTGAACCAGGTACTGGCGTGGCTTCTGCTGACTTGCACGCAAGGCATCAAAGTGACGGTGAACTTGCCTGCCAAGGCAGCCGTGCCATGCCGTGAAGTGCGCTGTTCATGGCTTTGCTTCTCTTTGCTTCTCTTTGCTGTCAAGATGTGAGAGGCAAAAAGGTTGAGCAGGGCTCTCCTAACACAGAAAGCGGCTCTCTCGCTCTCTCCCTCTCCCTCCCTCTCGTCGCTCTCGCGACCTGAGGGCTCAAGCCTGGGCCTGGTCCGAAGACATCCGAAAACCTTAAGGCAAAAACAACACAACAGACATTCGCCATTCACATTCACACCCTATCCCCCGTTCTTGCTTCAGAAGTAGATGCGCTCCTTATTTGTGAGTGCAATGCGAAATAGCACGAAAATGAAAGGGTGGAGAGAGAGAGAGTGGAGGAGGGAGGACACGACGGATACGTGCGCAGAAACCCCACCAAAGGGAGGGTATCGTTGCGTCAGTCCAGCATGCTGAATCTTAGACATGGATCACCTGGCGAGGAAAAGAAGTGCTACGGAGAGCAGGCCGCTAGGATGGAGCTCCTAGCTTTCTGGCCGCAACCAGTCTGAAGCGGGCACGCAAAAGGAAGGTTTGTCGGCTGCATGGTCGTTCGCTGGCTGCGTCAAGTTTGCACACAACTTCTAGATTCCACATCTGACCTCAGTTTGTCGAGCTCAGCGTTGCAGACGGAAACAAGGCCAGCTGTACAGATGTGTCAGTGAGTCGACACTGGCATTCCTACTTGTCGCGACTCTGAGAGGTGGGTGTGACGGTGCTCAGTCCTCATGCAACCATCTTCTCCGAGCATGACAGGCAACAGGTGAAAACAGCAAGGGTCTCAGGTGGGTTTCTCACCCTTCCACTTTGTTGCTCAGAGCTGAAGCGCGTTTCTTTGACCATTCGTCCGCTGTCCGGTGACGGTAAACCAGTCCAGGCTTTCACGACGCAAGAAGCTGGTCCTCATTGGGTTTGTTCCTGGACAGCACGCTTTCAAGATCAAAATGGTTGCAGTGGATTGGAAAACAAGCGTGAGCAAGCAAGATTCCATTCCAGGCATACAGAACGATGCGCCCGCGGCAGCGGAAGTCTTGCTGACCGCACCTCGGCCAAGCAAATCCTGTGACTTTTCTTTTTGGCTTTGTTTTTGGTGGTGTGGGGAGTGCGTGTGTTCTCTGTATTTTCGTCGGAAACCCCTAGTCTCGATGTATTTTCATCGGAAAACCTCTATTTTCTCTGCATTTTCAAAGCAAACGTCTATTTTTTGACTATTTTCGTGGGAATCGAAGGGAAGAAGAAGGAAGGGACAGAAGGAAAGAAAGACAGAAACAAAGAAGGAGAGGAAGAAAGAAAGAAAGAAAGAAAGAAAGAAAGAAAGAAAGAAAGAAAGAAAGATAGAAATACAGAAAGAAAATAGAGAATTAAAGAATGTATTTTACTTCGAACATCCCCACCCTCTCTTGGTTCAGATACTCTGGGGTTGGGCACTCCAGCAACACTCTGGGGCTGGGCACTCGAGGGAGACTCTGGGGTTGGGCTCCAGGGAGATTCTGGAACTGGGCACTCCGGGGACACTCTGGGGTTGGGCTAGCGAGACTCTGGGGTTGGGCCTCTGGGGTTGGCACTCCAGGGAGACTCTGGGGTTGGTGGGAGACTTTGGGGACACTCTGCGGTTGGGCACCCTAGGAAGACTCTGGGGTTGGGCTGGGGTTCTCTGGATTGGGCACTGCAGGGACACTCTAGAGTTGGGCACTCCAGGGACACTTTGGGGTTGGGCACTCCAGGGATGAGCGAGGAGTAGACCGGGCGAGGAGAAGAGTTCCGGGCGAGGAGAAGAGTTGAGTTTAAAATCTAACAACCCCACACCGAGGGTGGGGAATAAAGAAAGACAGAAAGACAGAAATAAAGAGAGAGAGAGAGAGAGAGAGAGCGAGCGAGCGAGCGAGAGAGCGAGAGAGAGAAAGAGAGAGAGAGCGAGAGAGAGAAGGAGAGACAAAGAGAGGCATCCCTTCGGGGGCCTATTCGCTGGGTAGAAGAAGAAGAAGACGAAGAGAAAGAGAGAGAAAGAGAGAGAAAGAGAGAGAAAGAGAGAGAAAGAGAGCTTCTCCCTCCACGCGGGGTATGGGTGTTCATGGGGGACTGGGGGGTTTTTGGTTATTGGATGGGGGAAGGACTCCGCTTTGCTTCATTTCAACCGGGGAGGGCCAATTCAGGGCGGACATCCTCTTCACTCCACCAAAGTCAGGCAACCCAGGGGAACAAGCCAACAGTGCCCCTTGGAAGCATGTTTTTCCCTCCTCCGGCCTTTTCACACTGCCAACAAGATGGGCAGCAACAGACCTTGGACATCGCGCGCCCCTTGGGGCGGCTCTCTCCTTCGGGAGGGGGCCATGCGTGCAGAGAGAGAGAGAGAGAGAGAGAGAGAGAAAGAGAGGGAAAAAGAGAGAGGAAGACAGCGAAAGAGAGAAAGAGAGAGCAAGAGAGAGCAAGAGAGAGAAAGAGAGAGAAAGAGAGAGAAAGAGAGAGAAGGAGAGAGAAAGAGAGAGAAAGAGAGAGAAAGAGAGAGAAAGAGAGAAAGAAAGAAATAACGAAAGAAAGAACGAAAGAAAGAACGAAAAAATAGCGAACAAGAGAGAAGTAAAGAAAGAACGAATTAAAGAAAGAAACAAAGAAATAAATGCAGAAAGAAATAATCAATCAAGAGACAAAACAAGCAAGAAATAATTAAAGAAGTTAATAAACACATAAATGCAGAAGAAAATAATTCCACGAAGAGACGAACGAAACAAATACATAAAGAAGATTAAAGAAGTAAAGAGCGAACAACAGGCGAATGAGCGAATGAACGAAACAAACAAGAAAAGCTTGCTTCAAAGCATATGAAGGCGTCAGGTGTTCAGGCTTCTGCTTCCTTTCTCTCACTCCCCTCGAACAGCGGCGCAGGGTTTGAGGGCTTAGGGTTCATAATTCAGGGGTCCGGTTTCCCATATTTGGCTCCCCCCAAGTTAAGATACTCTGCCGCCAGATCGGGGGTCTAGAATTAGGCCGGGAAGGCTTCAGAATTAGGGGGAAGGGGCAAGTGCATCTTTTTGACATCCATGCGAGCATTGTGTCTGCAAATGGCCCCCCCGCCCCCCCGTCCCCAAACCCCCTGCTTGTTTAAGCCGTGCAAGCTTGCTTCAAAGCGTATGAGTCTTTTTGAGCCCATCATGCAAGCGTCTCGGCTCTCAGCGTTTCGTATAGCGGGCCCCCAAATAGCTGACCGTAGTGTCCCTTCAGAGATTTCTGTCTCTTCTTACCAATTGAAGCCATTCTGCCTGTTACTCAGATTCGCGTTGTGGCTCTGGAACTGGTTGCTGACTGCCTGCTGAATAGTCAAAGCACAATTGACATTGAAAGTGCCCTGGACCTCGCAGGGCAGCTGTGGAATCAGGATACTGCAGACGAACTTGTGCCAGCGATCCTTGAGGTTCTACCAAGAGAACTGGGACTTCAGCTGGTGGCCTTCATTTCGGTCAGGTTCCCGTTGTTGTGTGTAGCACTTGAGCAGCAACTAGCAACGCCTCTAATCAGCCTGGTCTTAGTTGAACCATGAATCTCACTCTGCAACTGTTATGCACAGTCATCCTCTGCCGCAGATGCATCCCCGCCTACGACAGTGCCATGAGGCACACTGGTCGGCCAGATCCCACTGCGTGCAGACAACGGCCCCTCGGGGTGCCAGTTCCAAAGCCAGCGCACGAAATAAAAGAGGACCCCAAGCCCTACCCCCCCCTCCTAAACAGCCGAAGCTTCCATCATTGCCCCCCCCATTGCAGCTCTCTTCACCACCGCTCGCTAGTTCCTCCTCAAGTGATAGAATCCATGGAGTGCCGAGGAGTGCACAAGGGCTCCTGGACTGGAGCGAGTCAGAGAGCTCCGCACATGAGCCAAACATGCTCCCAGAGAAAAGGACCGACAGTCCCACAATCGGCCCCGGCCCTGGGGAAGCCGATGGCCCAGGTCAATCTTCCAGCCCTGCTCAAGGACCGGGCACCGATGACTCACTCTCGACGGACTCCGAGCCACCACAATCATCTAAGGGTCGCAAGATGGGCATCTCGAGCAAGGCTGTGGCATACGCAATCTCCACAGGTTCATGCGCGGGCCTTATCACCAGACTTCTCGGAGACATTCGAAGCCTACCTCCTCGAAAGCGGCGTAAGAAGGCTGCAGAACTTCTCGCTAAGTGTGAGACCATGCAGGCCGAAACAGATGCTTGTTAGAGGCATCTACCGAAGGCCTACCTCAGCTCTTCGAGTGCCTCGCCGTAGCCATATGTGGAATATGTGCCCTGTCGCAGTTAGCTTTGCTCGGCACGGAACGCCGGCCATGATACCCAGTCAAATCCTTAGCATGCTTGCGTCCCAGGTGCAGTGTACCCGGAGTGGGGAACTTGGTGTAGCAAGATACATGGACATGAACCCGACGCCAAGCACATTGACTGACACTCGCAGATATCATACCTGCCCCAAACCCGGACTGTGTGCCCAGGTCACTTCAAGCCGAAGCGTTGCGGGTGCCGTGTTCGGCCCTACACAAAGCACCTGTGAGAGGACCTCGGGATTTTTGAACGCGAGAATGGAGATCCGTGTTGTAGTGTGTTTGTCGAGCCGCAGGGACATGCTGCACGCCACACCTGATAGCATCAACACTGACATGTCTGTTGTATTTGCCGATAGCATGTCAGATCAAAAGTGGCATCGATATCCCCGAGCTCGGGTCAGGCCCGACGGCACTAGGAGGCGCACCCGCAACGAACTGGCTGCCCGCAGTGCTCGCCGCAATGCCCCTGGAAACCAAAGGGAGAGAGCCGACACTGCGGCCCCCCGTGCTCAGGAGATGAATCAGCAGCCCTGGCAACAAGCGGCCCATCGCGAGAGCCGACAGCCACACTGGCAGAGTGCGAGGGGAGCCGACGCTCGGCCCCGGGATCAACTTCAGGACTGGTACTACGACGAAGAAGATGACGACGATGATGAATACCAGCCAGACACCGGTGACAGGCACGAAGTGCATGCGACGGATGACGACGAGGGCTACCTCAAGATCTGGTGGCAAGGAGAATGGTGGTTCCGGCAGAAACCGCCGGACCCACCGGCGTCGCCAAAGAAAAGGCAGCAGGCTAGCAGCTCGAGCGAGCAAAGGAGGCCTGCCACAGAGGGAGCCGCGTCGTCGGCCCCTGCACAGCATGTCTCAGAGGGCCTCAAGCAGTTCGTCCCCCCTGCCCGAGACAGTGTGCCTCCGCAATCCTTGAGAGCCGTGCGTGAGAAATGGAACCTGATGGCCATCATCGAAGATGACATCAATGTCCTGCGCAAGAAGAAGGTCGCCCTCATGTTCAAAACATTCTTCGAAATGGGGCACTTCGTCAAACATCACGACGACTTCCACCACTCGGAGTCCCTGAAGATCATCCCGGCCGCAGGCAACTGGAACCTTGCGTTTGTCATGTGCCTGATTTCCAGAGACAAGCTCCACTACGCGAACCACTCCACCTTCGGCACGGCAGTGGAATGCTGGTTATGGAGCCTGTCCAAAGATGCGGACTTTGAGCCCATCCTCACCCAGTTCGCCGGCATGCTGCACAGCGTGATCGCATTGTTTGAGGGCATCCCCATGTCGCTGCATGAACAAATCCATTGGTTCGATAGTCATCAGGACCTGGCAATCAAGTTCGACTACTACTTCCCCACCGAGCAACTGCAGGATGATGAGCAAATTGTCCGGGTGGAAATTCAGGACCAAGCCAGCCAGGACAGCAGAGATGATGACATGCCGGACAGGACCTCCAAGCACAGGGGAAGCACGGCTCCTGCCATCCGCACTACCGAGCTGGCTTCATCTGATGCCTATGTGGAGATGAAGGTCGACTACCCTACGGGGCCGACGCCACCAAATCAATCTGGCAGCATCCCCCACTCCCCGCGAAGGGTTGAGAGATACAACATCTACACGGAGACGACCTACGCCAGCAGCGATGGCACCTCTCTGCCCACGCCAGCGCGCGATTCGGCCCCTCTGGGGGAGCCGACGAAGCTCTACTGGAAACTGGACCAGT